AGAGTCAGAAGACTCCTCGACCGGGACGACCGACGGGAGGGGGGTGACGTGAGACACACCAGAGGGGGCCGGACGGGGGGGAGGGGGGGGGGAGGGGCAGGGACCACCAGGGAGGGAGGAACCAGGAACAGGGGGGGAGTAACCGGGGGACCACGGTGGGGAAAGCGGCGGTAGAAGGAGACGGACTCATCAAAGGTGACGTCGCGAGAGTGAAAGAAGCGATGAGACGGCGGGTGGTAGAACTGCCAGTCAGACGCTTCAAGGGGGAAACCGAGGAAGACGCAGGGAAGGGTGCGGGCAGTCAGCTTGTTCGTGCCAGAGGCACGAACGTGAGCAAGGCAGCCCCAGACGTGGAACGCAGACGCGGCACCAGGGGACCCGGTCCACAGAAGGGTCGGCGAAACATGCGGCCGCTGGGGGTGCGGCCACAGGTTAAGCTGGTGAGCAGCGTAGCGCACGGCGAACGGCCACAGAAAATGGGGTGCACCGGCATGGATCATGGAGGTGCGAGCCACCTCCATGACCAAACCGATGTGTCGCTCAGCGACCCCATTCTGCTGCGGGGAGTCCGGCAGGGTAAACGTCTGGGTGATGCCCTCCGCACGACAGGAGCGACCGAGGACACCGGAGGCAAACTCGCCACCACGGTCGGAGTGAAGACGCAAGACAGGGAGACCGCGGTGGACACGAGCAGAGACAAGCCAGGGGATGAGAGCGTCAGGCACGTCGGCCTTCCGCTCCAGGGGAAAGACGGTGGTGTAGCGCGTGAAGTCGTCGACAAGCACAAGGAAGAAGCGCTCGCGACGCGGCCCATGGACGGGGGCGGGGCCCCAGACGTCCATGTGTAGAGTCTGCAGCGGTGCGGCGGTAGGGGGAAACGAGGAGGAGTGAGGGGCACGGCGAAGCCGGCCCTCGACGCAAGGCGTGCAAGGTGGGGCGGGGGAGGAGGGAAACTCGGGGAACGAACCGGGGAGACCAAGGACGAGATCGTGCTCGGACATGTGACGCAGACGCGGGAGCGCAGGGTGACCAAGGCGGTGGTGCCAAAGGAGTGTCGGGTGAGTGAGGGACCGACAGGAGCAAGCAGCAGCAACCTGAGTAGACGCAGCCACCTGGGGGGACGTCCCAGCCGGGGAAGTCACGGTGTCAAGTGTGAACAGGCCTGACACCGGGTCCCGGGGGAACGTGGTAAGGGGGGCACCAGTGGCGGCCTCGGTACAGACAGCATACCGCTCGTGCCCAGGGAACGTAGTGGTGACGCCAAGGTCCTGGAGGCAGCCGACACCAACTAGGTTCCTGGAGAACGAGGGGATATGCAGGCCTGTGAGCGAACCCGAAGGAACCGCCGGACAGGGAAGGGAGGTGGAACTGCGGGCTACGACCGGACCACCGGAGGGGTCAGCAAGAGAAACGGCAGCAGGAACAGGAAGCGGCGTCAGCGTAGTGGAGTCGCGGAAGAAACACCGGGAAGCGCCAGAGTCCAAGGTGAAGGAAAGTGCAGCAGTGGCGCGTGGCGGCGGAGAAGCGGTGGAAGCACCGAGGCTACACAAAGCAGGGGATCCTACGCCTGACGCAGCAGGGGAGTCTACGCTAGGCACACCTACACTAGGCAGCACGGGGTAATAAGAAGGAAGCACACTAGAGTCATCAACATACATCACATGCAGGGTGGCTACAATGGCATCCATGTCCAAGTCAAAAATTTGAATACTACGCCTAAGCAAACTGTGCCAGTCCGGGAGGTCGGGCGACGGGCCAAAGCGCTGACGGAACAGGTCGTCCAGGCGACGAAAACAGCGAGGAGTGGAATGACCGATCTTAGCGCAAACGAAGCCGCGGCGTGGACCGGTCTGGATCTGGTACTGACAGCGCACACCTCCGGAACCACCACCCGGCGCACCACTACGCGCACGGCCACTACCAGCTCCAGGCCACCCGGGCGGGAGGGCACTCGCATGCCTCGTCTGCGGCGGCTGCTGGGGCTACTGCGGAGGCTGCGGCTGCGTGGACTTCTGCTGCTGCTGCGGCTGCTGAGGCAGTGGGTCAGCCGGACTGGGCAGCGTCCCCTCGTCCGCTCCAGCACCAGACGACCCGACTCCACCACCACCCCCTCCTGCACCCCCGCCTCCCCCGCCGCGCCCAGCCTTGGGGCGGCGACCCTTCCCCGAGCGAAACTGTGCGGCTGCAGCAGTCTCAGCCACAGCGACAGAGACGTTGGAGAAGGTACACTGAGCGGGGGCACAACCCTGAAAGATAGGGACCGGCACGGTACCGCTCGCTTGGGCGATGGAGCGGTGGCGAGTCTCGATAACAGTCAGGGTGTCTACGAAGTCGGTGAGGGTGAGCTCAGCGGGGTGAATGCTAAGGAACTGGTCGCGGGCGGCGGCAAGGCGGTCAGGGAGGCGGGTGGCAAGCAGGTAGAGGGTAGAGGTCATGGGCGGCTGGTGGGCTCTAAGCTGTGCATCAGTGCAGGCAGCGCGCCAGGTCTCATCTATCGAGCGCAGGTGGGCAGCTAGGTCAGAGACAGTGGGGAAAGACGCAAGGTCAGGAAAGAGCATCAGGAGGATCAGGCGACCCACGGAGGCAGCAGGGGGGGCAGAATAGCGCTTGATGACAGCATCTAAGTAGGCCTGGGCGGTAGTGATGGACCTAAAGCGAGGGCGCTCAGGCGGGGGAAGGGCATTGCTAATGGCGAGCTGAGCAACAGCATCTCGGGAAAGCCAGACAGAGCATGCTAGGGCAGCGGCGGCAGTGGACTCGCGCTCAGCGGGTTTGGGGTCGGCGGGCAGCACAGCAGGGGGGTCTGGGCAGGGGAGCGTACCGTCAAGGTGTGCGGAAAGCGGGTGGCCATCCTGCCGCTGGCCGGTGAGGTGGCGGCGGAGGTCGGCAAGCCACGCCTCGAACTCCAGTGGCTGACCTTCAGCATCGAAGCGAAGCTCCGCCGCCATCAGGAGCAGGGAAGGACTAGACAGGGCGGTGCAGAACAGTGCAGTGGGGTGCAGTGCGGTGCAGTGCTGTGCAATGCGGTGCAGTGCGGTTCAGTGCGGTGCAATGCGGTGCAGTGCGGTCCAGTGCGGTGCAGTACGATCCAGTGCGGTGCAGTGCGATGCAGTGCGGGGCAGGGAAGTGCAGTGCGGTGCAGAGAACGGGGGACAGTACCAGGGAGGATGTAGGGCCGGGGCTGTGACGACGAGGCTGGGCAGGGCGAGACGAGGCCGGGCAGGGCGCGGCGAGGCCGGGCAGGGCGCGACGGGGCCCGGCAGAGCGCGTCGAGGCCGGGCAGGGCGCGACGGGGCTAGGCAGGGCGCGACAGGGCCGGGCGAGCACGACGGGGCCGGGCAGGCGCGACGGGGGCCGGGCAGGCGCGACGGGGCCGAGCAGGCGCGACGGGGCCGGGCAGGCGCGACGAGGCCGGGCAGGCGCGACGGGGCCGGGCAGGCGCGACGGGGGGGCCGGGCAGGCGCGACGGGGCCGGGCTAGCACGACGGGGCCGGGCAGGTGCGACGGGGCCGAGCAGGCGCGACGGAGGCCGGGCAGGCGCGACGGGGGCCGGGCAGGCGTGACGAGGGCCGGGCGAGCGCGACGGGGCTATGGGAGGGAAGGGGCCCAGGAGGGGCGCGACAGAGCAGGGAGGTGCGACAGGGCCCAGGAAGGGGCGTCTGGGCTAGGAGGCGCGACGGGGCCCAGGAGGGGCCCGAACGGGCGAGGAGGCGCGCTAGGGGCCCAGGAGGGGCGCGACTGGGCTAGGAGGCGCGCTAGGGGCCCAGGAGGGGCGCGACTGGGCTAGGAGGCGCTTTAGGGACCCAGGAGGGGCGCGACTGGAGTTGGAGGCACGCTAGGGCCCAGTAGGGGCGCGACGGGGCTAGGAGGCGCGACGGGGCCCAGGAGGGGCGCGACTGGGCTCTGAGGCGCGATAGGGCCCAGGAGGGGCGTGGCTGGGCGAGGAGGGGCGACGGGGCCCAGGAGGGGCGCGGCTGGGCTGGGAGGAGCGACTGGGCCCAGAAGGGGCGCGTCTGAGCTAGGAGGCACGGTAGGGCCCAGGGAGGCGCGACTGGGCTACGAGAGACGAAGGGCCCAGGAGGGGCGCGGCGGGGCCTAGCGAGGGTAGGAGCGGAAGCGATAAGTGGGGGGGGGTCGAAACCTACGCGTGATACCATATCAGAGTAGAAGAATGAATTAAAAGAGAGAGAACATGTGAATATACCTAAGAGTTGTACCCTATATAAGACATGACTCTATTCAGTCTATGCAAACATAGTAGATATACATGTTTGACAGTGTGCTGCAGTCGGAATGTTTTTTTTTTTTTTTTTTTCGTTCCTTTTACACCCAGCTTGTGGCATGAATAGGTAAGGGGTTCAGTCTGGATTGTGACTTCTATGGTATCGAAACACCAGGTGGGCATACTATCTAGTGGTTCTTGTGGCTGGTTTGTGTTATGAATGGAACTGCCGAGTAGCGCGGAGGGCAATGTCGAAACTGTGAACGAGTGAAAGACAATAAAATGAAAGACAACACAATATATAGGAAACCTAGGGAGATCCTGGACGTAGGATCGGAAGGTTCAGGAAAGGTGTCGAAGGGCCTCGATGTGTCGTAGCGAGGTCCGGAAAGGCACAGGAGGCTCCAACTGAAAGGTCTGGAACCCTATCGCTAGTTTGGGACTGTTCGAGTCGTACGCCTAGTAGCAAGCCTCAGTAAGGAATTTCTAATTCCTCAGTTAGGAGTCACTTCTGCTGGACAACGAAATCATATAAACGGGTTCTTGATGAAAGATTTCACTCTTGGCGGGAACACCAGGTGTTTCATCTCAGCCGTCCGTTTTCAGCCGTTCAACGATCCGATTCCTCCTGGAAGCATTACAGCATGGAAGGGAAACGTGCATGAGGCATGTGGCCGAGGTTTCAATTCAACCATGGATTTTGGGCCAAAGCTCTAGGTTTGCTTCTCCTCAACCAGCCTGGCTTTACAGGTTCTCTGTCAACTTCTACATCATGTCCATGATGCGCGTTCCGTAAGGTAGCCATTGCGGTTCTGAGGCAGAGTCTCATTTCTTAAGCCGCCGCTTCATTTGAGGCAAAACAAGCCTTTTTGTTTCATCATTATTCTTTCTTCCCTTGTGGCTAGTTTGGCAAGCCAACGTGGCGTCGGAGGAGTCGAAAAGTGACGGGGAAAACACCCTCTCAGCCTCTCGTAAAAAACGACCGTTGTGAATTCGAGTAATCTTGACGTCGTTTCACGCGCGAGCGAGCTCGTCATTGGGCTTATGGTGGTCAGTCAACACTGCATTAGATCGCCGAGTAGTGTCGTTGAACCACAGTACGTGCCGGGACACCACTTTAAGATCACCTTACTGCTAGTCTGCCACCTCCTTTCGTTGCTGGAGGCCGTGTGTCATCTGAAGCATCGGACAAGTCGTTTCGCTTCCATCCGTGCGCGAAGTTTGAGCGAAACCGTAACCGTTACTAGTTACGTGTGGTCGATCTCGTTGACCCATAACATGTTCGCACATCCAGGTTACGCCTAAGCCGACTCAAAAAGCACCCGCTGTACTCACGGCGCGTTCCCATATCGAAGCTGTGTTTAAGTAGACTCAGTACTCACTCCGTTGTCTACCCACGGTACGGTTGTCAAGTTCAGAAGTCGCCTCTAATAAACCACGTCATGTTCCTGTATCGAGGTCCCATTTAAGTCAATCCAATAGTCACCTTTATCAAGCCACGGCGTCATGTTCCCGTATCGAGGGCTCGGCGGGATCGCGCCGTCAACGGCGGCCGTCGCGGAGGCGTTTTCCGCCGCCTTCCAGTGCGCCTCAGATTCGCCGGATCCGGACACCGACGGGCCCGTGCGAATCCAGGGGGCGAGGGTTCTAGGCCCCCTGGATGATTATATCGAAACTGACAATAACGAGCCCGCGGATGATTTGGAGCCCAAGGCTGGTGAGGAGGGCTCAAGGGTGGGGGAAGAGCCACGTCAGCAGCAGCGTAATGGTGTTGTCGGCAGCCGGTTTTTCGGGCAGCAGAGAAGTTCTGCAGGTGATTCAATAGGAAAAGGCGGGTCTCTAAACGAGGGTATCCGTGTAGGACAAGATGCTGGTAGGCCGTCGCAGCAGCGTGTGCGATCTGTAAATGGGATTATCACTAACGGGAATGCTTGTAACGCGAAGCTTGGCAACGGCAACCGCAGCAGCAGCATAGAGCCGGTGGCTATTCCCAGACGTACGATCAAGATCAAACCACTCCAGCAGCTGCAGAAACCGATCCCCCAGGCCGAGCGTGCTGCTGCTGCTGGTGCTGCTGCTGGTGCTGCTGCTGGTGCTGGTGGTGCTGCTGCTGCTGCTGGCGAGGAGGGGAGTGAAGACGCGGAGAAGAAAAGGGGAGTCCTCGTGCAAGGCGGAGGAGGGGGCAGTGTTGCATCAGGCGGAGGCCCATCCGCGTTATCGTCTCCTCCGCTTCCGTCTATTGACTCGTTCGCGCACACTCGCCGCCTCCAGAGCCTGTCGAACTTCAAGCCGCGGTCTCGGCTCCTAGGGCGACAGTCACAAGAAGGGGAGGTAGGCGAGAAGGAAGGCGCTGGCGGTGCTGGTGGTGGTGGTAACCCGTTAGGCAACAGCGCCGGGTCGTTTTCCAGCCAGGCCTCCCGACAGCAGCGGCTGCAACCGCGCGTGGTAGGAGGTTTCCGCCCTCCTAGACGGCTGAACGAGCCCAGATTTTCAAAGGAAGGGGCTGGAGTGAATGGGATTGGTCTAAATGCTCGGGAGGATAGATCGTGCACGACTGCTGGTACTGGAGCGTCCAGTAACGGGGATGGGGTGCGTGCAGGGCCCATGGGCGGGAGGGTTGAGGGTGAATCTGCTGCTAGGGAAGGGTTTCGCAGGCTGCAGAGAGGTGGGCGGGGGGTTTCGGCCGGTAGTGCAGCCGCCGCCCCTGGTGTGAATCCGGGGGGGAATCAGCAAGTGGAGGATGATATAGAAGGGTTTAGGGTTGCGGAAGGAGAGGGAGAGGGTTTTGGGCACGCAGAAATGTTGACAGATTCCTTGCCTGGAGGAGGTATGGGAGCGGGAGGGATTGAGGCTGAAGAGGCTGAGGGGGGATTGCAGGGGAAGAGGAAGAGGCGGAAGATCGTCCTGGTAGGCAGTGATGGTGATGACGATGATGGCAATGATGGCGATTACGAGGAGGAGGAGGAGGATGAGGAGAAGGAGGGGAAGCAAAGTTCAATGTTCAACCGAGCCAACGATGCGGGCAGTGGCGCTGCTGCCACCACAGCCGCCACATCGGATGCCAGGAGGTTCTTTGGAGTCAGGGGCCCGCAGCTCGCCCCCAGCAGCAGCGCAGCCGTCCAGAGGGCGGAAAAGGCCGAGCTGCGAGCGCGACTGCTGGCGCTGCACGCACCCAGCACGGGGTGGCGCTCTGCCAGGGACCCTGGGGCAGGTGAAGAGGCGGCAGCAGGCGCTGGGAGCAGAGGGAAGGGAGGGAAGGGGGTGGGAGGGAATGGGGCCAGAGGGCAAGGTAGAGCGGGTTCGGGAGCAGCTGGGGGGAAAGCATCTGGGGGGAAGGGGAAAGGGAAGAAGGGCGGGAGGAAATCGGGGAAGGATCGGTGGGAGGAGGACGATGGGGATAGCGATGATTGGATTGTGGAGGATGATATTGAGGAGGAGATTGAGGAGGAATTGGAGGAGCTCGAGGGGCTGGAGCTGGAGGACGAGGAGGAGGAGGAGTTCGGGGGGAGAGGGGCGAGATTCGGCCGTGGAAAGCAGAAGAAGGGGGAGTGGGTGAGACGGTCTGGGAGGGCGAGAAGGCCGGCTAGGTATGCTCAGAGCGAGGAGTGGGAGGGGGAGGAGGAGTGGGGGGAGGGCGGGGAGAGTGGGGGTGGGGGAGGAGCGGGAGGAGAGGAGAAGGAGGAGGAGGCGGTGGCGTTGACAAGGAGGAGTGTGCGTGCAGCAGCCAGGGCTGCAGGTAAAGGGAGAAGCGAGTGGGAGAAATGGGAGGAGGAGGAGGCAGGGGGAGGGGTAGAGGAGGAGGAGGCGGAGGAAGATGAGGAGGAGGAGGGAGAGGAGGAGGAGGAGGAGGAGGGGGGGGGGAGGGAGTATAGGGAGAGGGAGGAGGATGAGAGTGACCCCGTGCTAGAGGCTCTGAGGAAATGCGAGCAGATTGCAGCGGCGCTGAGAGAGAAGCTGCTGCTCTCTGCTGGGAGGAAACGAGGAGATGAAAGGGAGGGGGGAAGGACGGGGATGCTGGAGGGGGGGTATGCGGAGACGGACGAGTCAGCGGCCAGGCTGATATCTCAGGATGACGTGTCAGCGGCGTGTGGAGAGAGCGTGCAGCTCAAGGGGTACCAGCTGGTGGGGGTCAACTTCCTGCTGCTGCTGTATCGACAGAAGGTCGGAGGAGGTGAGCTGTTTGCTGCTTTTGAGTCGCCTAAGAATCAGCTGAAGGGGTACCAGCTGGTGGGGATCAACTTCCTGCTGCTGCTCTACAGGCAGAAGGTCAAAGGAGGTGAGCTGTCCTGGTGCTGAGCTTGAAACCCTTCAAAGCAGGTCGTGGGCTAGCAGCCTCAACAGCTGAAGGGGTACCAGCTGGTGGGAGTGAACTTCCTGCTGCTACTGTACCGGCAGAGGGTGGGGAGAGGTAAGCATGCTGCTGCTTTACGTTCAAAGCGTGGGGGAGAGGCAAGCCGTTGAACGGCAAGTGACTGGGGTGTGGAGAGCGCGTGCAGCTCGAGGGGTACCAGCTGGTGGGAGTGAACTGTCTGCTGCTGCGATATAGACAAAACGTGGGGGGCGGTAAGCTATCTTGCTGCTGCTCATGGAACCTTTTAAAGGGCGTCAGGGGGTTTCGGCTGGTGAGGGACTTCCGGCTGCGGCTGTATCCACAAACAGTGTGATGAGGGTAGGCTTGCGAACATTGAGGCTGACGAGATCGGGCTCGGAACAAGTCAGCGCAAACCAGCAAGGATGGTTCCCACCCACTGCACTATGGCGAGGATTCCTTGTGATGCTCCCTCTCCTGTCGCTGTTCCCATTCCTTGTTTCATTCCTTGTTTCATTCCTTGTTTCATTTCTTGTGATGCTCCCTCTCCTGTGTCCTTGTTCCCATTCCTTGTTTCAAACCCTGCTTAATCCTTGTTCCCTACCTTGTTCCATTCCTCTTTCCGTTCCGTGTGTGCAGCAATCCTGGCTGACGAAATGGGCCTTGGAAAGACCGTGCAGGTAAGCCTGGGTCGGTTTCACCCCTTCTCATCCTCTTTGTTCTTCTGATTATGCCGAATCCTCGAAGATCAAACCATGCTGGACCATCCCACTCCTTGGCCTCCAAAACCCAATCCCAATCCCCAACCCCAACCTTAGCCCCAACCCCCAAGTGATATAAGGTTTGTTTTGAGACGTCTCAAAACAAATTATGCCGAATCCTCGAAGTTCGAGTCATGCTGGACCATCCCACTCCTTGGCCTCCAACCCCCAATCCCCAACCCCAATCCCCAATCCCCAATCCCCAATCCCCAATCTCAACCCCAACCTTAACCCCAGCCCGCAACACTTAATTCCCATCCGTCGCACCTAATCCTTATTCCTCAACCCACCAGCAATTGTCGTTCCTAATCCTTAGCCCCCAAGCCCCACAACTCACTCGCTTTTCACCATCAGGCGGTGGTTCTGCTGGGGCTGTCTCTCCCACTTGGATAACAACCCCGGCCTGCACCTGGTGGTGGCCCCAGCGTCCCTGCTGGACAACTGGCAGTGCGAGCTGCAGATGTGGTGCCCGGGGCTCCGGGTGCTACTCTATCGCGGGGCAGAGAGGGTGCAGCTAAAGCAGCTGTAAACCCGAAACCCTGATTACTTAACCCAGTACCCTGCATCGTGATCCCCAAACCCCAAACCCCGCTCCTTCAGGCGGTGGTTCTGCTGGGGCTGCTCTCCCACTTGGATAAAAATCCCGGCCCCCATCTAGTGGTGGCGCCAGCCTCCCTGCTGGACAACTGGCAGCGCGAGCTGCAGATGTGGTGCCCGGGGCTCCGCGTGGTGCTCTACCACGGGGCAGAGAGGGCGAAGATCAGACAGCTGTACGGGGGGAAGCGGGGGAAGAAGGGGAAGCGGGAGAGGCGGAGGGAGAAGGAGAGGAAGAGGAGGGGGGAGGGAGGAGGAGGCGAGGGAGGGGAGGAGGGGGAGGGGGAGGAGGGGGGGGGTGAGTTGGAGTTCAATGTGGTGCTGACGTGCTACTCGCTGTTCGAGAGGGACAGTGCCGCCCAGAGGGATGACCGGAAGTTTCTGCGCAGGTTCCGGTTCTCGTGCGTGCTCATGGACGAGGCCCACCTGCTCAAGGACCGGAGCAGCCAGCGCACGTCCCGGTTGAGGCAGCTGGCACAGGCAGCTGACTATAGGCTGATGCTCACAGGCACTCCCCTACAGAACGACCTGCAGGTGAGTGATGAAAGGGGGGCTGGCTGCTGCATGTGCTTATGGGCGGGGCTGATGAACGGGGGGGGTCTGCATCTGCTCCAGGACTGGACAGCAGCAGCCAGCGCACATCACGGCTGAGACAGCTGACACAGGCTGCGGATTATCGGCTCATGCTTACCGGCACTCCCCTGCAGAACGACCTCCAGGTGACGAGAGAGAGAGGTGGAAGGCCGGCTGTATATGCCCATACAGGCACCACCAGGCACCACCAGGCACCACCAGGCACCACCAGGCACCACCAGGCACCACCAGGCACCACCAGGCACCACCAGGCACCACCAGGCACCACCAGGCACCACCAGGCACCACCAGGCACCACCAGACATCACCAGACACCACAAGGTGGATGAGGCCCCACTAGGTGGACGAGGCCCACCAGCTCTCAAGGACAGGACAGGAGCAGCCAGCAAGCGTCGAGCCTGCGTCAGCTGGCGCAGGCGGCTGACTGTAGGCTGATGCTGACAGGGACGCCTTTGATTCGCAGAATGACTTGCAGCAAGTGAGCGCGAGATGGAAGGGCGAGACACGCTGCATGTGCCCATGTACGAGGCACGCCTTTTAAACGAGGCCTTGTAAACGGGGCCTTGTAACTGGGGCCTTTTAAAGGAGGACTTGAAAACAAGGCCTTGCAAACCCTTTAAAACGAGGCCTTGTAAACTTTTCAAAACGAGGCCTTGTAAACCCTTTTAAACGAGGCCTTGTAAACGAGGCCTTTAAAACGAGGCCTTGTAAACCCTTTAAAACAAGGCCCTTGTATGTAAACCCTTTAAAACGAGTCCTTGTAAACCCTTTAAAACGAGGCCTTTTAAACCCTTTAAAACGAGGCCTTGTAAACCCTTTAAGACGAGGCCTTGTAAACGAGGCCTTGTAAACCCTTTAAATGAGGCCTTGTAAACGAGGCCTTGTAAACCCTTTTAAATGAGGCCTTGTAAACGAGGCCTTTAAAACGAGGCCTTGTAAACCCTTTTAAATGAGGCCTTGTAAACGAGGCCTTTAAAACGAGGCCTTGTAAACCCTTTTAAATGAGGCCTTTTAAACGAGGACTTTTGAAGGACAGGAGCAGCCAATGCACGTCCCGATTGGGACAGCTGTCGCAGGCGGCGGCGGCTGTGGGGATATAAGCAGCCAATGGGGACCTCCTCATTGCGACAGCTGGCACAGGCAAAACAGGTTGCTCCTCCTACACAGGTTGCTCCTGCACAGGTTGCTCCTGCACAGGTTGCTCCTGCACAGGTTGCTCCTACACAGGTTGCTCCTACACAGGTTGCTCCTACACAGGTTGCTCCTGCACAGGTTGCTCCTGCACAGGTTGCTCCTACACAGGTTGCTCCTACACAGGTTGCTCCTCCACAGGTTGCTCCTGCACAGGTTGCTCCTGCACAGGTTGCTCCTGCACAGGTTGCTCCTACACAGGTTGCTCCTACACAGGTTGCTCCTGCACAGGTTGCTCCTGCACAGGTTGCTCCTACACAGGTTGCTCCTGCACAGGTTGCTCCTGCACAGGTTGCTCCTGCACAGGTTGCTCCTGCACAGGTTGCTCCTGCACAGGTTGCTCCTGCACAGGTTGCTCCTGCACAGGTTGCTCCTGCACAGGTTGCTCCTGCACAGGTTGCTCCTGCACAAGTTGCTCCTGCACAGGTTGCTCCTGCACAGGTTGCTCCTGCACAGGTTGCTCCTGCACAAGTTGCTCCTGCACAGGTTGCTCCTGCACAAATTGCTCCTGCACAGGTTGCTCCTCCTTCTGTTTTTCTTGCTCATGTCTTCCTCTCTTCCTCTCTTCCTCTCTTTCTCTCTTCCTCTCTTTCTCTCTTTCTATCTTCCTCTCCCTCCCTCTGCAGGAGCTGTGGCCGTTGCTCGAGTTTCTAATGCCCGACATATTCACAACACACCAGTGCGACATCTCAGAGTACCTGGGCAGGAGGGACCAGCAGCCTTGCAAGGGGGGAGGGGCGCAGGAAGGGAGGTGGTTTCTGCCTCCCATTTCAAGCTCATTTCTTGCTCTCCCACACCCTCCCACTTTTCCTCTCTTTACCCTTCCCAGGAGCTCTGGTCTCTCCTCGAGTTTCTCATGCCCGACATATTCACGACCCACCAGTGCGACATCTCAGAGTACCTGGGCAAGAGGGACCAGCAGCCGTCCAAGGGAGGAGGGGCGGGAGCAGCGGACGAGGGGCTGATTGGGCGCATGAAGGCCATTCTGGGGCCGTTTGTGCTGCGGCGGGTCAAGGCTGACGTCATGAAGCAACTGGTGGCGAAGGTGCAGAAGGTGAGAGGGATGTGAGTGAGCGGGTGGTGTGTGCCATTGTAACGAGGTGACTTTTGAGCCGACTCAAAAGTAATTGTAACGAGATGACTTTTGAGTTGACTCAAAAGTCACCTCGTTAGAGGGCTGCTGTCTGGAGTGGGTGGCTCCTCGTCTACATGCCGCCGCTTGACATGAGACGGTTTTTTAGGCGCCTCAAAAGGAGTCGTTTGAGGTGCCTCAAATCAGAGGGTTTGGTTTGAGGCTCCTCTAGGAGCGCGGTTTCTCGTCTACGTGCCGCGGTTCCGCTCGATGGTTTTTCGTCTGCTTTTCATTTGCTTGTTGGTTTGCATGCAATGAGAATTTCTCGTCTACTGTCTGTTGCCTGCCTTTGCCTTCTCCCCTCACTTATCCCCTTTTATGGCAGGTCGAACTACTCTCTATGGAGGGCCAGCAGGCAGCAGCCTACAGCGAAGCAGTGGAGCAGTATAGAAAAGCGGTGGTGGCGAGGGGGGGGGGTGGGGGGGAAGAGGGAGAGGCAAAGGGGGAAGGGGGAAGCAGTGGTGGTGGGGGTGGGGGAGATACGGCTGCCGTGGCAGCAGCAGCGGTGGATGCCATGCCGAGGAGGCAGCTGGCGAGCATATTCACACACCTGAGGAAGGTACGACTGGAGAAGGTAGGACTGGTGGGTCGCGTGTTGTGACTCAAGGGTTGCGTGGTGTGGAGACAGCTGGCGAGCATATTCACGCACCTATGAAAGGTAGGACTGGTGAAGGTAGGGGGCACGGCACGGCTGGTGGGGGGCGTGGGTTCTGGGCTGAATCAAAGGCCGCGTGGTGAGGCTGCCGTGGCAGAAGCAGCAGTGGATGCGATGCCGGGGAGGCAGCTGTCGAGCATTTTTACACACCTGAGGAAGGTACGACTGGTGAAGGTAGGACTGGTGGGTCGCGTGGTGTGGCTGCCATGGCAGCAGCAGCAGTGGATGTGATGTCGAGGAGGCAGCTGGCGAGCATTTTCACACACCTAAGAAAGGTAGGATGGCGTGGCATGAATCATCCTAAGAAAGGTTGAGTAGGGTTGAGAAAGGTTCAGAAAGGTTCAGAAAGGTTCAGAAAGATTGAGAAAGGTTGAGGGGCGGCTATAAGCAATAATGATTGTATGATGATTCATGCCGCTTGCCAACGATCCCCTCTTGGTGCGCCGCCTGCTCCCCGACACTTCCCTTTTCCGTATTCCCCACTCCCCTTCCCCTTCCCCCTCCCCGCTTCCCCCTTCCCGCTTCCCCCTTCCCCCTTCCCCCTCCCCCCTTCCCCCTTCCCCCTTCCTCATTGCCCCATCCCCCTCCTGTGCCGCTCGCCAACTACCGGCACTTGGTGCGCCGCCTGCTCCCCGACCTAGCAATTGAGGAGATGGCGGGCATGCTGCATGCGTGAGGAGTCTATTTTTGAGGCGCCTGCTCATGGGAGAGGGGGGTCTGCTCCATCTCCCATCCGCCTTTCCCATTTTCCTACAGCATGGGAGGGGGGTGTTCCAGTAGCTACTTTTCTCATCTCCCATCCCTCACCCCGTCCTCCGGTTCCCTGGTGCATCCACCTTCCCTTGGCACCTGCAGCTCGCCAACCACCCTCTGCTGGTGCGCCGCCTGTTCCCCGACCCGGCAATCGAGGAGATGGCTGATGTGCTGCATGGGCGGGGGGTGTTTGGGTTCGAGTGCAAGCGGCAGCGGGTGGTGGAGGAGCTTCAAGGCTACAGCGACTTCACTCTGAACCAGCTCTGTGAGGCGCACAACGACGCTCTTGCACACTTTCTGCTGTCTCGCCAGCAGTTCTTCGACTCCTGCAAGTGCCAGGTGAGCCCTCAACCAGTTAATGCCCCACAGTTAGTGCTCCCTCTCATTGCTCCGTGCATGTCAGCAGTGCGTGGTGGATGGATGAGCTCCAGGGCTACAGCGACTTCACTCTGAATCAGCTGTGTGAGGCACACAACAACGCCCTCTCGCACTTCCTGCTGCCCCGCCAACAACTCTTTGACTCCTGCAAGTGCTAGGTGAGGCTCTAAGTGCGAGTGCAGGCAAAAATTGAGGTGATTTTCCAGGTGGAAATCCCCTTGAAATCCAGATTTTTTTGTGGGTGATGTATACAGTTCAGGTATGGCTTTCAGGTCTGCTGAGGGAACGCCAGGAGAGCCGCAGGCGCTGACACGAGCTGAGACTCGCTTTTGAGTCGACTCGAAAACGAACACCAGGAGAGCCGCAGGCGCTGACACGAGCTGAGACTCGCTTTTGAGTCGACTCGAAAGCGAACGCCAGGAGAGCTGCAGGCGCTGACACAAGCTGAGACTCGCTTTTGAGTCGACTCGAAAGCGAACGCCAGGAGAGTCGCAGGCGCTGACACGAGCTGAGACTCGCTTTTGAGTCGACTCGAAAGCGAACGCCAGGAGAGTCGCAGGCGCTGACACGAGCTGAGACTCGCTTTTGAGTCGACTCGAAAGCGAACGCCAGGAGAGTCGCAGGCGCTGACACGAGCTGAGACTCGCTTTTGAGTCGACTCGAAAGCGAACGCCAGGAGAGTCGCAGGCGCTGACACGAGCTGAGACTCGCTTTTGAGTCGACTCAAAAGCGAACGCCAGGAGAGTCGCAGGCGCTGACACGAGCTGAGACTCGCTTGTCGTTCCACCGAGTGGTTGAAGTTCCAGCGGTCGAAGCACCAGCGGCTAAGCGCGCTGTTGCTTCAATTGCCGACCTACCGGCGCCGACACAAGCTGAGACTCGCTTGGCGTTCCACCGAGGGTTACTTTCCCTGCCCAGTCCCCCCACAGGCCCTCTCGTCCCTCCTGCCTCGTCTGCAATCCGGCGGCCATTGCGTGCTGCTCGTCAGCCAATAGTCAGCTGTGGCCGTTCACCCCCGCCTTCCCTTTCAGACTGGTACTTTCGCTGCCTCCTCCCCCCCCACGGGCCCTCTCATCCCTCCTGCCTCAGCTGCAATCCAACGGCCACGGGCTGCTGATCTTCAGCCATTTCCTCTCCAAGCCTTTTCACTTACCTGCCTGCCTGCCGCCTGCCTGCCTCCTCCCCCACAGGCCCTCTCGTCCCTCCTGCCCCAGCTGCAATCCGACGGCCATCGCGTGCTGCTCTTCAGCCAGTGGACGGCTGTGCTTGACATCCTGCAGCACGTGCTGGGGCTGCTGGGACTGAAGTTTCTACGGCTGGATGGCAGGTAAGCGCCAGCGGGGGTGAGAGGAAGGAGGCACAGGGGTGACAGGCACAGGGGTGAGAGGCACAGGGGTGGCAAAAAGCGCAGGGAAGGTGACTCACAGGGGAGGTGACTTACAGGGGAGGTGACTCACTGGGGTGTTGACTCACAGGGGAGGTGAAAGTCAGTCACACAAGTGCATTGCTTGGGGCTCGACATTCCAAAGTTGTGCTCTGGTTTCCTGGTCTGTTTCCGAAGTCTTGCTCTGGTTTCCTGGTCTGGTTCCGAAGTTTTGGTCTGTGCCACTATTCTGTAGCTGGCGTTCGCCATGCTACTGCCCCAATGGTATGCTCCCAACGCACACACATCACCCCATGCAGCATACACGTGGTCCGGAGGCAAGCCCTTGTCGATTAATCCAAGTGAGACCAGACGTGCCTGCTGTCTCAAGTCACCTTCAACCCCTCGTCTCTTGTCCCACCCACAACACCCACCTACAACAGCACTTAGGCAAGCACTGGTGGACGAGTCAGCACTTAGGTGGTCCATTGGCAAGCACTGGTGGACGAGTCAGCACTTAGGTGGTCCATTGGCAAGCACTGGTGGACGAGTCAGCACTTAGGTGGTCCATTGGCAAGCACTGGTGGACGAGTCAGCACTTAGGTGGTCTATTGGCAAGCACTGGTGGACGAGTCAGCAGCACTTAGGTGGTCCATTGGCAAGCACTGGTGGACGAGTCAGCACTTAGGTGGTCCATTGGCAAGCACTGGTGGACGAGTCAGCACTTAGGTGGTCCATTGGCAAGCACTGGTGGACGAGTCAGCACTTAGGTGGTCTATTGGCAAGCACTGGTGGACGAGTCAGCACTTAGGTGGTCCATTGGCAAGCGCTGGTGGGCGAGTTCACCTGCGATCCCTCAGTGTTCTTCCCTCCCCCTGCCTTCATGCCGCCCAAAACACCACCCTCCCACACCACCCACCCCATGCAGCACGCAGGTGGTCCAGAGGCAAGCCCTCGTCGACTAGTTCAACCGCGACCCCTCGGTGTTCGCCGTGCTGCTGCCTCCATGCTCCCATCACGTCGCTTCTCCCCTCACTTCCTCCCTCCGTACCACCCAACAGCACGCAGGTGGTCCAGAGGCAAGCCCTCGTCGACGAGTTCAGTCGCAATCCCTCGGTGTTCTCCCCCCCCCCCCTTCCCCCTCTTTCATGCCCCCCAAAACACCACCCACCCACCACACCCACCTACCACACCCACCTACCACACCCACCCACAACAGCACGCAGGTGGTCCAGAGGCAAGCGCTCGTAGACGAGTTCAACCGCGATCCCTCGGTGTTCGCCATGCTGCTGTCGACCCGGGCAGGCGGGCAAGGTTTGAACCTGACCGGGGCAGACACGGTGATTCTGCACGACGTGGATTTCAACCCTCAGATGGACCGGCAGGCGGAGGACAGATGCCACCGCATCGGACAGACCCGTCCTGTAACCGTCATGCGGTGAGTTGTAACTGTCATGTGATGAGTTGTAAGTTTTTTTGTAACCATCATCCAGTGAGTTGGTAACCATCTGGTGAAGAGTTGTAACCATCCCACGGTGAGCCGCAACCATCATGCGGTGAGTTGTGAACTTGTGATCATTACAGGGTGAGTTGTAACCATCACATGGGTAGTTGCAACTGTCATTCTGGAGTTCTCTGGCCCCTTCCCCCACCCTACCAGTCTGGTGACGCGTGCCACAGTTGATGAGGGCATTTTGAACATTGCCCAGCGGAAGCTCAGCTTGGATGCTGCTTTGCTAAGTGGGGGTGGTGAAGGCGGGACTATGAATAATAGGAAGGGGTCGGAGAAGGGCGCAGGAGGTTCAGAAGAAGCCCAGAGCATGGCTGCTATCTTATCGTCAATTCTTGCTTCGAAGTCTAGAGTGTTCTGATGTGTTGCTCCGTTTCTAGTGCATTTGATAACCCAAGTGTAGTAGAAGATGCTTGCTTACTAAGGTGGCCTTTGATGTGTTGCATCGCTCATGTGGCATGTAAGCATCTCTCTTCGGCTCATTCTTGGGGTTTCACTGGTGGTAAGGCTTGGGCCCATAGTAGGCGGCCTAGGTACGGGTACGTTGAGCTTTCCAGTAAGAAATCCTCAATCGAAGGTTGGATATGGATACGCCGTAATTGCTGTGTGATTTACACTTTGGACTCGCTATTGGCATTGAAGGCAATCCTATTTACTCGGCCTTCCGTAGCGAAGGATACGAAATGTGCGGCAACATCCCCCACACATGGCATGCTCCAGGGAGTAGCACCACACAGGCAAGCCACACTTTTCGCGACCTTCGCAGATCAATCAGCCCCATAATCCATTCGTGCGGAGCATCGCGACCCGGCAGAATTTCCCGATGCGCGCATTTCACGACATCTTCATCTTCGCACTCCCAATCAACATTTCAACGAAACGGCTATGAGACTGCACTGCACGGCCTGCACTTGCTGCACGAAAATCCTCCCCAGTTCTCCCGTCTTGCCAATCAGCTTCTGATCTGCTCAACAGCGCATCGTCCAGTACACAGCACGACGTGCACTGGTGATATCAGTGGATGGATGCTCAGCTGGCACTTGCGTGTGCTAGTCGCCTGCTCGCACGAGTTAGTTAATCGTTGTACGGCGGTCGTCGTTTAGATGGCTTATAATTTCGGCGGGAGATGGCCGTCCAGCGACAGTCGGTTCGCGCGACAATTCAAGTTATCCATCGCCACTCCCCGCCCGTTTCTGTCGGTGGTTATCAAGCCCGCGTCTTTCGCCCCACATTAGCCATCTATTTAAACCACTCCATTTTCTACGCCTAGTCGCTCGTCCAACACTCCGTTCATCGTCGCCCAAACAACCTCTCATACGCATAACTCCATCCTCCGCCGTCGATCGACCCGTCACTAGGAGATCCTCTCCCCCATCCACAAATAGCCAATCGCCTATCGCTGCATCCTCGATCGTCTCGTCTCGTGTCGCTCGCACGACCGCTAATCTCGTTCCGCCATGGCTCCTCGAAGCACATCGTCACGCGCTCTCAGCCTGGTCCTTTTCGGTGTTGCGCTGGTCCTCCTCGCCGGCTCTCACGCCGCGAGTGCGGGGAAGGTGGAGAGACCCCCGTTCGTGCCAGGGCAGATCCTGCGCAAATGCGGGTGGTCTAGCTTGGGCGATTATACTTCCTCGTTCCTCGTGCACACCAAGTAAGTGGGTTTGTGCTCTCCTTGGTTCGACGCTCACTCGAAAGCAGATCCTGCGCAAATGCGGGTGGTCTAGATGGTTCGGCGGGGGTTTCTCGACCAACGGAAAGATGAACAGCGATGCGATAATCGCGGAGACCATGCGGGCTGGCACGCCCAAGCTGCTGACTCCACTCCCTCCCTCACCTTCCTCATTTCCATTCTCCCCCCTGCACCATCCCTCTCCTGCCGCCCCTCATGATCCCACCCTTCAGCGTGCATCTGCACTGGAGGGTGGTCGACAGCGACACAGTGAAGTTCGCATTCCACGTGACCAAGGGCTTCGAGACGGGCAAGGGGTGGTTCGGCGTGGGGTTCTCGACCAACGGCAAGATGAACGGCGATGCGATCATCGCAGAGACCATGCGGGCTGGCACGCCCAAGCTGCTGACGCTTGCCGGCCACACCAGCGTTGTTGACGCCAGCGGATGGACGCCCACTGGTCTGAAGATCACCAAGAACCAGTTGGGCACCACCATCGAGTAAGTTGCAGGCACTCTATCGCGGACAAGTCGAGTAGTGTGCACCCCCCTCAACGGCCACAGCTGCGTGGCTGACGCGAGCGGGTGGGCGCCCACTGGACTGCTGATCAAGAAGAACCAGTTCGGCACCACCATCGAGTAAATACACAGCAAATCAAACGCAGGCCGTTATACTCTTCCACCTTTTGTTTCGCCTGCCCTGTGTTTCGGCTGGTGGCACCTGGTTACTGCATGTGGGCCTTCGCCACACTTCGTCTCGGTTGCTATTACCAACCACTGCGTTTCGCGTACCTTCTCCCACCCGCAGGTTCACTCGCATCACCACGGACGGCGGGGAGGTGGCGCTGAAACCCAAGGGCATCACGTGGGCTAGTCTACAATGTGTGGTTACTCGTTTCGTTTACTCGCAGGTTCACCCGCTCCACGTCGGATGGCGGGAAGGTGGCGCTGAAACCCAAAGGCCAGAACGTGGGCGTTCCCTCATTTGTCTCTGATTGGTGGTTACCCTTTTCGTTTACTCGCAGGTTTACTCGTACCACGTCGGACGGCGGGGAGGTGGTGCTGAAACCCAAGGGCAATAACTACATCACGTGGGCGTTCGGATCGACCTCGTGGTCCGCAAACAACCGACACTCCAACTCGTACGTACTCGCTATAAGCATTGTTGATAGAGCTCATAGGAACGCCATAGGGGCGCCATAGGAACCCATTGAAAGGGGCACACGACAGCAATAGGCACGACCTCGTGGTCCGCAGATAACCGACACTTGGACTCGTACGCACTTGCTTGCATAGTCCGCATTGTTGGTCGAGTTCATAGGAACGCCACAGGAGTCTATTTTTGAGGCGCCTCAAAAACGCACTCGCTTGTACAGTCCGCATTGCTGGTAGAGTTACAGGAACGCCACAGGAATCCACGAAAAAGGGCAACACGACTGCAAGCCTATCTCGCCCTTCTCGCCTACAAGCCACCCGTCCCCCTGCTGACCCTGCTTTCCTCCCCCCTCTTCCCCCCCACCTCCATCCCCCCCCCCTCCTTCCCCCACCTTCCTTGTCTTCCCCTCGTTCCCGTTCCCACCTCCAACCGTCCTTCCACTGCAGTGGCCATGCTGTGGTTGACCTCTCCTGCAATGGCTGCACGGGAGTTTTCCGCAAGGCACTCTGCAAGGTCTTTTGAATTTGAATCTTAGCCGGGAGCATCTAATACATTCACACGCTTTTCCTGTGTTTCGTAAAGGTGGATTTACTAGGCTGTCGTGGTGGTGGTGACCCAGAAGTCGTTTGGTGTGTGTATACAGAAATACTTGGCTTTTTTTATGAGATAGAATCATAGACCTGTATTTGCATTTGCACATGTTATGCTTCTCTGTATTCTATGAGACCATTCATTGCATTGACCACAATTATTGTACCTTATTCATGTAACTTACCAGTCTGGGGCAATTAAAGTACTACTATTTATGCCTAATGGCTATAGTACTTCAAGGAGGATGTGAAATGTTGAACAAAATGCATACTAAACTTCATAGTTCCATAGAAAGTAGGATGTTTCATCCGGTACTTAAATAAAAGCACTATAACACTGTATACATGTGTGCTCGGGGCAGCCGTCTGCACTCAGTGATGTTTCACCAGCAAGGAGTGGCCCAGAAAGCAACTCATCGAGTGGTCAAAATCGACGGATGGATGCAGTGCGAGTCCAACCAAAGCCCAGCCGCGATGTGACCTAGCCACACATCGCGCTTCGTGGCGCATCGCACTCGTGCGGCGGCGAATGGTTGAAAGCCAAGCCCTCGTTTCGATATGGACATGGGCTACCCGCGGTTGGGCTTTGTACGGAAATAACCCTGATACGACACACTGAAAACGTCTGTGTGGACAAATGCTTTCACGTTCACTCACACATCAGAGGGGCCAGGTGCGTGTCGGCGTCCTTTCAGAGAGGAAAGCACACATTTACAGGCATTTCGTTACTCAGTACAACAGTGTACTGACCCGCTCGGCTCTGTGGTTCGGGTTGATGTGCCCCCGGCAAGGAAACAAGTTCCTGGGTCCCAGCAGGTCATGTAACCCTACTCATCTGCGCCAAACCGGATTCTACCCAACCAGTACGAGCCCCAGCCAAACCTCGAATTGACTTTCCAGAGCTGGAGACGTCGTCCGGATGTGCAGCAGAGCCTCGCCCCGGACCAGAGCTCTGGCACACGGGTCAGCAGCATACAGTTCAGTGCAGTATTTGAATTCCGATTTCCCCGTTGTCGTGGTGGCAACGTTTGGGGGGCGGCACACATGACGGGATCGGTCAGAATGCATAGTGCTGCGAACTCGGCGGGAAACGTGGAGCATACAACGCATAAATTCCTAGTGTATTTTGCACATATAATTCATGACATACAGGAGACACAACTGCAAACAATTAGCGCAAGCTTCCTCGTCTGCTTCGGCAAGAAATTCCCTGAAGAATATTTGGTTCGGCAACCTCTCACATCGAACCACAGTGCGGCGCCGCCGAATGGTCAATCTCCCAGGTCAGGAGCAAGGCTTATTGTTTACGGGTAACTACCCAGATTTTGACCAAATAACAGGTAATTTGTTTTCCAAAATCGGATTGCGACATGTTCGGCTTTGAGAACAAATTACCCTGATTTCATGAACCCTGATTTGGCGGGTACATTTTGATCAGAACACGTGAAGTGACGTGTTCGGCTTTGAGAAACGCGGATAGTAAAACTTCTCACGCCACCCCACAATCCCCCCGCCATTCCCTCCCCCCAGGGCACATCAGCCCCAGCAAGGAAGTTCAAGAAGTACAAGTATAAGAGCTGAGCGCAGTACTCTTACGTGGTTCCCTTTGTAGAATCCAGGAACTTTTCGTAAGAGCGTTTGTCATCACGGAAAAAATCCTGGGACTGAACACGGACATTGACGGGTAACGTTCCAGATGAGCCCATTTTATCTGGGTCTCGCGAGAGATACCCGGATCTGCCTTGTGGACGAATACCCTAAGGTAAGCCCTGGTCAGGAGGATGTCCCCCTCCAGGAGGGCCCTCCCCAAACCACCCGAACCCATCCTGTGTTTGGGTACAAATCGGCCGCAGCTGTTTCATTCTTGCACCAGCCAGTTCCCCTGCCCTCGCCTTCCTTTCACTCGAATCGAACTCTTTCGCCCCAGACACCCACCCCAGCGCGAGAGTGACACTCTCCTCCCTCACATCTCAACCCAAACCAGATCTGCCGTCCTCCTCGCTCCCATTCCGCGACGGAAGGCTTGCTCGGGTGGAACTCTTATTTCCTCCATTACACGCCACCTGTGGCCTTCACCCACAGCATTCGTCGAAATTATTCTACGACGATTCCTCGTGAGTCTCGATGGGCTTCTCACGGAACATCGTGACCGTCAACGTGGCCGCCGTCGCGGCACTCCTCGTTTTCACGTCACTTCCCGCGCTGGCTCAGGGATGCTCGTTCTCATCAGTAAAAGGCTACACTTCAGCGGTCTCCCCTATTAAAGGGTAAGCTATCTCCTAACAAACCGCAAAGGTTTTCGCATTACTTCTCTTCTTCTTCTTCCCCTTTCTAATTCGCACCCGTTTTTACGTGGCCAGAGTGAGCCTCCACTGGAAGGTCGTCGATTCCACGACCGTCAATTTCCTTCTCAAAGGCAACAGCTTCCGCAGCAAGGGTTGGTACGGCGTCGGGTTTTCCACCGACGGCGTAATGACCGGCGACGCCTTCGCGGTTTCCAGCGATTCGACATCCCCCAAGGTTTTGGCTCTCACGGCCCCGGCGACGACCGGAGTCGCGGACGCGTCGTGGACTCCCGACGTGCTCACACTCAAGCAGAAGAGCGGCGGCCCGTCATCTCTCAAGTAAGATCACCTCGAATCTGAGAATTCTCAAAACATCCCCCGCGGCGACGACAGGAGTCGTGGACTCCCGGCATGCTGACGCTCAAGCAGTAGAGCGGCGGCCCGTCATCTCAAGTAAGATCACCTCGAATTTTGAATTTGAGTCTAGTCTTTGCCAAAGACTCGAATACAGTGTATTTTGAAGGATTTACTACCCGAAGATTAACTGAATCTGTTAAAATCACAATGCGAACTGCACCACCGCTCCCGTACGCTCGACGAGAACGCTTCATGCATGAGATTCTAATTTTTGCTGCGCTTTGTGGTTTTCCTTTCAGGTTTCAGCGCAAGGTGGGGGATGGTGGGTCGGTAACGATCAAGCCCAATGGCAAGAACGTCATGATGTTCGTTGTCAAGACGACTCCGTACGACACAAGTGTCGAGCATGACCATGAGTACGTGCAACCATATTCACCATGTCTAAATCGCAATTCTGCGACGCTCAGGGTTCCTTGCTTCTCCTGCATGCCTGCCTCACGCACTTGCCAAGCCAACCCTGGATACCTGCACGCTTTACTCTGCTTTATAATGCTTCCTTCCAGCTCCCCAATAGGCTGCAATTTTCAGCCGTTTTTTTTTATTCACTACATTGTTATAATCTCTTGTGCTAACATGCTTTTGTTCCTGGTGTTTGTGTGCAGTGTTATTGTCAAGGTGAACCTTGGTTGCAACCCATGCAAAGCGCCGCTTGGCTTCCTGTTTTGCAAGGCTTGAGCTGCTATCACCTACTTGCTAACTGATCAGGGTTTTCTCCTGTCCTACTTCTCGTGGGCGGAGCATGAAGGGGTTTTAAATTATCAATGTGGAGTTTTGAAATCTTGTGTATTATTGCAAGCAATACGTTCACCGTTGGTTATGTAGCTGACTGGTGGTTACAAAGCAAACTTGTGGCAGTCAGCTGTGCGTGCAAGCAGGGAAACCCCGATGGTAGTGGGCTCCTTGTGTCAACTTATTCATTTGTTATGCATATCTAGTTCTAGGCTAGACCGGTTCGTGCTCTTAGTGAGTACAATCCAAACACATATATCATCATGTATGCCCTTGCTAATATTCACTGGTAGTCATTCTGACATGGTATCACGCTAGGTAGGTCCCACCCACCCGCGCTTCCGCCCTAGCCCTAGCCTACTGCCGCCCTAGCCTACCGCCTGCCCAAGCCTTTCGCACTGTGCTGGCCCTAGCTCGCCGCGCTGGCCCCTCGCTCGCCGCACTGGCCCCTAGCCCTTGGCGCTGGCCCCAGCCCGCCGCGCTGGCCCCAACCCGCCGCGCCGCGCCGTCCCGCCGCGCTGGCCCTTTGACCGCGGCGCTGGCCCCAACCCTGCCGCGCTGGCCCCTAGCTCGCCGCGCGGCCCCCAGCTCGCCGCAGCCCCGTGCTCGCTGTCGGCTCCAGCTCGCCTCGGGCCCCAGCTCGCCGCGGCCTCAGCTCGCCGCGTGGCCCCCAGCTCGCCGCGGACCCCAACTCGCCGTCAGCCCCAGCTCGTCGCGGGCCCCAACTCGCCACCGGCCCCGGCTCGCCGCGGGCCCCAGCTCGCTGCCGGCCCCAGCTCGCCGGGGCCCCCAGCTCGCAGCCGGCCCCAGCTCTTCGCCGACCCCAGCTCGCCTCCCGGCCCCAGCGCATCGCCAACCCTGGTTTCTCCGCTGTGTCGGCGCTCTCGTCGGCCGTCTCCTCTCTCGCGGCTTCACCGCACTCTACCGCACTCCACCGCACCCCACCGTACCCCACCACACCCCACCACACCCCACCACACCCCACTGCTCTCCACCGCACTCCACCGCACCCGCCTGCCTGCTTCTCCTCCTCCGCCTGAGCTCTCCAGCTGGTGCAGTTGTGCGTGATGGCGGACGCTGTTCTCCGCCTGGACGCGGAGGGTCGAGCTTTCAATTTTAAGGCGTGGCTTGCCGACCTGCGCCGCCAGCAGAAGGTTCAGCACCACGATGGCCAGTCTCTGGCTATCCATGTCGATGGTAAGCTGCCCTGCCTCCCCCCGTGCCTGCTGCCCTACCTGACGCCCCCATGCCTGCTGAGCGTCAGGCTTTCGCAGCTGCTGAGCTCGCTTGCTCTATCTGGGAGTCGCGCAACGCTCTCTCCATGTTCCAGCGTTCCTGCTTTCAGACCCTAGAGACGGCCAAGGAGTACCTAGATGCAGTCATTGCTTGCTATTCAACTCCCGCCTCCGCCTCTGCTGGTCCCCTCCTCCTACCCCTGCTCTTTCCTGATCTCGTGTCCTTCCCCACTGTCGCTGATTTTGCCACTCACTTGCGCGTGCTTGAGGCTAGCTACCACGCTGCTAGCACTGAGGCTCAACTCACTGTACTTCCTCCCCCCCTTGGCGCTACGCTTTATTTCCTAGCCACGCGCCTCCCCGACCGCCTAGCCACCATCCGCGACACCTTCCTTAGCCTCCACCCTGCTGACCTCACCATTAGCGACTTTATCGCCACCCTGTCAGCGATAAAACCCGCCAGCGCACTATCGCTCTAGCGGTACGGCGGTGGTCCCTATCTTATAGAGCTGTGCACCCTCTTAGTGCACTTACTCTGACATTTCCGCTACTGTCGCTAAGACTGTCCATATCGCTGAGACCGCCGCAATGGCCTCATCGCAGCCTCTTTAGGGTAGAGCCCTCCGTCGCCCCCGAGGGAGGCGTAAGGGAGGGAAGGGGGTGGGGGGTGATGGGGGTGGCGGTGGTGGGAGTGCTGGGAGTGGAGACAAGGGGGTGGGAGCAGATGACACAGAGCAGCAGCATGAGCAGTAGCAGCAGGGGCCACAGCAGCAGCTGCAGCCGCAGCACTAGCAGCAATAGTGGGGGGTCCCGCCCCCGTGGTGGCCGGGCGGCTTCGGTGGTGGTGGCCGCGAAGGTAGCCCTCGCAGCTCGACGTCGGGTGGTGGCTCCAGTTCTGTGAGTTGCCAATACCTACTTCAGACTGGTCCCCTTTGTGGCATCGTGTATGACCGTCCCGATCACACTGCTGCTCGCTGCTACTGCCGCCTCGACGACCTCTTCCATCTCCACTTCGGGCCCACGCCGTCCCTCCCGGACTAGCACAACCTGGTACATCGTCGTATGCCGGTCTTTGAGCTAGATATGGATCAGTTTCGGTCTGTTAAGTATGATATGTATCCTGAGGACTCTAGTGTGAGTGGACCTTATTATCATGTGTTCCCTAGCCTAGGTGTGTCTGCTGTGTGTAGTTCAGGCTCCCCTGCTTCGTCAGGCGTAGGATCTTCTGCTTCGTCAGGCATAGGTTCTCTTGCCTCCTTTAGCCTTGGCTCCATGCAAGTGCCCCCGCCGGCTGATGCTATCATTGTGCTCTCCTTCACGCTGGACTTTGGTGCATCCGTCTTCTTCTTTCGCAACCACACCACTCTCATGACGCTTGCCGCCCCAGCAGCTGTCGCCCTTGCTGACCCTTCCTGCGGTCCATTAATTGCACATAGCTCCACCACCCTTCACTGTCTGGTGGTTCCCTCGAGCTCCCTTACAGGCCTGCACATCCCCTCGTTCTCCAGGAACCTAGTTGGTGTCGGCTGTCTTCTGCAACACGGTGTCACCATTACGTTCCCTGGACACGAGTGGTACGCAGTCTGAACTGAGACTGCCACACATGCCCCCCTCACCATGTTCCCCTGGGACCAGGTGTCAGGCATTTTTACGCTGGACATCGCGTCCCCCCTAGTGGCTGTGCTCCCCCAGGTGGTTGCGTTTACCTAGGTCGCTGCGGCTTGCTCGTGTGGGTCGCTCACTCACCCGTCGCTTCTGTGGCACCATTTCCAAGGTCAACCCGCCCTCCCGCGTCTACGTCACATGTCTCAGCACGGTCTAATCTTAGGTCTCTCTGCGTCGCTCCCTGCCCTTCATCCCTCGCCCGCGCGTCCGTGCACGCCTTGCATTGGGGGCCGGCTGCACCGTGATTCTCAATCGTCCTCATTTCCCCCCACTCTACACGCGCTACACCACGGTGTTTCCCTTGGAACGGAAGGCTGATGTGCCTGATGTTCTTATCCCGTAGCTTGTAGCAGCTTGAGTCTACCGCGCCCAGCCAATGTGCTTTGTCTCCACTCCGACCGTGGCGGTGAGTTCGCTTCCGGTCGGTTTCGTCAGTTCTATCCAGCGGAGGGCATCACCCAGTCGTACACATTGCCGGAATCCCCACAACAGCATGGGGTGTCTGAGCGACGCATCGGTTTGGTCATGGAAATGGCTTGTATTTCCATGATCTATGCCGGTGCACCCCAATTTTTTTGTCCATTTGTAGTTCGCTGCGTCGCTCACCAGCTTAACATGTGGCTGCGCTCTGAGCAGCAACAGGTTTCGCCAACCCTTCTCTAGACCGAGTCCCCTGTTGACGCATCTGCGTATCAAGTCTGCGGCTGCCTACCCCACGTATGCGAGTCTCGTACGGACAAGCTCACTACCCGCACTGTCCCTTGTGTCTTTCTTGGTTCTTCCCTTGACGGGTCTGACTCGCACTTTAATCACCCGCCGTCTTACCGGTCCTTTCACTCGCGTGACGTCACCTTTGACGAGTCTGTCTCCTTCTACACCCGCTTTCCCCACCAAGGCCACCTGGTTACCCCGCCCCTGTTCCTTGTCTCCACTCCCCTAGTAGCTCCAGCTCCCCGTCCTGCCCCATCTGGTGTGTCTCACGTCACTCCCCTTCCTTCGGTTGGCCCGGCGGAGGATTCTTCTGGCTCTAGGGGCCCTAAGGCTCAGTGTCCGCTGCCTGTTTCTACGGCATCTGCACCCTTGGCCCCGGTGTCTCCTTCGTCGCCGCCGCCGCCGCAGCAGAGGTCCGTGGGCTCTGGGGGTGTTGGCGCTGAGAGTGCAGACTCTAAGGAGGGTTCTCATGCTGGTTCTAAGGGTGCTAGTTCTGGGGGTGTTGTCGTGGCGAGTCCTAGAGGTAGCCGTGGTCCGGCAGGAGGTCCTGGTGTGGGCGCAGAGCAGCAAAAGCCGCAGCAGCAGCAGCAGTAGCCGCAGCAGGAGCAGCAGCAGACAGCGCCGATGTTTGCCCTTCGCCTTCTCGGCCTTCCCTCCCCCGACCGCTTGCCCACGCCTCCCCCAGTGCCACCTCCTCCGCCTGTCTTCGGCCCTGCGTTCCCTCTACTGGACTCGTCCCCTGCTCGTTTCCTCCCTTGTTCTCCTCCTGTGTCTTCTCCCTTGTGACCTTACCCCACGCCCTCTTCTCGCTGGTGGTCTCATCGCCCCTCTCGTGCTCGTCCTGTTTCTCCTGCTCCGAGTGTCCACCCTATGTTTTTTCGTTTTCACGCGTCTCATGCTCCTATCGCTCCTCTTCTCCCATCGTCTCCTCATTCGTCCCTTGCTATCTCCCCGCCTCATTTCTCTAACTTCCTCCGTGATGCTCGCCCCCTTGTTCCTCGTGTCCTTGCCTCCCTTGCTAACGACCCGTCCCGTCTTGTCTCCAGTCTCTCGGTTCTTGTCGCTGCCATCGTTGACTTTGCCTTTAACCGCCATCTTGACTATACGAGCTAGCTTTCCTGACCATGCCCATCCTCCATCCACCGCGAGTGCATCTGTCATTGGCAGTGACGTCCTAGAGGACAGGCAGTACGAGCTAGCTTTCCTGTTTGAGGTCGCTCCTCATCTCTGCACTGTGCTACTAGCCCTTGAGGGTGATCCAGAGGCTCTTGACATCCCAACCCCTCGCATGTATGCTGAGGCGACTTTAGGACCCTGGGCCTCTTAGTGGATAGCTGCTATGGACGCAGATATGGCATCTTGGAGATCCACCGGCACGTAGCTCGACGCAATTTCCCCACCTGGGACGAACGTAGTCGACGGCCGGTGGCTCTTCAAGCTGAAGTACCCTCCTAGAGAGCCGCCAGTGTTCAAGGCGCGCTACGTTGCTAGAGGCTTCAGTCAGCGCGAGGGTGTTGATCTCAGACCTCCGCCCCGACCCCGAAAATGACCACTCACCTACTAGGTTCTCAGCATGACTTGCGTTGAAACTGAACCTGATTGGCTGCAGTCTGAACGATAGCGAACAATCGAGTCAAATTTCGACAATTGCGAGTTTCAGAGCTGGGACGTCGCGCGGGCAACTTATTGAGTGCATGAGCGAGACTTTGTAACCAAGTTTCAGTATTTACTGTGAGTTTTCCCCCTCAAGGTCCCGTTTGCCCGTGTTTCACCTTTTCCTGCTTACACGCTCAAGCCACGTGCAAAACACATGGGACTAAATATGAGAAAATGTGTAAAAATCAAGAGTTTGGGGTTTGAATTCTGAGGGCGCGTTACAAGCTGGACCAAGACAAGATTGAGACTTGAACGTTTGCGGTGTAGAGGTGGTTACCACCCATGTAACCTTTGTACACCTAAGTAATGTACCATGGCGATCAAGACGCTTCTGAAAGATTATCCCGTCCGGACAAATGCGCGTCCGTCCGGCCCCCCCGGGATCGCATTTGTGCATGTATTGACGAAAAGTGGCGCACAAACGTGGATGTCGCAAGTGTTGCCTAGCCGCAACTGCAACCCAATATGCCACATTGCGGCTCGGTGTGTTGTTTTCCGGGCAACCCCGTGCTATTTGCGAAGTGGATGGGTTCGCCAACCACTTCGCACCGCGTTTTTGCATCTTGAACACTCGGGGACGAACCGCAACATTGAACACATTCGGGCGTCGTCTTGACCGCCTGCTTTTTGGAAGTCCGCGGTTGAACGAGGGTCCAGATAGCTTGAATGCACAGTTCGTCCGAAATTTAAAAAAATGTCATCTTGGTCTAACTGGTAACACGCCTTTACAGGGTGAGGGGGAGAAGTTTTCAAGCCGGTAACGGAGGATCTCTGGACAAAACCAAATTCGCGTAGGGCTCAAAATGGATGACCCCAAAGCACCCTTCCCCTCCTGCCCCACACGATCTCCCTCTCCTCCTTGTCAATCCCTCCCCCCCGACCCCCCCAGCACACACTCGGCCCTCGTCTCCCTTCAATCACCCAATCCCTTATTTCTCCTATACCCTCGTTGGGGTGAAGTATGGGGTGGGTACGTACGGATGGAATTGTGGCACGCTTCACGCACCCCTTGACACCCACACTATCCCCGCCATCCCCGCTGTCATTTCCCTCCCAATAGCGACGCCTCTCCCCTGTTACCCTTCCTTCGTTGTCGCCACCTAGGCGTGCAGATCAAAAGCTCGCTATGCTCAACATTAGCGACCTTCGACGCGCGTCTCTTTCTTGCGATGACTCTCGACGATGGTTTGCTCATGGAAAATCGATACCACCATGATGCGTTCAGTCGCCGTGCTGTTGATTTTTGTGTCGCTTACGACTCCGCTAATTCGGGGATGCTGGTTCTTGTCTCTCAACGGGTACACTTCAATGGTGAAACCAATCCCAGGGAAGGTAATAATATACGTTTCATAATATTTCTCTATGTTACTACTATTCCGTGTTTCATGCAGCGTCCGTCTTGGTTGTTGCCACCGTGAGCCTCTACTGGAAGATTGTCGATTCCAAGACGGTCAATTTCGTCCTTAACGGCAGCCCTTATCGCAGTAACGGCTGGTACAGCGTCGGGTTTTCCAATGACGGCAAAATGACCGGCGATGCTTTAGAGGTTTCCAAAGGTTCGGCGACCCCCAAGGTTCTAGCCCGCACGGCCGCGTCTGCTAGCGATGTCGTGGATGCCACGTGGAGCCCTTGCGGGCTGTCACTAAAGCACCGTAACTAGTTCTCCTACCTCAAGTATGGTGGCCTCAAAATTCAGTCAAGTCTTGTTATTCGGGTCCCGACACAGTATCAACGCGGACCTTATCTCTGTCGAACACGCCGTGGCCTAAAAAAGACTGTTACATTCCCAAGATTTAATGATCTCAAGATTCGTGAGAGGTCTAGTGCTTGGTGTTACCATACCATTTCAGGTTTCAGCGCAAGGTGGAAGATGGTGGGTTGGTGACCATCAGGCCCAATGGCAAGAACATCATTATGTTCGTTGTCAAGACAACTCCGTACATCGCAACTGTCACGCATGACCATGCGTAAGAGTAGTCATGTCCGCATCTCTCGTCCTCGTTTTGGGCCGCTCTGCGTTCATTGCTTTCTTTCAATAAGACCTGCATTGCACGCCTGTCTCTGTCCCTAGATGCTTTTACCTCTTGCATACATAGGCTGCAAGGACTTGGCTGTTCCCTCTTCCTGATTGAATACATTGTGATAACCTCATGTGGGAACATGCTACAGTTTTGGTGTTTTGGTGCAGTGTTACTAGAATGGACAACCTTGGTTGCAACCCATGGAAAGGGCCGCTTAGCTTCCTGTTTTGCAAGGCATAAGGTGGAGTCACTTCCCGCTTTAGCAGCTCTTCCAGTCCTACTCATGGGTGGAGCATGAAGGGGGTGTATAGCCTTTGCGCTTCAATGTTGTGTACATATTGCTGGAATTACTAGTAAAGCAAGCTAGCCATTGTGTAGTGTCCAAACCAAACGTCCCCTTGGTAGTGTACAAATATTAGTGTCCCTATTTATATGCCCACGTGTTCATAGATTTCATCTACTATTAGGGTGGGTCCAAATATTACGTGTGATTACAGTGGGGTAGCTTGGTTTGCGTTTCAAAGCTATCGAATAGCAACCTAGAATGGTTGTGTATGGTATTTTGTGGAAACTAAATTTTTGGATCCGCCCTTATCGAACCGTCCCCACATTTTTGGGACATGGCAGGTCGGTGGACTTGTATACGCGCCACGACGCGAGGTGTACGAAAAACTAATGTATATCTTCACCGCCCATGTAATGCACTACGTCAGCGCGTTTCTCGGAATTCTATCTAATGTGAGAATTTTAGAGGGGACGCGCCAAGCAATCACAGACGTGCGTTTCATTTGCACGACCACAGTTCCGAGGCGCGCATTTGCCACCCACCAACCCCCCCCAACCCATCCAACCAGTGACAGGGAGCACACAGTGTCCACTCTGTTACAGAAATGGCATCAGCACAAGCCTATACCCGGTGGTGACATACGGTGTACGAGTCAAGCACCAGGGACCTCGAGCTCCACGCGCAAGAGCCACTAGAAGTCCTGGAAGGCGAACTCGAAATCAGTGAGTGAGAATTCCCCCGAGGAGGGCCCACCACTTGGTTGTTTTGTTGGCTTCTGCAAAACCACCAAGGGGTGCTCTCTACCCCACCGAAAGAACCAAACCACGTTCTTTCTCGGCGAGAGATCGGGCCAGGTCAAGCTCTCACTCAAAGCCCATGCTATTGCCTCTGCAGATTCGTTACGATAGTCGGCACAGAAGGAGCGCCCAGCCGACACCGTTTTGTTGAAGTCGTTGGTCGGTAGGCACCGTTTTCCTCCTCACCTGAATCATCAGCAGCAGCAGCAGCCGTCAGGGCGAGTATGTAGAAGCAGCAGCAGTGGGGCAGCATACCTCCACTTTTCGGCTCGCCAACTTATCGGACATCCAGGGGAAATGTCATTCGGACTCGCCTCAGGATAGATGAGCACGACTGGGGAGAACCTTTGAGACGCCTCGAAAGGAGTTTACGTACGGGAAACGCGGGAGACGCGGGAGACGCGTGAGACGCGGGAGACGCGCGAGACGCGGGAGACGCTAATAGCGCAGTGCGATCGAGAACTTGACCAGCGCTAGAAGAGGATTGAGCTTCTTGTAAGAATTCTCAGAAGTCTCGCATATAGTCGCGGGCGATGCGATGTCGTCGCAGACCAGCAGAGAAGGTCGTCGTGCGACAAGTACAGGGTGTGCGGGGCAGGGGCGATTGCAGGGCGACTGCCGTGCGACAATGACAGACTTGCATACCTCCCATCAAAGACTTTCTCCAAGTTCTGAGTCGATTGTTGAGTCGACTCAAAAGTCTTCTCCAAGCCATAAGATAAAATCCTACCGCCAATCTTCCAGTCTAACCTACCGCCTGCGGCCCCTAAGACCGCGCTCTCCCGCCGCTGACCGCCTCTCTCTCCGCCCGTCCCTCCACCTGTCCCTCCGCGTGTCTCTCCGCTTCGCGCTTGCTCTTCTAGCGCTTCTTGAGCGGGCGCTTCCCGCTTCCTCCGCGCGCTCGCTTGAGGCGACGCAAAACTCGCCCCCCGCGCAATCCGCGCACTCCCTTAAGGCCACTGAAGGCGCGACCCCCGCGCGTCCCGCGAGCTCGCTTCCGCCGCCGCTGCGCAAAGTCCTGGGCGCATTCCGCCGATGCCAGCCGTCCAGCCTCCCCGGTTATACCACTTCCAAATCGCTCTATGGCGGGTATGTGTGATTCCATCTACTCTCTACCCTCCCCCCCCCCCTCCCCAAGCCCCCTCTTCCTCCGCAAATTCCCCCTCCCCCTCGGCTGGGCTGTCCTCTTTCTGCGTACAACGCCCACCGCAACCGCAAACCCCTTAGCCTCTCCCGCTCCACCCCCCTGGTTCTCTCCTCCCCGCGTTTCTTTCGAGAGATTTTTTAGAATTCCCAAAAGTTCTCTCCTCCCCGCGTTTCCTTCTTTCGCCCTCTTGCTCCTTCATTATCTTTTCCTCGGTTCCCGTTCCCCCCCCCCCACCCCTCCTCCCGCCGTCCCCGCCCGATCGCGTTCCTCCGTTCTTGTGTTGATCCCGTTTTAACGCCAAGAGTTGATCGCGAAGAGCTGTTGCGTCAACTCTTGACGCCAAGAGTTGATTTGGTTTCTTAAAATTTCTCAAAAACCAACTCGGCTCATTTTCGTTACTGTGTAGATGATACTCGTCATTTACGGGTGTTTTGAGACGCCTCACAATGCGACTATTTTACACCATCATTTACGGCGTCAATTCCACTTGATGATATCCTTCCACAATTTAGAATTCAGGCGTCAGCCGGTTCCAATCTAGGGGTCATTTCCCGCTTCAACATCTCCTACCTTGACCGGCCTCGCTGCGTCCTCCTCCCCTCCTCCCCTCCTCCCCTCCTCCCCTCCTCCCCTCCTCCCTCCTCCCTCCTCCCTCCCCCCTCCTCCCCTCCTCCCCTCCTCCCCTCCTCCCCTCCTCCCCTCCTCCCCTCCTCCCCTCCTTCCCTCCTCCCCTTCTCCCTTCCTCCCCTCCTCCCCTCCTCCCCTCCTCCCCTCCTCCCCTCCTCCCCTCCCCCCTCCTCCCCTCCCAATCCTTCCCTCCTCCCCTCCTCCCCTCCTCCCTTCCTCCCCTCCTCCCCTCCTCCCCTCCTCCCCTCCCCCCCTCCTCCCCTCCCCCCCTCCTCCCCTCCCCTCCTCCCCTCCTCCCCTCCTCCCATCCTCCCCTCCTCCCCTCCTCCCCTCCTCCCCTCCCCCCTCCTCCCCTCCTCCCCTCCTCCCCTCCTCCCCTCCTCCCCTCCTCCCCTCCTCCCCTCCTCCCCTCCTCCCCTCCTTCCCTCCTCCCCTTCTCCCTTCCTCCCCTCCTCCCCTCCCCCCTCCTCCCCTCCCAATCCTCCCCTCCTCCCCTCCTCCCCTCCTCCCCTCCTCCCTTCCTCCCCTCCTCCCCTCCTCCCTCCTCCCCTCCCCCCTCCTCCCCTCCCCCTCCTCCCCTCCTCCCCTCCTCCCATCCTCCCCTCCTTCCCTCCCCCCCTCCTCCCCTCCCCCTCCTCCCCTCCTCCCCTCCTCCCATCCTCCCCTCCTCCCCTCCTCCCCTCCTCCCCTCCTCCCCTCCTCCCCTCCTCCCATCCTTCCCTCCTCCCCATCTCTCCCCGTTTCAACATCTCCTTACTTGACCCGCCTCCCTGCGTCCTCCTCCCCTTTTCACCTCCCGCTCCCCTCGCTATCGCACTTTCCTCCTTGTTTGCCAGTCTGACTCTCCATTGGGCGGCTGCATCTGGCTCCACGCTTCGAGTCGCGCTACAGGCGAAGGCGGGAACCGCCTCCGCTAAGAGCTGGTTCGCTATAGGCTGGACGCCCGACGGTCAAATGAGCGGATCCGACGCCGTTGTGCGAATCCCGAGCAGTGACACCCCGGGGAGGTATTTTCTGGACGGGTACTCGAACGTCCGCGCGACAACGAGCTTCGCTATAAGTTCGGCTTCGATAGAGAGTACAAGCTCAGTAGGCACTGTAATGAAGTGAGTGCGGAATCAATTCTGGCTCAAAAGAAAGTGTGGGTAAATGCTTGATGCATCCCCATTAATTGGCGGTTATAAAGCCTCAACAACTCTCGAACCCCTGTTGGCAGATTTTCAAGATCCTCTGGCGACGGGGGGAATGTTCAGGTGAAACCTCAGGGGCGGTCTCAGGTGGTGTGGGCGTATGGGGCGGATGCATGGTCGAAAACAGCCCAGCATGATGCCAGGTATGCGAGATGGGTATGGGTGATGGTATGGGTATTGAATCATGGGGATGGGGTTGGGGGATGCTCAGGTGGCGTGAGCTTATGGGGCGGATAGGTAGTTGGCAACCGCCCAGCATGACACGAGAGGTTGTTGGATATGTGGGCATGTGAGATGGGTGTGTAAAATGGTTGTGTCAAATGGATGTGTGAGATGTGGGTGTGTGAAATGTGGGTATGAGAGATGGGTATGTGAGATGGGTATGTGAAATGTGGGTTTGTAAGATGTGGGTATGAGAGATGGGTATGCGAGATGGGTATGTGAGATGGGTATGTGAGATGGGTATGTGAGATGGGTATGTGAGATGTGGGTATCAGAGATGGGTGTGTGAGATATGGGTATGTGAGATATGGGTATGTGAGATATGGGTATGTGAGATGTGGGCATGTGAGTTATGGGTATGTGAGTTATGGGCATGTGAGATATGGGTATGTGAGATAGGGGTATGTGAGATATGGGCATGTGAGTTATGGGTATGTGAGTTATGGGCATGTGAGATACGGGTATGTGAGATATGGGTATGTGAGATGTGGGTATGGGAGATGCGGGTATGGGAGGTGCACTGTATGGGAGATATGGGGAAGGATATGTACTGTACAAAACAGCTATATTTATGACACGTTTCTGTTCATTTGCCAAGTTGAATGGAATGTCCTTTTTTCACCTCCTGGCATTTCACGCCCCCCCTTCGTTTGAACCGACTGCCCTCTCATCCTTCTTTACCTGTGCATCCGTCTCTCTTCCTGCCGAACCTGCAGCACCAAACCAGACTTCCCCAACCAAACCAGCCCCCCCCCCCCAACCAAACCAGTCCCTTCAAACAAAACGATGCCTCCTAACCCCCATAACCACTCCCCCCCATAATCCCTCCTCCCTGCCGCTTCCTTCCCAAACCCCTTGTTGTTTTGACTCGATGTACTTCTGCTTTTCTCTGGCCAGACGGACCCTTTCAGTGGATTTTTCCTGCAATGGTTGCTGGGTGCTCTTTTTCAAGGTCTGCTGAGCTGACGGCACAGTAATAACGCTGATCACACATGGCATCCTCCACTGCAAAGGAACAAATTTATTGATAATGCTGTAACACACCGCGCAGCAACATTGTTGCTTATACATACAAGTTACGGCTGTTCTTCACATGGTAGTACTATCAAGAACAATCTATACTAGGTCAGTTACAACATACCCGTGGGAAAATAGTTGTGGTTTCTGCGACTCGAGAAAACTTCATTTGTACATTTATGTTATTGGTGCACTACAGAAGTGTAGGTGGTCCTTGTTTATGGTACACCAGCACAAACTAAGCCATGTACTCGACTCGACACCGGAGAGTGGATTCAGCACCGGAAGCGCAGCAAACCGCAGCCGCATGTGAAATCGATCAGGGCCGTGTTACTGAGAGTTGTTTGAGTGAGGGGTGAATAGTGAGGGTTGGAGGGGGGGGAGAGGGGGAGGGGGGGAGAGAGGGAGGGGGGGGGTGGGAAGGAGGGTGGGGGCAAGGAGGAAAAATGAGGAACCAGTGCTGTTGTTGGCTTGGGTCATGAGTCATGCCACAGGCCAGTATACGTCAAACCAACGCATACTGCATGCAGCATACAGCATGCAGCATGCAGCAGCATAACACACTGTGGCACGGAGTGGGATGGGGGAGCGATCTCAGCAGTACTGGGCCAATGGTGCCCATGCCATAGGTGAACACAAGCTAACCATCTTCACCCATCTCATTTGGCGTACAGCGTGCCACATGAAGCATTCAGCATATGGCATGCCGAAAGCAGCATGCAGCATGCGACATGCGCACCTGTACTGTGGGTCGCCAATGGTGGTGCCCATGCCATAGGCGACCACAATGTAGGTCAAGCCCTCCCACGTTGAGAGAGAGAGACAATAGACATGAGATGGGACACACCCGCTCACCAGCACATACACACCTGTATTGGGGGTCACCAGGTCGCCAATGGTGGTGCCCATGCCATAGGCGACCACAATGCACTTCAAGCCCTCAAGAAAAAGAGAGTGATAGGTGCGGAAAGCTCAGAGGGATGGGGGATGCGCACCTGTACTGGGGGTCGGCAATAGAATGCCCATGCCGTGGGCAAAGACAATGTAGCTGGGCCCTCCCATCCCAGGTAGCCAGAGAGGGATATGGGACACATGTGGTTGAGGCCCTCCCACATTCAGACAGAGTCAGCGATGCGGAGCCCACGCGCTCATGCAGCGCAAAGCACCGAGGCTCAGAGTGGGATGGGAGGGTAGTCACACCTGTACTGGGGCTCGCCGATGGTGTTGCCCATGCCATAGGCGAACACAATGTAGTTGAGGCCCTCCCACGTTCTGATGCCCACTGATGACCCGTCGCCCTTGGTGCGAGTGAACCTGCAGGCAAAGGTGTAGGAGAGGATAGCAGCGTATATGGCAGGGACACCAGGCACTTGAGAGGATACCAAGCAATAGTGGAGGTGAGGCCCTCCCACGTTCTGATGCCCACAGATGACCTGTTGCCCTTGGTGCAGGTGAACCTGTGTTGCGGGGAAAGAGATGGTGTACATGAGAACGAGCCGATCCTTGGACATCTTCCAGTGAGCACGGCGTCAGGAGACGGAAAATGGGTACACATGAGAAGATGTCCAAGAGAACATGAGGATCTGCAAAGAGATGGTGTACATGAGAACGAGCCAGGGGAGCAAAGCTGAGCGGGGGAGATATGGATGGGTACACATGAGAAAGAGCCAGCAAAGTGGCTGAAGCCCAGCAAAGGAATGGTGTGGTTAAAGCCCAGCAGAGGAATGGTGTGGTTAAAGCCCAGCAGAGGAATGGTATTGTTAAAGCCCGGCAAAGGAATGGTGTGGTTAAAGCCCTTGCACGTTCTGATGCCTACAGACGAGCCAGCCCCCTTGTTGCAAGCGAACCGGCACTATGAGAGATCCATGTGCATGATTAAAAAAGAAGTGACTTTTGAGTCGGCTCAAGAGTCACCTCGTTACAATGTCACACAACACATTGGCACGGTGAGAGATCCATGTGCATGAAAGAAAAAGAAGAGAAAAAGAAGAAAACAAGTACAGCAAGTACCCAAAGGGATCCCTATGTGTGAAATTTTTGAGATTTTTGAGAAAAAAAAAAAAAATCTGCGTGCACGAACCGCTCACATCGTCACACACATTGAACCGCTCACATCGTTACACACATTGAACCGCTCACATCGTTACACACATTGAACCGCTCACATCGTTACACACATTGAACCGCTCACCTCAGAATGGTGCCCCTCTGCGTACGAGTCACCGAGGCGTCGGTAACCCCCCACGCGCTCGCCTCAGTCGCGTCCATATCGGTGCTCAAGTCATAAGCAATGGGGATGTTGTCCGACTCTATCGACACCACGTTGCTGCCGTCCATGCGCCCCTTGGGCGACCACCCCACTGCGAACCACCCGGCTGCTGCGGCCTCTGTGCCGGCCTTAGCCACAACCGCCACCCTTAATCTCTTGCCCGTTGTGGCTTTCCAATGCAGCACGAGACTGAGGGAAGGGAGCAGGGAGGATAGGAGCAGGGAGGATAGGAGCAGGGAGGGTAGGAGTAGGGAGGGTAGGAGCAGGGAGGGTAGGAGCAGGGAGGGTAGGAGTAGGGAGGGCAGGAGCAGGGAGGGTAGGAGTAGGGAGGGTAGGAGCAGGGAGGGTAGGAGTAGGGAGGGAATCGGGGGGAAGTAGAGAGGCGTCATAAAGACCCCACGGCGAGACAAGACGGCCCCTCTCAGCCTTATCTCCGTCAAGAGAGAAGAGGCCTTCCAGAGCAGCAGCAGACCGAGTCACTGAGGGGAGGGGAGGTGGTGGTGGAAGGGAGGGGAGGTGGTGGTGGAAGGGAGGGGAGGGGGAAAAGCGGGTTTGCCACAACCGCCACCCTTAATCTCTTCCCCGTCGTGGCGCTCCCGTGCAGCACGAGACTGAGGGAAGGGTGGTGGTGGTGGAGGGGAGGGAAGAGGGCAAGGCGCGTTACTAGCGGCCTCATAAGGGGCAGTGCAGTGGCTCTCCAGCGCAGCACGAGACTGAGGGAAGGGTGGGTGGCGGTGGAAGGGAGGGAAGAGGGGGGAATAAGTGGCCGACAAGTCGCTGCGACCCTTGCACTTGCCTCCAGTGCGCCTCTCTCCCCGCCTCTCTCCCCCCTCCCTCGAAACAGCGTCGCTGCCGTCCATATGGGCCTTGGGCAACTCAAAAGTGATTTTGTTAACATGTCACGCGACGTCCCCCATAGTCACCTCGTTACAATGTCATGCGACTTCCCCCATAGTCACCTCGTTACAATGTCACACGACGTCCCCCATAGTCACCTCGTTACAATGTCATGCAACGTCCCCCATAGTCACCTCGTTACAATGTCATGCGACTTCCCCCATAGTCACCTCGATACAATGTCACACGACGTCCCCCATAGTCACCTCGTTACAATGTCATGCGACTTCCCCCATAGTCACCTCCTTACAATGTCATGCGACTTCCCCCATAGTCACCTCGTTACAATGTCATGCGACTTCCCCCATAGTCACCTCGTTACAATGTCATGCGACTTCCCCCATAGTCACCTCGTCACAATGTCATGCGACTTCCCCCATAGTCACCTCGTTACAATGTCATGCGACTTCCCCCATAGTCACCTCGTTACAATGTCATGCGACTTCCCCCATAGTCACCTCGTTACAATGTCATGCGACTTCCCCCATAGTCACCTCGTCACAATGTCATGCGACTTCCCCCATAGTCACCTCGTTACAATGTCATGCGACTTCCCCCATAGTCACCTCGTTACAATGTCATGCGACTTCCCCCATAGTCACCTCGTCACAATGTCACGCGACGTCCCCGTACACCCCGGCCCACTTTTGAGTCGGCTCAAACGTCTCTCTCTCTACCGCGCCACACGGCGCCCCGAAGCACACCGCCCCATTCACGCCGCCCCATTCACCCGCCCCATTCACGCCGCCCCATTCACCCGCCCCATTCACGCCGCCCCATTCACCCGCTCCATTCACCCCGCCCCATTCACCCCGCCCCATTCACCCCGCCCCATTCACGCCGCCCCATTCACCCGCCCCATTCACGCCGCCCCATTCACGCCGCCCCATTCACCCCGCCCCATTCACGCCGCCCCATTCACGCCGCCCCATTCACGCCGCCCCATTCACGCCGCCCCATTCACCCCGCCCCATTCACGCCGCCCCATTCACGCCGCCCCATTCACCCGCCCCATTCACGCCGCCCCATTCACGCCGCCCCATTCACCCGCCCCATTCACCCGCCCCATTCACCCGCCCCATTCACGCCGCCCCATTCACGCCGCCCCATTCACGCCGCCCCATTCACGCCGCCCCATTCACCCCGCCCCATTCACCCCGCCCCATTCACCCCGCCCCATTCACCCCCTCGCCGTCTCAAACGCCTTCGTTGAGTCGACTCAAAAGCCTCCTAGCTACAGTGGCTCACGACGCCCCCCGTGCGCCCGGGCTCGCGTCCACCCCACGAGCCGAACCAATGAAAATACGCGTACCCGTTGCCGAGTCTGCGACTGGACGTGTAACCCTTGAGCGACGACGGGTTACATCTGTAGGAGTTCGCCATTCGCCAAAGAACCCATCCGGGGGCGAACAGCATGCGACGCGGAACCAACACGCCATCGTACGACTCTGCCACGTCATCGTGCGACTCGGCCGAAGGGGAGAGCGAGGAAGAGGAGGAAGAGGAGGAAGAGGGCAAGGGCTCGTTGGGCAGTAGTATATTTCTAGCGAGGCTCGGCGCGCTTGTAGCTGGTGGGACAAATCTCGCGGATTCAGAAGCACCAGCGGGAATCTGGTTTTGAGACGTCTCAAAGCTTGGCGCGCTTGAATCTGGTGGGACCAATCTCGCAGATTCAGAGGCACCGGCGAGAATCAACAGTGCGAGTGGAAGTAGGAGACTCGAGAAAACGCTCCTGTGGGGAACTGTTGCTATAACCGCTATCGCCGATAATCTACTAATCACCGCCGTCGCCGATAATCTACTAATGACCGCCGTCGCCGTTCGGCGTTTTCTGACATCTCTTCTTAGTACGGCTGCAGGTGACTGCTCTCGTGGCATGGATATAAGTATGGGGACCCTCCTTCCGAGACGCATCTATGTAGAAGTGCTAGTACACTGTACAGTATACAGTTGCAGTCCCGGCATAAAGCTTTAGGCACAGCACAGAGCGTCAACACTTTCACGAAATGCGGAAGGCACTGCCAGTGTAGCATAAGTCGTTTCCGTAGCACCAGATTGCATTCCGTGCGAAATAAGTGAAGGAATAACTAGAGCTTGCCTGCGCTCTGGAGCTATTTTGGCCCTGGTCGCGCCTGCTGTGTGTGAGCTCGCAGAAGGAGAAACGGACAGGTATGTATGGAAGAACCGAGGTGTCATCAGTCTCTACCGTTCGAAAACCCTATAAACCGCACATAAACGATCATAGATGTTGCTGGAAGTTGCACTGCAAGCAGGAAGCAGCTGCCGCCGAGCCTGCCGCTGGAGGTACACTGTGGTGCTGTGTGGAGGCTCCAGTCGCGAGCTTCGCGTACGTCGTCAATCCTGTAACGCGAGTCGCGATGGAATTCAGGAGCGGCAAATCTCAATAACGACGTTACAAAGGGGTTTCGAGAATCGATAAAATTTCCGTTGGGCTCTGGCACAACACCACCAACATTACCAACTGAGCATCAGCCGCACCGCAGGTGAACCTTCTGATAAGCCATCAGGACACCTGACCTGAAATAGTAACTGTACCCGAAGCGTTAATGATGGGTTGCTGAGTGATGCTCCTAAAATACAGACCTTTGTACACAACTGAGGTAGTATGCTAAAACACATACATCGCATCCCATCCAGTAAATCTCCATGCATAAACCAAGCAGAAGGCCATTTTTACATGCTGCGTTGCTCTACCATTGCATTGTTTTCTTAGCAGGTGTTGCTGAAAAGTGGGCACCCGCATGCAAAATTCACGACCGTGCTCCCACTGCACACACAAGACACGCCCTTGAATCGGTGTGAAACAGCAGCAATAAACAAGCACTATCCGCCAAGGAACTCACGAAATGCAGGAACATGATACATAAATCGAGGCAAGGTTAGGAAAGCTGATTGGGTGTGAGCATGTTACAAATTGGTGTGTACAGACGCAGCGGTGCCCATTGTCATGCACCCACATTGTTATTGTTGCCACCTGCTGCGACCTTTACAGAAGGCCCATAGCCCCTAGAAATGCAGGAAAGTGCTACAGCAACCAAGCCAAGGTGGGGAAAGCTCACCGATTGGTGTGCGCGGACACAGTGTTGCCATCGCCATACGCCCACACAATCTTGTTGTTGTTGTCCGCCCTGACTTTCACAGACGCCCCATCGCCCTTGTTCTTCGTAAACCTGCACTCCAAATAACAGCAGAACACGCAACAAACATACATGAATTCGCAGCAGAGGTAATACGGTACATGCCAGGAATATGTTCGGTTATCCACTCTGACCTTCACAGACGCCCCGTCGCCCTTGTTCTTCATAAACCTGCACTCCAAATGACAGCAGAACAAGCAACACAACTAACAAACATGTGTTCGCAGAGGTCCCTTGGAGGTCATACGGTACATGCCAGGAAGATCTTCGGTTACCCGGTTACCATCATCTCCCAAGGCAGCCGCGTTGCTGCCGTCCATGCGGCCCTTGGGCGGCCACCATGACAAACCAACCACCCCACGACAACCCCTAATAGAGCAGGTTTACGACTGCTCTACGAAGAGCACTCACTTCATCGTAACCTTGCCCCCAGCAGTCGAGATCGACGGCGATCCAACGGTCCAGGTTGCAGCGTTCGCAGCAGAGGTGCCTTCGAGATCATACACGGCAGGGGGATTTGCAGAGTCCTCCATGGCCACTGTGTTGCTGCCGTCCATCTTGCCCTTGGGCGACCACCCCACTGCGAACCACCCTCCTGCGGGCGTGCCCGAAGCCACCACAGCGACCTTGATGGTCCTCCCCTTAGTGGCCTTCCAGTGCAGAGTGAGACTGAAAGGAAGCACAGGGAGGAGGGGGGGGAAGGAAAGATCGGGGATGGGGAGAGGAAGACTCAGCCATGCGGCCCTTGGGGGACATCCCAAGGCGAAACACCCCCCTGCACCTGTGCCTAGAACTACCACAACGACCTTCATTGTCCGTCCCTTGGCGCCCTTCCAGTGAAGGGTGAGACTGAAGGGTGTTGGGGTGGGGAGAGGTTTGGAGGAGGGGTGGGGGGAGAGGGGGGGGGGGAGGGGGGGGGGGAGGGGAAAGAGGGGGGAGAGGGAGGGGAGGGGGGGGGGTGTGGGGTCTTATGCAGGCTTGTCGATGACCTATTAATGCCCAGAGGAAAGGAGTCCTGCTGGGAGTCACCCAGAGGTGAGGCGTTTCGTCGACGTGTAAACGAGGTGTGGCCCTTGAGCTGCGACTTGAGGTGGCGAGCGAGTCGACTGAAAGCCCACCCTCACACGCTCGCCGTTAGGAGATGACGTTTGAGTCGACTCAAAAGTCAGCTCGCCTTGAGGACGATTCCGCCGCCGCCGCTACTTACCCCGAAGTGAGTCGCTTGGTCGACGTGCGGCGGCCAAGCGACTTACCCTTTCGGCGGCGAGCGGCCGCAGTCGATCCGCTCGAGCAGCAGCTGACGCCGAACGCTCGATCGCGACGAAAGACGCGACCGTGATTGTAACGAATGTCACCAAGGAGCTCTCTTCGGAGCGGCGGAGCCCTGTTGCATCATCATGTGGAGTTGAACTCACCCGCCCGTGAGTCGCTTGGTCGACGTGTACCCTTTGAGCCGCGAGCGGCCGCAGCTGATTCGCTCGAACGCCAGCTGCCGCCGCACGCTCGCGACGAAGGACGATGTGCTTGTAACGGGTGCCGAGGCGCTCTCTTCGGACGATGTGACTTTAGCGGGGAAGGGTCTCTCGGCGACCGCACGAGGCGCGAGGTGCGCTGTAAAGAGGCTCACGGCGAGCAGCACGAGCGGGAGCGCGCCGCTTGCGAAGGAGAACCTTGAGACACGCACAGCCATGGCGATCGCTAACGCGGAACGATGGGCGGACGGTGAGGAGGGTGGTGGAGGGTGGTGGAGGGTGGTGGAGGGTGGTGGAGGGTGGTGGAGGGAGATAGAGGGAGTCGCGATGTCGCAGCGACGGAGGATGCGTGACGGGCCTTGCGACTCGCCTGCGACTCGCCTGCGACTCGCCGCCTGTGGTGACGGAGCTCGGTAGCGATGCTCTTAGCTGCGCTGGACTGTCCGCAAAGTGTGGCTCGTGGAAAGGGAGTCACTACGTAGACTTTCTAGTGCTGACAATCACAGGGGTCAGCTGGGGAAAGCTGGGGAAAGCTGGGGAAAGCTGGGGCAGGTGCTTCAGCAGAAACAGCCGCTTCTTCACCCAGCTTGCACCTCACGGGGAAGCGCCCCCGCCGACATTCGTCGGTGCACGTACGACAACAGTGTTCTAGAGAAGCTGTCGCACAAGGTGGCTTGTTTCGTCGCGACGCGAGACGAGGACAGGACAGGACACACGCTGCCCCCGCCCCCGTTATAAAACCGAGGAGGAGGGCTCGGGGATGTGTGCTGTGCTGTACTGTACTGTACTGTACGGTTCTCGGGCGTGTGATCATCTTGTGATGGAAGCTGGGAGCCCAAGGCAACGGCAGCGGGCATGCGGCACAGCACGAGTAATGTATGCCTGAACCAATGAACGAAACTAGCAAACAAACCTATTCTGGTTCTTGCACCTTGCGTCTACTCTTTTCTTCACTTGTGCTGGCAGCACACGCCGACGTTCCTCTGACCGACCACGTCATGCAGCTGCCTCACGCTCTCCGGTTTGGAATCCTAACCGAAGCCCAAGGCGAGGAGACGAGGTGAAGAGGAGGCGGCGACGCGACGCGGCGTGGCGGCGAGAGAAAACGTGAGACGAGAGGAGAGGGGATGAGGGGGAGAGAGAGCGAGGGGACTACCGTACCAAAGCAAGCGAAGGTTCTTCTGCCTGTACGAAGCATAACTCCTGTAAGGATTCGTCCGGCGGCACCAGAAAATGAGCAGGTGCACCTCCCCCAGCCCTGCTGTCAGATTTTAGAGCCCAGAAATCTCTGAGCGAATCGTGTCCGCCCATTGAGCGGTAAGCGTGGCACCGAACAGGTTTTTGGCCCTATGGGAGTTCCAACCAATGGATTTGGTTCGGCAAAGGTTCGGCTTTGGGTTACTAGAAGGGTTACGACTAGAGAATACCAGCACCGCCTGTAAGGAATGCGTAATTCCTTACTGAGGCTTGCTAGAGGGCGTACGACTCGAATAGTCCCGAACCATCGCCAGGGTTCCTGACCTTTCGGTTCGAGCCTCCTGGGCCTTTCCGGACCTCGCTACGACACATCGAGGCCCTTCGACACATTTCCCGAACCTTTCGATCCTACGTCCAGGATCACCCTAGGCTTTCTATATATTGTGTGTTCTTTCATTTTATTGTCATTCACTCGTTCACAGTTTCGCCATTGCCCTCCGCGCTACTCAGCAGTCCCATTCATAACACCGCCTGTAAGGTTCGGCTCGACTACAGCGCGTACGCCTCCGAGTCTGGGAAGTCCAGGCTCGGCCAACTTCTTCGGTCCCGAACCACTTCGCGAACACAAACCTCAACGCGCAGCGCTTCCGTGGATTTTGCCAACCGAATCGCCCCAACCTGTTCGCGTGGTTCTCGGCTAGCACTGTTCGTGCCTATAAATGCCTCGGCCCTCATTTGTATTGACACTCTTGAATCACGACTCCTTAATTACACTACCTGTTATTACTCTGATTAATTCATAACAGTTGGTATCAGAGCCCCGTTCCTGCCCGCTTAGTATTTCGTAGAGTAGTTCGATTATATCGGAAGAGGACCCGACAGAATAGAGGATTGGCCAGCGGTTGGTAGGCGAGCTCGTTAAAGCTCCTCCTACTAAAAGTGTGTGCATCCTCAGATCTGTTAGGTAAAATTTCCAGCATGACTACCACGTCGGAAACCTGTCCGTCGTAGTGTTAGGAACGTGACTCAGGAGGAGTTTGACGAGTTGCAAGCCAGGGCGGCTACAGTGACGACATAGCAGGCCCGGCTTCAACAACTCGCCGATAAGTTCGAGTCGCTGGGAAGCGAACTACAGACGCTGCGCAACGAAAACTTGTTGCTTCGCCAGACGTAGGGTGAAACGTGTCAGGGGCGGCCTGTTATCCGAGACGAAGACGATGCGAGCGAAGCGAGGGCGTCGGCGACAACTGAAGCAGTTGAAGAAGTCTACAGCGAGCCGCGGGCGGCCATTAAAATCAAGCCTCCGATTGCCCCACCGTTCAACCCGACCAGCAGGACAGCTACAGTGAGCGGACGGCTGTTCGCCATGGAAATATTCTTCACGGCAGCAAGTATTAATGACAATGCATCCCGTGTCAACTTGGCTGTGTCGCTGCTGAGGGGACCGGCACTTGACTGGTAGCGCATGCATCTAGACGAGGGAGGAGCCCCGGCAAGGAAACAACGAGCGGCAGATGGGGAGCTGAGTTCATCAACGGCGAATGTAGAACCAATCTTTGGATCGGCCACGATCCGCACGTGGAAAGCGTGGGGCGAAGCGTTGAAGGGCATATTCGAGCACATATCCATGCGCGAAAATGCTCGCACAAAGCTTCGGATGTGGAGCCAGTTGGGCCCTGACCAAGAATACACGGCGTCGTTTCTGGCAATCTGCGACCAAATCGGAGGGCTTAGCGAAGACGAGAAAATTGATCGCTACGTGGGTGGTCTCAAGCCGGACATTCAGTAAGAGATCGTTCTGCGAGCCCCGACGACCTTCAACGAAATTGTTCGTATAGCAGACGCGCTGGACGCATGACGTGGACTCTCGAGAGCGGGTTTCCGGGAGGGAAATCGCTTTCGAGGCCAGCCCCAACACACATCAATAAACGGTGTGGACGTGTTTGCAGCCCGAGTATTTTCGGGAACCTGCTTCCACTGCAACCAGCCGGGTCAAATGGTGAGGGACTGCCCGCAGCTAAAGAAGACCTTACCTAACGACAAGCAGCAGTCGGGAAATGGAGATCGTCAGTAGTAGACGGGCCACCTACTGACTTGACTGCGGCGCCCAAACGCCACCCACCCCACCAGCTTATAGTGCCGATTTGGGCTATCGACCATTCCTGACTGAATAAGGGGGGTGAACCGGTTGATCGCCCTGTGCTGGTTGAAGGGAGAGTTGGCGACACCCGCATAAAAATATTTGTTGATGGCGGGGCGAGCCACAGTTTGATGGACGTGACGAAGGCGAAAAAATTGCGCCTGCAGCTGGAGCGCTGCATGCCTGAAATCGACGCGAGATTGGTTGACGGCACACCCCTTGCAATTCGGGAGCGGGTACCTCATGTGCGAGTGACATGCGGCGAAAATTTCAGTTTCACGACGAAGATGTTGGCGACAACTTTGGACGGCTGGGATGCGATTGGCTGCGCGAATACAACCCGAGCATCGACTGGCGGACGCGCGATTGTCGCATCAAATGGAGTGGCGAGTGGAGACGACTACCCAAGTGGAGCTGTCAAGATTCGACCACATCGACGGTCAGCGCGGTGACGATCAAGCGAGCCATGATTCGAGGGGCGCAACTGTACAATGTCCGATGGATTGCATCAACGGCTGTCAGCGCGCCGACCGACATCGACAAACTCTACGCAGCTGTCCCGGATGATTCGGCGATGGTGATTCAGAAACACGCCGGCATTTTTCCAGACGACCTCCCATCGGGGTTGCCATTTAAGCGAGACCACAACCACAAAATCGAGCAAGAGTCCAGCGCGCAACCTACTGTTCAAACTCAATGGCGACTGACTCAGCCCGAACTGGATGAACTTCGACGCCACCTGGACTACCTGCTCGAAAAGGCTTTGTTCGACCAAGCACTTCACCATTCGCCGCTCCGATACTGTTCACCCCAGAGAAAGATGGCGGTCTACGAATGTGTATTGACTACCGCACCTTGAATCGGGTTACCATCAAGTCCCGCTATCCTATCCCGCGTGCCGACGAACTCATCGACCAACTTCGCGGAGCCAAGTTCTTTTAGAAAATTGACCTGCAATATGGTTACCACCAAATCCGTGTGAACAAAGCTGACTGCTACAAGACGGCATTTCGGGTCCGGTACGGGAGCTACGAGTACAAGGTTATGCCTTTTGGCTTAACAAACGCGCCTTCGACGTTCCAGTTAACCATGAACGAAGTTTTTCGACCGTTGATGGATAAATGCGTCATCGTGTACCTCGACGACATCCTGATCTATCCGGGAACAGCATTTGAAGGATTTGGGAGCAGTTTTTTCTCTATTGCAGCAGCACCAACTCATCACCAAGGGTTCTAAGTGCGAGTTTCTAAAACCAGAGCTGAAGTTTTTCGGACACGTTATTTCCATAGATTGTGTTAAAATCGACCCTAAGAAGATTGCGACCATCCAAGACTGGAAGCCGCCGGCTAATCTCCGAGAACTTCAGAGTTCTCTGGGGTCTATGAATTATGTCCGCCGATTCATTCCGAACATGACGGGGGTAACTTCCCCCCTCACGGATCTTATGAAGAAAGGCAAGTTTTATAAGTGGGGGAAAGAGCAGCAGGCTGCGTTCGAAAAGCTCAAACTTTTCCTGACTACACCTCCGGTTCTTCGAATTGCAGATCCTCACCGTCCGTTCGAACTCATCACCGACACTAGCGATCTGGCCGTTGGCGCGGTACTGTTACAAGACTTCGGCAAAGGCCTCCAACCCATCGCGTACGAGTCACGAAAGCTGAACCCGGCCGAGCGAAATTATCCTATCCACGACAAGGAGTTACTCGTCATCGTTCACGCTTTCAAACTCTAGCGTTGTTACCTGACGGGCGCTGACGTGACAATCCGAACAGACCACAAATCGCTACACTTCATCCGCGCCCAACCAGCACTGAATCTCTGACAGATTCGCTGGCTCGATTACCTCGAGTCCAACTTTCACTACATAGTCACCTACAAACGGGGGGTTAGCAACATCGCCGATGCACTGACCCGCCCTTCAGTCCACACCGCCATAGTCCTAATTACCCAAGCTAATCCGCTGCTACTGTAACTGGCCAATTCACCCACGGATACAGTACTGATCCATTCTTCGCCAGTAACAGCCATCCCCAACTGACGGACAAGCAAGGCGCCTATTACCTAAAATCTGGTACTAATCGGATTTGGGTTCCCGCCTATCGTACCCTACGAGAATTACTGATTCAGGAGGCACATCACTCGAATTTCTCGGGTCACTACGGCATCGACAAAACCGTCAAATTACTCAGCCGTAATTATTACTGGCCCGTTTTGCCGACCGACGTGCAGCAGTATGTCATCTCCTGCGCCACATGTCAACGAATGAAGTCTTCATGGCTTCGACCTGCTGGATTGCTGCAGGCGCTCGAGCCACCTAGCCAACCCTGGCAACAAGTGACGATGGATTTCGTCACTGGCCTGCCAGCCGGTTCAAGCGGTAACGACGTAATTCTCGTCGTCGTCGACCGGTTGACCAAGATGGTCCACTTCGCCGCCTGCAAGACGACGATTACTGCCGAGCAGATAGCGAAACTGTTCCTTACGAACATCGTGCGGCTACACAGCATCCCTTCGGCAATCATCAGCGATCGTGACCCACGGTTCACGTCCAACTTCTGGACAAAAACCTGGCAGCAGTACGGCACACGTCTGCATCTGTCCACGGCGTACCACCCGCAATCGGACGGCCAGACTGAGCGCACCAATCAGACGATGGAGCAGCTGATTCGCACGACGTGCACAGACCCGGCCCAATGGGAAGACGCCCTTCCCTTGATCGAGTTTGCGTACAACAAAGCCCCATCGGCCACGACTACATAGTCCCCGTTCTTCCTCAATCAGGGGATAGATCCGACAACCCCTCTATCACCACCGATAGAAAACCCGGCACCAAGATCTCAGCAGTTCGTCGAAAATCTCTGACAGTCTCAGCAAAAAGTCGCCGATGACATCCTCAAAACCAACCTGAGGGCTAAGCAGCAAGCTGACCGACGACGTTGAGAGTTAACACTTGTCCATGGTCAATTGGTCCTCCTCGACACCAGAAATCTGGGAATTCCCCTCCCAAATAAATTTGCGGTCCATTCCGCATCATCCGCATGGTGACACCAGTCACTGCTCAGCTGCAACTGGCGACCGACTGGAGAATTCATGATTCGTTCCACGTCAGTCTCTTGCGACCGTTCGTCCGGAGTACGACTAATCTCGACCGTCAACACATCAATCCTACGGTCAACCCAACACCCGAGCCAACGATCGAGCCGTCCAAGATTCTCGCTCATCGCGTACGAGGCTCTCGAGATACAGCAGCCGTCAATTTCCTTGTACGATGGGTCGATCGCACAACTGACGACGACCTCTAGGTTCCCGCAGCTTTGCTCGGCGACCATAAAGTAGTCCGGGACTATTTACATCGACGACGTGTCCCGGATGTGGGTAGTGTCATCCCGGAAGGGAGGGTGGTGTAAGGAAATCACCTTTTTCCTTATTGGGCTCGACTACAGCGCGTACGCCCCCGACTCTCGGAAGTCCAGGCTCGGCCAACTTCTTCGGTCCCGAACCACTTCGCGAACCCAAACCTCGACGCGCAGCGCTTCCGTGGCTTTCGCCAACCGAATCACCCCAACCTGTTCGCGTGGTTCTCGGCTAGCTCTGTTCGTGCCTATAAATGCCTAGGCCCTCATTTGTATTGACACTCTTGAATCATGACTCCTTTATTACACTACCTGTTATTACTCTTATTAATTCATAACACCGCCCCTTCTAATCAATTTTTAGTACATTTGTCTAGCATTACAACCTTGGAGCCAACACGTCCTACTATGCATGGATTCAAACTGCCCTAAGCACATCTCACCTGAGCGCACTCCACCCGTTTCGAGCTTCTGGATTGGAAATCACGTGCTCTAAACCACCCCCAGAAGCTCGAGGCCGCAACCAAGCAGCCACAGAACGCAGCACCGCCAACTGGCTATCTATTATCTGTAGAGCCATACCTAACCTGCTTGTGTCCACCTCATACGCCATCTGCTTGATTACCTGCAATTACAAATCGGAATACACCAAACACATTAAAATGTGAGGACAATCGTGTGATCTTGAGGACAATGTTGTGAGGACAAGGGTGTGAGGACAATGGTGTTAGGACAATGGACATAACCAATATATTCACGCAACACTGAGGTTGATAACACTCAGTGGCATCGAATCTCCCTAATTCTCAACAACATAGGCTACTCCTTGTGGAAGGGGGTAGAGCACATGACAGATGCACGTCACGTGAGCCAACAGACTACAAAATGCAGCAGCGGCCCCATCCCCTGCAATTCGATCGAGCATCTCCATTCTGTGCTCTGCTACCTCACACGCGGTGCACACACCCTGTGCTCTGCTACCTCACACGCGGTGCACACACCCTGTGCTCTGCTACAGCAGCAGCCCATTGCTCTGCCCTTCAAGCACCACCATCATGTGGGGTGTCCCATTGCCTCACCTACTATCTCACACCCCATGCTCTATCTCTCACCTGCCGTGCATCCATCATGTGCTCTATCCTCTCTTCCATCAGCGACAGCAGCAGCCCCATGGCTCTGCCCTCCCACCCCTCCACTCCTGCCACCTCCCCTCCTCCCCCCTCTCCTCTCTCCCCTCCTCCGCCCCCTCCCTGGGCTCTGATTGGTCGCCTTGCCACTGTGCCACTGTGATGTCGCCCCTCGTCACGCAGAAATTGCAGCTGCCAGAGGAGGAGACGCGAGGGGGGAGGGACAGACGGAGAGGAGGAGATGCAGGGGGGGGGGAGACAGAGGGAGAGGAGGAGACAGGGGAGGAGAGAGGGAGAGAGAGTATGAGACCCTCGTCATGCAGAAATTGCAGCTGCCAGAGGAGGAGAGGGGGGGGGGGAGGACAGAGGGAAAGGAGGAGACGGGGGAGGAGAGAGGGAGGGAGAGCATGAGAGCGAGGATTCTGGCCATGGCTCGCAGGGCGAAGGGCAGGCCCCTCGCTCCTGTTGCACCAAGGCGCCATGGGCACATGGGCACATGGGCAGATAGCAACCTTTTGCGGCTCACCTGGTCCTTGCTGCTGGCTGTGAGGATTCTGGCCAAGGCTCGCAGGGCGAAGGGCAGGCCCCTCCCATCGCTGGCTGGCGTCTGGATGCGCCTGGGTGGGTGGGCGGAAAGGTGCATGGTATTCAGGCTTTAAGGTGCGTGGTATTCTGGCTTCCCGAGTTCGTCAAGGTGCCGTCTGTGCTGGTGCTGGCATGGCAGTCATCAGATCCGCATCTTCTCAAGGTGCCTACTGCCCTCCCTTGCATCGGATCTCCGGCCTCGGTTTCATCTCTTGGAGGCGCCTCACAAATAGCATCCAATTTCTCAGCCTTGGTTGGTTTCATTTGAACCAAACGACCAGTGTTCAAACTGCTGGCACGTTGACCAGTTTGGCGTGCGAAATGCGGCGCCACAGGCAGAGACAGGCCTCAAACAGACAAGTAATAACCCTCCTAAAAGGAGAAGACGAAGAAGAAGAAGAAGAAGAAAGAAAAGACGTGCAGCTGGCAGGACCCATCTCCTCAAAGACATCGGCTTCTAGAGACTCACTTAAGAACAAACGAGGCGCCACTAGCCGTGTCAGAAGGCAGCAGCTGAGCCTCCACCAGAAGACACCTTTTGGCCTCGTTGAGTAGGGCATTATGGGGGGTAGTGCTGCTCGATACAAGCACACACATCTCCACCTGGTTAAGAGGGAGGACAGGGCAGAACTATGGTCACAAGGCAGCAGTTGGCCCTCCACCAGAAGGTGCCTCTTGGCCTCGTTGAGAGGTGCGTTATGGGGGGTAGTGCTGCTGGATAGAGGAACTCAAATCTCAACCTGGATGGACGGTTGGGATGACAGGGGAAACGGCTGGGGAGGGTTAGGGCCACAAGGCAGCAGCTCAGCCTCCACCAGAAGACGCCTCTTGGCCTCTTTGAGATGGTAACCGGTGGGTCTTCGTCGAAAGGCGCCATTGACCTGTATGAGACAAAACGGTGGATGTAGAGAAGACAGAGTAAGACGGACAGAGATGAGACCACTTGTTTCATTCTTTAGTCGGCTCAAAGGTCAACCCGCCAAAAGGCGTGAGAGAAATATGACAAAAATGAGTGAGAAAAATGACACCACCTAGTTCACTGAGTCGGAAAGCTGGATATAGAGGAGTGAAACCCCTGCTAGTGATTTTGCCTACTAGAAGTAACACTCACTGAGTCAAGGGGGGGTTATCTGCAACAACGAAACAAACAAGGCAGTTGTTTGAGACAGGGCAGTTGTGAGTTTGACAAACAAAAAAGGCATGTGAGTGAACAACTGCCTGTATCACCTCGTGGTTTCAGAAGGTGACTTGTGAGTCGACTCAAAAGGCAGTTGTTTGATACACAGCATGGCCTTAACAGGGTTTCAGAAGGTGCCTTGTGAGTCAACTCAAAAGACGGTTGTTTGATACACACAGCATGACCTTGCGTCAACAGAGTTTCAGCAGGTGACTTTTGAGTCAACTAAAAAGGCACTGGGTTGTATACGGCACGAATGCAAGTGAACAGGATGGATTGTGACTGTATAGGGCAGCATAGCATAGCACTCACCGAGTCGTGGGGGTTATCAGCAACGGCGAAGCCAAAGTCTAGAGCCAGGACACCGTTAGACAGGTCCCCATAGCTCACAAGCACCTTACAGGTGGAAGGGGGAGGTGAAGGAGGGGATCGGAGGCAAGTATAAAGGTGCATCCAACATTGAAGTCTAGAACCAGCACCCCGTTAGACAGGTCCCCATAGCTCACAAGCACCTTACAGGTGGAAGGGGGAGGGGGGGGGGGTGGCAGAGGCAAGGTGAAACGTGCATCCAACGGTAAATTCCAAGCCAGCACGCCGTTGGGCAGATCCACATAGCTCACGGGCGCCTTTGTGGTTACGGATGTATTTTGAGTCGACTCAAACTCAAAATGTCCCCATAGCTCACGGGCACCTTCGTGGTTAGGGATGTGTGCGGGAGACAGGAAAGTGGGGGGGGCGGGGGTCAAGAGCATGACGGAGAGGGGGGGGGAGAGTGGAAGAGGGGTTAGAAGGAAAGCGAGGTCGAAGGGAAGTGAGTTGAAGGGGGTTACAGTGGATGGCAGACACTCAGGGGAGAACGATTCTACTGCAGCATGCACAACATGAGGCTTATAACGAGGATAGGGTGTTGTCTCGTGAAGGTCACAGCTCCGTCCCATGCTACGACCACAACTCCAGTTATGCATGTACCCAGTTATGCCATGCTACTTCACACCTTGGCTGCTCATCACCTGCACCGGTAATCACCTGCACCAGTAATCACCTGCACCAGTAATCACCTGTTCCCCTGGCTCGTAGTCCCTGTCAGCTGTGATCTGAGAGCACATGGGCAGGGGGAGCACATGGGCAGGGGGAGCACATGGGCAGGGGGGGCACATGGGCAGGGGGAGCACATGGGCAGGGGGAGCACATGGGCAGGGGGAGCACATGGGCAGGGGGAGCACATGGGCAGGGGGGGCCCATGGGCAGGGGGAGCACATGGGCAGGGGGAGCACATGGGCAGGGGAAGCACATGGGCAGGGGGAGCACATGGGCAGGGGGGGCACATGGGCAGGGGGAGCACATGGGCAGGGGGGGCACATGGGCAGGGGGAGCACATGGGCAGGGGGAGCACATGGGCAGGGGGAGCACATGGGCAGGGGGAGCACATGGGCAGGGGGAGCACATGGGCAGGGGGAGCACATGGGCAGGGGAAGCACATGGGCAGGGGGAGCACATGGGCAGGGGGGCACATGGGCAGGGGGAGCACATGGGCAGGGGGAGCACATGGGCAGGGGGAGCACATGGGCAGGGGGAGCACATGGGCACGGGGGGCCCATGGGCAGGGGGAGCACATGGGCAGGGGGAGCACATGGGCAGGGGAAGCACATGGGCAGGGGGAGCACATGGGCAGGGGGGGCACATGGGCAGGGGGAGCACATGGGCAGGGGGGGCACATGGGCAGGGGGAGCACATGGGCAGGGGGAGCACATGGGCAGGGGGAGCACATGGGCAGGGGGAGCACATGGGCAGGGGGAGCACATGGGCAGGGGAAGCACATGGGCAGGGGGAGCACATGGGCAGGGGGAGCACATGGGCAGGGGGGGCACATGGGCAGGGGGAGCACATGGGCAGGGGGAGCACATGGGCAGGGGGAGCACATGGGCAGGGGGAGCACATGGGCAGGTACATGAGCACATGGGCAGGTACATGAGCACATGAGCACAGGGGGATTACGAACAGCAGACAAGGATGTGAAGGGGGATTACGAGGTTGGTCTGGGCAGGGGGGGCACATGAGTGGAGCACATGGGCAGGTGGCGGCAGGCAGGGAGGCAAGCGGCGGATGGGCTGGGGAGAGGGGGGGAGGGGATCAGGGGAAAGGCAGCAAGGCGAGACATGGGGGTCATGAAGACCAGTCAGCAGCCTCCAGGAGTCAGCAGCCTCCAGGAGTCTATTTTTAAGGCGCCTCAAAAATAGTCAGCAGCCTCCAGGAGTCAGCAGCCTCCAGGAGTCTATTTTTGAGGCGCCTCAAAAATAGTCAGCAGCCTCCAGGAGAGGATTAGAGGCAGACGGGAAGGACAAGGGGGGGATGGACGCAACCCTACTGCTTGCCAGCTGCTCCTCGTCGTAGCAAAGGAGAGTGTGCGTGTTCACCATGAGTGTGAGTGAACACCATCAACGGGCAGAGGAGGGCAGCACGCATCGCCTCAAAAGACACCTAGACGCACCTCCACTGCTTGCTGCTCCTCGTCATAGCACAGGAGCGTGTGAGTGCCGGGGTTGTGATTGATCATGTCGGCATAGGGCACCTGAGGGGCGTTAATGCAGTTAGGAAAGGGGAGGATGGGGTGGAGCAGGACAGGGAGGAATGAGAACAGTAGACAGAGAGAAAGGAAAGGACGGCGACTGTGAGAGGAGGAGTTGTGAGTATCATGCCAGCAGATGGCACCTGATAGACGTAAAAGCACAGCACGGAAAAGCAACAGAGAAAAAAGGGTACAGAGAACACCTGAGGGGTCAGTAGACAGGTTAGCAAGTAGGAAATAACAGTAAACTAAACGGGTACAGGGAAAAACGGGTACAGGGAAAAACGGGTACAGGTGGTATCTCTCACCAGAGCCAGGTTGCCCAGAGATTCGATTCCCCATGCTCGTGAGCACACTGCACTGTGAGAGAGTGAGGCACGGAAGAGGGGAGGGAAGTGGGAATGAGAGGTAGGGGAGGGGAGAGGCATCATAAGGCTCCTGAGTCGACTAAAAAACCGAGTGTAATGAGTCTGCTTTTGAGTCGACTCAAAAACCGCGTGTAATGAGTCTGCTTTTGAGTCGACTCAAAAACCGCGTGTAATGAGTCTGCTTTTGAGTCGACTCAAAAACCGCGTGTAATGAGTCTGCTTTTGAGTCGACTCAAAAACCGCGTGTAATGAGTCTGCTTTTGAGTCGACTCAGAAGTGGGAAGGAGAGGTAGGGGAGGGGAGAAGCCTCATAAGGCTCCTCTTCCCCACGCTAGAGAGCACACTGCACTGCGAGAGGTGGGAGAGAGGAGGGGAAGAAAGGAAGTGGAAGAGGGGGTGGGTAACGAGGGAAAACAGGGGGAGGCAGCGTGGGTGAGGGAAACGAGAGAGGGGATAGACAAACAGAGATCACTGTGCTAGCTGTGCTACAGCTGTGCTAAAGCTGTGCCATCCTTCTCCACCACTGGAAATTCGAAAAAATGAATCACCTGGTCATGTCAAGTTTTGTTTCTGCGCGCCTTATTACTTTTATTAACACACAGATCTGCTACTGACTTGCCCCATGAATCGCTCTGTTCTGTTTCGCACCTAGTGAGAAGGCTGGCGAAACCCAATCCATACCTAGCGAGTAGGCATGGCAGAATTGCTCGAAGGTCAGGTTCGGCAGGAAAGCGTGCAGGTGCGGATGATCGGCCAGGGCCTGGAAAAGGTAGGGGGAAGGGAGGAACGGGGAGTGAGAAGAGGAGGAAAAGGGATCGTCAGGTGAGGAACAGGTGCAGCACAGCACAGAAGGACAAGTGTTTGAGCTGCTCACATGCAAAATTTCTCCCTCACATTGAAAGTTACAAGCTCACAAGCCCGCAGGAGAGAATTTCGTCTATACACAGAATTAGACAGGTTTGAAACATGCATGACGGGGTTTTACAGGCGTCTATTTTTGAGGCGCCTCAAAAATAGACTCCTTTTACAGGCGCCTACAAAATCGTCCATGCCACCACAAGCATGCACAATGGGGAGTTTTCCAGAAGTTTGTCAGATGCTTGCCAAACGAAAAGCCATGTCACAAGTATGCATGGTGGTGAGGGATGGGGAGAGGAGGGGAGGACTGCGTGAGAGGAGAGAAGGAGGGAAGCGGTTGAGAAGGGTCAAAAGAGTTCGGAAAAAGTGGGGGGTTTCGGAAAAAGTGGGGGGTTTTGGGAGGAGATCAGGGGGGAGGGGGAGGACTTTCGAGCTGACTTTTAGGAAAAAGGGGGCCATCATGGCGCCAATGTGGTGCTCCCTTGGAAAATGGAGGAGATCAGGGGGGATGGGGAGGAAGGAGGGGAGAGGAGAAAGGGAAGGAGGGAAGAGGAGAGGAAGGGAAGGAGGGGAGAGGAGGGAAAGAAGACGAGGGGAGGGTAGCAAGATGCTTTTGAGGCGCCTTGAAGTGAAGTGAAGGCACGCCTGTGCATTACCGTTTCAAGATGTCTTTGAGGCGGGAGAAGTAGGGCAGAGTAGGGAAGGGAGGAGAAGGGAGGGGAGCAAGATGTCTTTGAGGCGGGGAGAAGTAGGGCAGAGTAGGGAAGGGAGGAGAAGGGAGGGGAGCAAGATGTCTTTGAGGCGGGGAGAAGTAGGGCAGAGTAGGGAAGGGAGGAGAAGGGAGGGGAGCAAGATGTCTTTGAGGCGGGGAGAAGTAGGGCAGAGTAGGGAAGGGAGGAGAAGGGAGGGGAGCAAGATGTCTTTGAGGCGGGGAGAAGTAGGGCAGAGTAGGGAAGGGAGGAGAAGGGAGGGGAGCAAGATGTCTTTGAGGCGGGGAGAAGTAGGGCAGAGTAGGGAAGGGAGGAGAAGGGAGGGGAGCAAGATGCCTTTGAGGCGGGGAGAAGTAGGGCAGAGTAGGGAAGGGAGGAGAAGGGAGGGGAGCAAGATGTCTTTGAGGCGGGGAGAAGTAGGGCAGAGTAGGGAAGGGAGGAGAAGGGAGGGGAGCAAGATGTCTTTGAGGCGGGGAGAAGGAGGGCAGAGTAGGGAAGGGAGGAGAAGGGAGGGGAGCAAGATGTCTTTGAGGCGGGGAGAAGTAGGGCAGAGTAGGGAAGGGAGGAGAAGGGAGGGGAGCAAGATGTCTTTGAGGCGGGGAGAAGTAGGGCAGAGTAGGGAAGGGAGGAGAAGGGAGGGGAGCAAGATGCCTTTGAGGCGGGGAGAAGTAGGGCAGAGTAGGGAAGGGAGGAGAAGGGAGGGGAGCAAGATGTCTTTGAGGCGGGGAGAAGTAGGGCAGAGTAGGGAAGGGAGGAGAAGGGAGGGGAGCAAGATGTCTTTGAGGCGGGGAGAAGGAGGGCAGAGTAGGGAAGGGAGGAGAAGGGAGGGGAGCAAGATGTCTTTGAGGCGCCTTGAAGGCACACCAGTGCGTTACCGTTTCAATGAGGCCGAACTCAGATTGAATGAGAGCCGTTCGATCGCGAGTGTCGTTGTACAGAGAGGGCAGCAGCATGGCCCTCTCGTGCTCCTGCCACCACACCTGAGAGAGAGGGGGGAGGGGGGGAGGCGAGAGTTCTGAGGTGCCTGAAAAACAGAAAGGCCCTCTCGTGCTCCTGCCCTGCCACCACACCCGAGAGAGAGAAACAAGAGAACGATGGCGTACAGGGGGGCGGGGGGGCGGGGGTGCGGGGGTGCGATGGTGCGGGGGGGAGTGCGGGATGGGGGAGCGTTAACTACAGATTCATGTGCATTCGGATGTTATTTTGCCTTGCCTTGCAATAATGTCTACAAATTCATGTTACATGTTTAAAACCAGGATGTGGATCATATGGAGACTCCGAGTACTAAACGTATGGAGCAGAGGCACACACCCTTGCATGGTTGTGGGATGCCAAGCCATTACTTTGCCACATGTACTGCGAGCACAAGCATTTGAGTTGCGATATGAGAGAGGGAGCACTGACCGTGGAGTCCACGGACTTGAAAGCAGGAAGAGACGCGATGTACGGCTGCCAGTGGTTGTGGTGGTGGCGGTGAGAGGTGGCGGAAGTGGGAGGAGGGGAGGGAGAGGGGCGTAGGAGGAGGAAGAGGGCGATGCGAGCCCACACAGAGAGTGAGGGAGGGAGGAGGGATGAGAGGGGAGGAGGAAGGGAGTCACCGGTTATCATCTGTCGGTTGTAAAAGGGGAGGACGGGTAGTTGGGGGGGGGGGAGGAAGTGGGGGAGGGAGGAGGGAAGAGAGAGGAGGAGGAAGAGATTCTCCAGTTATCATGCCCATAGGGAGGAGTCTATTTTTGAGGCGCCTCAAAAATAGACTCCAGATGTCATGGCTGGGAGGAGGAAGAGATTCTCCAGATATCATGGCCATGGCTGGGAGGAGGAAGAGAGGTAGGGGAGGGGAGAGGGAGGGTGGGTGAGATGAGTTTTGAAAGTTGACAGGTTGGGGCGAAAGAGGGTTGCTTGCAGAGGTTGAGGCGCCTCAAACGAAGAGGAACACGGCTGACAGGAAGGGAAGGGAATGGCAACACCACCGAAGCTAACGCACTGGCCTGAACAACAGCAATCAAAAAGAAGAGTTCATATTTGAGGCACGTAAAAATCGGCACTGAAAGAAGGGCCGGCCGGCAGGAGAGAGAACTCGCTGACCTGATCCCTGTGAACAGTGAGGAACACGTGTCCTTTCTCTATTGGCTGAGTGGCAAAGAGACCCCTGAGGGGGAATCGGTGGGGATTTGGAAAGAGAAAGAGACAGGGGCGGGGAGGGCGAGAGGAAAAGAGAACACGGGAGGGACGTGAAGGGGGAGAGGGGGGAGGCGGGAGGAGGAGAGCGAAGGCGGGGGGGAAGGGAAGGGGGGGGAGTGGGTAAAAGAAAGGGGGCTTTATGAGAAAGGGGGCGTCATCAGACGCTGAGAACAGACGACCAGGAGGACAAAAACACAAGTCTGGAATCTGTTTTCACAAAAACAGGCGAACTTGTTTTCCCTGCCCTTTCCCTCGCCCTCCTACCAACTCCATTTCCCCGCCTTCGCCATTTTCTCATCCCTCTCTCCCCCCTGACCCCCAAACCTCCCACTCACCAGCCAGCCTCTGCCTTTCACTTCACCCCCCATTCCACCCCTCCCCTCCATCCCTCCCCTCCACCCCTCCTTTCCATCTCAACAGGACTGCTACCCCTGGCGTTCCCTCCTCCCTCACAGCCGTTTCCCCCGTTTTCCCCTCTGTCCGCTCCTCCCTCTCCCCTTTCACCTCATCCTCTTCCCGCTTACCTCCCTCCCCCCGTCTTCCCCCCATCGCGCACGTCAACAGCACAGCTCTCCGCGGAGTCCCCGCTTCCACGCATCCGCGGATTTCTCTTCCCCCCCCCCCCCCCCCCCCCCCTTCCCCCCCCCAATCCCCCACCCCCCCCCCCCTTCCCCCCCCCAATCCCCCACCCCCCCCCCCTTCCCCCCCCCAATCCCCCACCCCCCCCCCCCGTCCCCCCTTACCGCCCTCCTCCCCTCTCCCCCCCATCGCGCACTTCAACCGGGCAGCTCTCCGCCGCGTCCCCCAATGTGAGCCGCTTCAGCGCCTGCCACGTGTCATCCTGGGCGGCATGAGCGGCGTGATTGGTCGGCACGATCCACAGAGAAGAGAAAGAAACAGAGCCGTTAGAAACGCGACTGCCACGTGTCGAGGAATGGGAGACGAGACCGATGAGGAGCGACACGAGAATCGGGCAGAAGTAATCGCCTTCACGATGTGATACACACCTTCACGGTCAGTCCGTCTGAGCATGAAATGTCTTCGGCTGCCCGCAAGCGTGCAGATGATGACGTCACTTTGAAACGAATAATCTGCCCGGACCATTCCCAAGGTCGACCATGTGCGACTCGTGCAACTGCTCGGGAGCGGATTCGTCGACAATGGCGGCGAGCTGCGAAGTCAAACACGTGGCGGCTGACGATTAGTCTAGACGAGCAAGGGATGATCGTGGCGGAGAGGAAATGACACACAGCCATGTCAGCAGCTCAGCTGCTACTGTGCTGACACGTGGATGAAAATAAGAGTATGTGTGTCAAAGCGCGACAGAATCGGGGTCGGCGTTGTCAGACCCCAGAGCGGGAACAATCTGGCATCCCCGTTCTAAGCGTCAACACTTGATATACTCTATACCGGTGCTAACACAAAGTTCTTTATATTTTGATTTTGACTCGCAGCAAGCTGGCTCCTTATCAAGCTATAGCTCACTACCTTTGCAACATCTGCATTATCAGGGAACAGCATGACCAAACAACGTACTTTTATTTTCTTACTAGTACAAATAGTGATTGTATTCCATCATGCTTGAAGCGAGCATGCTCATCTGAATCACATCCACATCAGGGGACGATCATTTATCCATTCCCTTGTCTTCTCAATTGATAAGGATGTTCCATTCCATTGCTTGCTAGTACAACAAACTCAGAGAACAAGCCTTTAGTGGATGTTTTCACAAGGCGAGCCCTGCTCTACGTCCATAGTTCCTGCCTGCTCAATGTCACTTGAGGCCTTGCTGGTGACTCCAACTGATCCCCTTTCTATATCCCCGCCTGACACCGTTTCTACACTCCCACCTGATGCTCCATCAATAGTGCCGGTATTCCCACCTGATCCCCTTTCCATATCTCCACCTGTTGCCCGTTCGATATCCCCGCCAGATGCACTTTTTACCATGTCTCCACCTAAACCATGTTCTACATCCCCACCCGAGGCCCTATCAACATTCCCACCTGATGCCCTATTGTCCAATCAAAATCCAAATCTCCATCTGATGCTGTCTTAAAACTTTCATTTGATCCCTTTCCAGTACCTCCAGTGGATATTTTTTTTACGTTTCTTTTTGCCGCCCGGCAAAAAGAGGCCGGCTGTTTTTGAAGAGGCCGGCACATCCATGGGAGAAGGCAGCATGTAAAGGCAGACGGCAAAATACCTGAAGGCGCACGTGGTGGCAGGGAATTGGGAGGAGGAAGGTGGTTGTAGCGGGAAACAAACACGTGCAACACGAGGTCGAAGGGGCAGACAGCATGTGCGTGTGTGTCTGTGCACGCGCGCGAATGTGTGTGTGTGTGTGCGCGCGCGCGCACGCGCGTGTGTGTGTGAGGACAGCAAGCAGGTCGCTGCTAAATGCCGTGAGGCACATCAATTGTTATGCACCATCCCAAGCATCTCACCAGCAGGCAGCAGCAAACGTGAGCACAAGTAAGGCTTTGATGCGCCTCAATACTAATGCGTCAGGCAGTGCATTTTGTGCCGCGCCAAAGTCTTTACTCGGGATATAAGGTTTGTTTTGAAGCGTCTCAAAATAAAAAGATTTGTTCTGAGACGTCTCAATACTAATGCGTCAGGCAGTGCATTTTGTTCCGCGCCAAAGCCCCTACTCGGGCAGCGCATCTCACCAGCAGGCAGCAGTACGCAGAAGCAAAGCAACAGTAAGGCAAGAACGCACAGCATGCAGTGTGCTGGTAATGGTGGGGTATCTCACCAGCAGGCAGCGGCGAATGTGAGCCACTTGCGCATGGAAAAGCGGTTGCTGGCCCGTCATAGACAGTGTCAGGCAGTGCATGGTGCACCGAGCATCTCACCAGCAGGCACCAGAAACCAGCAGCAAAGCAGCAGCAAGACAGGCATCTCACCAGCAGGCAGCTACGAACGTGAGCCACGTGAGCATGGCAAGCAGGTTGCAGGCGCGGCCCACCAGACAGGCGGAGGAGCTGGGGGGATCATGAGACCATGGCGCCGCAGGGAGAGACGCCATGCGAAGGGGCGGTAGGGGAAGCAGGGGATGCATGGGGAGGGGGGGCATGTGAAGGGGATGCATGGGGAGGGGGGCATGTGAAGGGGATGCATGGGGAGGGGGGGCATGTGAAGGGGATGCATGGGGAGGGGGGGCATGTGAAGGGGATGCATGGGGAGGGGGGCATGTGAAGGGGATGCATGGGGAGGGGGGGCATGTGAAGGGGATGCATGGGGAGGGGGGGGCATGTGAAGGGGATGCATGGGGAGGGGGGGCATGTGAAGGGGATGCATGGGGAGGGGGGGCATGTGAAGGGGATGCATGGGGAGGGGGGGCATGTGAAGGGGATGCATGGGGAGGGGGGGCATGTGAAGGGGATGCATGGGGAGGGGGGGCATGTGAAGGGGATGCATGGGGAGGGGGGGCATGTGAAGGGGATGCATGGGGAGGGGGGGCATGTGAAGGGGATGCATGGGGAGGGGGGGCATGTGAAGGGGATGCATGGGGAGGGGGCATGGGGGGGGCATGTGAAGGGGATGCATGGGGAGGGGGGGCATGTGAAGGGGATGCATGGGGAGGGGGGGCATGTGAAGGGGATGCATGGGGAGGGGGGCATGTGAAGGGGATGCATGGGGAGGGGGGGCATGTGAAGGGGATGCATGGGAGGGGGGCATGTGAAGGGGATGCATGGGGAGGGGGGGCATGTGAAGGGGATGCATGGGGAGGGGGGGCATGTGAAGGGGATGCATGGGGAGGGGGGGCATGTGAAGGGGATGCATGGGGAGGGGGGGCATGTGAAGGGGATGCATGGGGAGGGGGGGCATGTGAAGGGGATGCATGGGGAGGGGGGGCATGTGAAGGGGATGCATGGGGAGGGGGGCATGTGAAGGGGATGCATGGGGAGGGGGGGCATGTGAAGGGGATGCAGGGGAGGGGGGCATGTGAAGGGGATGCATGGGGAGGGGGGGCATGTGAAGGGGATGCATGGGGAGGGGGGGCATGTGAAGGGGATGCATGGGGAGGGGGGGCATGTGAAGGGGATGCATGGGGAGGGGGGGCATGTGAAGGGGATGCATGGGGAGGGGGGGCATGTGAAGGGGATGCAGGGGAAGGGGGGCATGTGAAGGGGATGCAGGGGAAGGGGGGAATGTGAAGGGGATGCATGGGGAGGGGGGCATGTGAAGGGGATGCATGGGGAGGGGGGGCATGTGAAGGGGATGCATGGGGAGGGGGGGCATGTGAAGGGGATGCATGGGGAGGGGGGCATGTGAAGGGGATGCATGGGGAGGGGGGGCATGTGAAGGGGATGCATGGGGAGGGGGGGCATGTGAAGGGGATGCATGGGGAGGGGGGCATGTGAAGGGGATGCATGGGGAGGGGGGGCATGTGAAGGGGATGCATGGGGAAGGGGGGCATGTGAAGGGGATGCATGGGGAAGGGGGGCATGTGAAGGGGATGCATGGGGAAGGGGGGCATGTGAAGGGGATGCATGGGGAAGGGGGGCATGTGAAGGGGATGCATGGGGAAGGGGGGGCATGTGAAGGGGATGCATGGGAAGGGGGGCATGTGAAGGGGATGCATGGGGAAGGGGGGCATGTGAAGGGATGCATGGGGAGGGGGGCATGTGAAGGGGATGCATGGGGAAGGGGGGGCATGTGAAGGGGATGCATGGGGAAGGGGGCATGTGAAGGGGATGCATGGGGAAGGGGGGCATGTGAAGGGGATGCATGGGGAAGGGGGCATGTGAAGGGGATGCATGGGGAGGGGGGCATGTGAAGGGGATGCATGGGGAAGGGGGGCATGTGAAGGGGATGCATGGGGAAGGGGGGCATGTGAAGGGGATGCATGGGGAAGGGGGGCATGTGAAGGGGATGCATGGGGAAGGGGGGCATGTGAAGGGGATGCATGGGGAAGGGGGGCATGTGAAGGGGATGCATGGGGAAGGGGGGCATGTGAAGGGGATGCATGGGGAAGGGGGGCATGTGAAGGGGATGCATGCGGAGGGGGGGCATGTGAAGGGGATGCATGGGGAGGGGGGCATGTGAAGGGGATGCATGGGGAAGGGGGCATGTGAAGGGGATGCAGGGGAGGGGGGCATGTGAAGGGGATGCATGGGGAGGGGGGGCATGTGAAGGGGATGCATGGGGAGGGGGGGCATGTGAAGGGGATGCATGGGGAGGGGGGGCATGTGAAGGGGATGCATGGGGAGGGGGGCATGTGAAGGGGATGCATGGGAGGGGGGGCATGTGAAGGGGATGCATGGGGAGGGGGGGCATGTGAAGGGGATGCATGGGGAGGGGGGCATGTGAAGGGGATGCATGGGGAGGGGGGCATGTGAAGGGGATGCATGGGGAGGGGGGGCATGTGAAGGGGATGCATGGGGAGGGGGGCATGTGAAGGGGATGCATGGGGAGGGGGGCATGTGAAGGGGATGCATGGGGAAGGGGGGCATGTGAAGGGGATGCATGGGGAAGGGGGGCATGTGAAGGGGATGCATGGGGAAGGGGGGGCATGTGAAGGGGATGCATGGGGAAGGGGGCATGTGAAGAGGATGCATGGGGAAGGGGGGCATGTGAAGGGGATGCATGGGAGGGGGGGCATGTGAAGGGGATGCATGGGGAAGGGGGGCATGTGAAGGGGATGCATGGGGAAGGGGGGCATGTGAAGGGGATGCATGCGGAGGGGGGGCATGTGAAGGGGATGCATGGGGAGGGGGGCATGTGAAGGGGATGCATGGGGAGGGGGGCATGTGAAGGGGATGCATGGGGAGGGGGGGCATGTGAAGGGGATGCATGGGGAGGGGGGCATGTGAAGGGGATGCATGGGGAGGGGGGCATGTGAAGGGGATGCATGGGGAGGGGGGCATGTGAAGGGGATGCATGGGAGGGGGGGGGGGGGGGGGGGGGCATGTGAAGGGGATGCATGGGGAAGGGGGGCATGTGAAGGGGATGCATGGGGAAGGGGGGCATGTGAAGGGGATGCATGGGGAAGGGGGGCATGTGAAGGGGATGCATGGGGAGGGGGGCATGTGAAGGGGATGCATGGGGAAGGGGGGCATGTGAAGGGGATGCATGGGGAAGGGGGGCATGTGAAGGGGTAGCATGGGGAAGGGGGGCATGTGAAGGGGATGCATGGGGAAGGGGGGCATGTGAAGGGGATGCATGGGGAGGGGGGGCATGTGAAGGGGATGCATGGGGAAGGGGGGCATGTGAAGGGGATGCATGGGGAAGGGGGGCATGTGAAGGGATGCATGGGGAAGGGGGCATGTGAAGGGGATGCATGCGGAGGGGGGGCATGTGAAGGGGATGCATGGGGAGGGGGGCATGTGAAGGGGATGCATGGGGAAGGGGGGCATGTGAAGGGGATGCATGGGGAGGGGGGCATGTGAAGGGGATGCATGGGGAGGGGGGTCATGTGAAGGGGATGCATGGGGAAGGGGGGCATGTGAAGGGGATGCATGGGGAGGGGGGGCATGTGAAGGGGATGCATGGGGAAGGGGGCATGTGAAGGGGATGCATGGGGAAGGGGGGCATGTGAAGGGGATGCATGGGGAAGGGGGGCATGTGAAGGGGATGCATGGGGAAGGGGGGCATGTGAAGGGATGCATGGGGAAGGGGGGCATGTGAAGGGGATGCATGGGGAGGGGGGCATGTGAAGGGGATGCATGGGGAGGGGGGCATGTGAAGGGGATGGGGGGGGGGCATGTGAAGGGGATGCATGGGGAGGGGGGCATGTGAAGGGGATGCATGGGGAAGGGGGGCATGTGAAGGGGATGCATGGGGAAGGGGGGCATGTGAAGGGGATGCATGGGGAAGGGGGGCATGTGAAGGGGATGCATGGGGAAGGGGGGCATGTGAAGGGGATGCATGGGGAAGGGGGGCATGTGAAGGGGATGCATGGGGAGGGGGGGCATGTGAAGGGGATGCATGGGGAGGGGGGGCATGTGAAGGGGATGCATGGGGAGGGGGGCATGTGAAGGGGATGCATGGGGAGGGGGGGCATGTGAAGGGATGCATGGGGAGGGGGGGCATGTGAAGGGGATGCATGGGGAGGGGGGGCATGTGAAGGGGATGCATGGGGGAGGGGGGCATGTGAAGGGGATGCATGGGGAGGGGGGGCATGTGAAGGGGATGCATGGGGAGGGGGGCATGTGAAGGGGATGCATGGGGAGGGGGGGCATGTGAAGGGTGCAGGGGAAGGGGGGGCATGTGAAGGGGATGCATGGGGAGGGGGGCATGTGAAGGGGATGCATGGGGAGGGGGGGCATGTGAAGGGGATGCATGGGGAGGGGGGCATGTGAAGGGGATGCATGGGGAGGGGGGCATGTGAAGGGGATGCATGGGGAGGAGGGGCATGTGAAGGGGATGCATGGGGAGGGGGGGCATGTGAAGGGGATGCAGGGGAAGGGGGGCATGTGAAGGGGATGCATGGGGAGGGGGGCATGTGAAGGGGATGCATGGGGAGGGGGGCATGTGAAGGGGATGCATGGGGAGGGGGGGCATGTGAAGGGGATGCATGGGGAGGGGGGCATGTGAAGGGGATGCATGGGGAGGGGGGCATGTGAAGGGGATGCATGGGGAGGGGGGCATGTGAAGGGGATGCAGGGGAAGGGGGGCATGTGAAGGGGATGCAGGGGAAGGGGGGAATGTGAAGGGGATGCATGGGGAGGGAGGGCATGTGAAGGGGATGCATGGGGAGGGGGGCATGTGAAGGGGATGCATGGGGAGGGGGGGCATGTGAAGGGGATGCATGGGGAGGGGGGGCATGTGAAGGGGATGCATGGGGAGGGGGGTCATGTGAAGGGGATGCATGGGGAAGGGGGGCATGTGAAGGGGATGCATGGGGAGGGGGGCATGTGAAGGGGATGCATGGGGAAGGGGGGCATGTGAAGGGGATGCATGGGGAAGGGGGGCATGTGAAGGGGATGCATGGGGAAGGGGGGCATGTGAAGGGGATGCATGGGGAAGGGGGGCATGTGAAGGGGATGCATGGGGAAGGGGGGCATGTGAAGGGGATGCATGGGGAGGGGGGGCATGTGAAGGGGATGCATTGGGAGGGGGGGCATGTGAAGGGGATGCATGGGGAGGGGGGGCATGTGAAGGGGATGCATGGGGAGGGGGGGCATGTGAAGGGGATGCATGGGGAGGGGGGCATGTGAAGGGGATGCATGGGGAGGGGGGGCATGTGAAGGGGATGCATGGGGAGGGGGGGCATGTGAAGGGGATGCATGGGGAAGGGGGGCATGTGAAGGGGATGCATGGGGAAAGGGGGCATGTGAAGGGGATGCATGGGGAAGGGGGGCATGTGAAGGGGATGCATGGGGAAGGGGGGCATGTGAAGGGGATGCATGGGGAAGGGGGGCATGTGAAGGGGATGCATGGGGAAGGGGGGCATGTGAAGGGGATGCATGGGGAGGGGGGGCATGTGAAGGGGATGCATGGGGAAGGGGGGCATGTGAAGGGGATGCATGGGGAAGGGGTCATGTGAAGGGGATGCATGGGGAAGGGGGGCATGTGAAGGGGATGCATGGGGAAGGGGGGCATGTGAAGGGGATGCATGGGGAAGGGGGGCATGGGAAGGGTGATACGGGAAGGGGTGATATGGGAAGGGTGATATGGGAAGGGTGATATGGGAAGGGTGATATGGGAAGGGGTGATATGGGAAGTGTGCAATCGATCTGCCCAGCAGCGTCCCGTGGAAGGTGGCTGTGGACACACGAAATACAATATACGCCCAATGAGTATTTTTTTTGGGGGCGCCGAAAAAAAAGGCACACGAAAGACAACAAACGCCGAAGGAGCAGCACATACTCCCCCGCAGCCAAGCCCGTGGCAATAACCCCCCCAATTAAGCCCACAGCACCTACCCCCCGCAGTTAAGCCCGTACGAATCGGTGATGGCAGTGGCCTGTGCACTGCCAGCTGCGAGAATGACGAGCATGAAGATCTGCAGGAGAAACGGGCAGGGAGGGAGTGAGAGAGCAGGGACATCGATTAAGAGGAGGAAGAAATATAGAGAGCAGGAAGACAGATTGAGTGCAGGAGATTCGATTGATTGAAAATGGGAGAAAGGACTGAAAGCAGTTTTGAGGCGCCTCAAAAGGACTGAGATTGAAAATGGGAAAAATGACTGAGAGCAGCGAAATAGAGCGACAACAGGGGGATCGAGGTCTAGCGCCACAAAACCTGAAAAATAAACGCATAAAACTCACATCGCTCTCGATGACTTGTAGCAGCAGGTTCGCCTTGGTCGTGTGGACCTGTAGCAGAAGAAGTCCTCGGAGTCGACTCAAGAGAATACGTTTGAAGCACGAACTCACATTGCTCTCGATGACCTGTAGCAGCAGGTTCGCCCTTGTCGTGTGGAGGTAGGCGAAACTGGACGTCGGGATGTAACTCAGTAACATCACGCTCGCACAGAGGGCGGCAATCGCGAGCGTCATGTTGAGGAGGAGCGTCGGATTCTGGGTCGTGCGGTCGGTGAGCTTCACAGATAGCCTGATGGGGAAGGGTGAGGTGTAGGGATGATGATGGCGAGGGGGGAGAAGCAGACAGCAGCAGACAGCAGCAGACAGCAGCAGACAGCAGCAGACAGCAGCAGACAGCAGCACACAGCAGCAGACAGCAGCAGACAGCAGCAGACAGCAGCAGACAGCAGCAGACAGCAGCAGACAGCAGCAGACAGCAGCAGACAGCAGCAGACAGCAGCAGACAGCAGCAGACAGCAGCAGACAGCAGCAGACAGCAGCAGACAGCAGCAGACAGCAGCAGACAGCAGCAGACAGCAGCAGACAGCAGCAGACAGCAAGAGACAGCAGCAGACAGCAGCAGACAGCGGCAGATAGCAGCAGACAGCAGCAGACAGCAGCAGACAGCGGCAGACAGCAGCAGACAGCAGCAGACAGCAGCAGACAGCAGCAGACAGCAGCAGACAGCAGCAGACAGCAGCAGACAGCAGCAGACAGCAGCAGACAGCAGCAGACAGCAGCAGACAGCAGCAGACAGCAGCAGACAGCAGCAGACAGCAGCAGACAGCAGCAGACAGCAGCAGACAGCAGCAGACAGCAGCAGACAGCAGCAGACAGCAGCAGACAGCAGCAGACAGCAGCAGACAGCAGCAGATAGCAGCAGACAGCAGCAGACAGCAGCAGACAGCAGCAGACAGCAGCAGACAGCCGGAGACAGCAGCAGACAGCAGAAGACAGCAGCAGACAGCAGCTGATGGTGGTGGTTTGAGGCGAGGGTACAAGACTCAAAAGAGAAGGTTTGGTGACGTTACCCTATTGAGCCAGCCGCGAAAGCGATCTCCGCAATTCGCAAGCTGATGGGAACGATCTTCGGTGGAACGGTTTTCGGTGGATCGATCTTTGGTGGAACGGTTTTCGGTGGATCGATCTTTGGTGGAACGATCTTCGCCGGAACGGTTTTCGGTGGAACGGCTTCCGGTGGGGTCTCCATGGTGCTGCGTCGTCCGTTTCCTGATGCTGCGAGTCTTCCTGACGATTGGCTCCCTGTTCAGCAGATTGCTGACGCTGCGACTCCGCTTGACGTCGCGTCGCCTGCTCCGGATGCTGCGTCCCGTCTCCCCAGTTTTTGAGAGTTCTCAAACTCCTCTTGACGCTGCGACCCCTCTTGACGTCGCGTCGCCTGCTCCGGATGCTGCGTTCCCTCTCCCCAGTTTTCCGTTGCGCTCGGAGAGATACACACACTCGCCAACGCACGAGCCGAGTAAACGTTGGCTACAGCACAGTAGCTTTCCCAGTTGCAGCGTGTGGTTACATGTGAGTTACATAAAAGTAGTACGTGAGTTGCATAAAGTTACACGTGACCAATGGCAGTCTCGGATCAAGGCTTACGTGGTGACCGTGCTGTCACGCTTTCTTAGGCGCCTCAGAAGGCGGCTCGAGTGGTAATCGTGCTGTCATGCTCCAAGAAACATGCGGCGACAACCGAGAACAACCGAGAATACTTGGCCAGATTTTACATGCACCGTACTCTACGCCACATTCTCTCTCTGCACCGTACTAGTGTATCCACACTGATCCAGATGTCACGGGTCCGCCGTGGATTCTAGAAGCTGTCAAGACGTCTCACTGGTCCGCGGGTGCCTGTATATTAGGATTCACTAGTAAAGCGATGGAGATACCCTAGAAGCACAGGTGAACAGGACGATTGACGCAAATGTCGCCGTCTAAGAGCTATCGCTGTGGAAGGAGAGTGCCAGGCTAGTAATGCTATGGCGGCCATTTCGAGTTTCCCCACAATGCTCGTACGAGAGGAGTGGGCATGGAGAGGCGGGAAGGCGAACGCGAATGCATTACAGGACCCGAGAAAGGTGAAAATGAGAGGACGCATGAATAATAGGAGGCGAGCGAACGCGAACGGGTGTGAATTATAGGAGCCTCACGATGATCAGACAGGAGAAGGCCAACAATCACACAATGCTGCTAATCAAGGTGATTTTGGCGTCTCCTGCATTCCTGTTCTGTTCGTCGAGCGTGGTTCAGTCGGATTCTTCAAGATGTAGCACGGTTCTGATATCTACCGCTTCGGAACGCAACGCACTGAACGAAACCGTTTCATGCGAAAGGAAGTCGGAAGTGCTGTGGAGGCTGGAGTTGGGGAAAATTTCTGCCGCGGACTGTCCACGAAACTTTTCATACTTTCGTGGACAAGCCCTACTTTCATGGACACCACATCGAAGTTTTGCTTCTCCTGTGGACTCCGTCAATACTTTCGTGGACTCCCGGCTTACTTCCATGGACACACCCATATTCGCAGTTAAAAAGGAGTATTCAGCAATGTACGAGTGATTACGGGCACAAAAATCGAGATACTCCAGAATATCTGTCCGTCGCAAGTAATCGCGAGCTACAGTGTCGGAAACCAGTTCTGAAACAGAATCTCGGAGCTTTTCTGGGAAGAGTTTGCAGCCGCACTCAAATATGCAGTGAATTTTCAAAAACAGGGTGTATTAGGGTCCGCGTGGTAAAAACACTTATTATTCAACTCAGAGCTACCCAACAAAACATAATATGCACGTGCTTGACGAGCCAGCATCAACCAGCAGTTGTTTTCTCCTTCATAATAAATAATTTCATTATTAGTAATTCTGTGAAAAAAACACCTAAGAAATATAATTTTTAGAATCACTTGTTTTTATTTGCATTAGTATGTTTCTCGTTCACACATAAAAAACATATTCCCAAAAACGTGAATGTAAAATATTTATATCATTTTCTCATCTATTATTATTTTATTATGTACCGAAATTTTAATAATAATACAATCAAGACGTGAAACCTTCCATTTATATAGTCATGTTCACCAAACGTTATTGGTATTCTGAGATTTCACATCTTAGTTGAAAATGCAAGCCAAGTACTAGTTGAAATATTTGTAAATGCCAGAATTCATGGTATTCCTGATTCTTGGCAGGCAGAGATTTTTAATGAGCTCTATTAATCTTGTAAGCGTAATATCTATCTTTATTCTACAACGTGATTTTTTTGTAGCGATATTTCACCAGGTCGGTCTGCTACACTTATCGTTCAGCGAAAAGCGCTTCGTGACAGTCATTCAAATGAATTTTGAGGATCGCTTCAGAGTTTCTATAAACACGCGAAACAGCTAGCGGACTTGGTGGCTTGAAAATACTGTAGCTTGCGACTATTTGCGAGGGACTTGATTACGCCTAATTTTGCTTTTTTCCTCCTGTCAGCATCTGTACAGTTCTGTATTTTTTTTTGTTTCAAACTCGCGTGTGTCCATGGAAGTATGCCTGGAGTCCACGAAAGTATTGACGGAGTCCACGGGAGATGTGAAAGTTCGATGTGGTGTCCATGAAAGTAGGGCCTGTCCACGAAAGTATGAAAAGTTTCGTGGACAGTCCGCGGCAGCAATTTTCCCCTGGAGTTGGCTTGGGCGAGGAAGGTTGTGCAGGGTGGGAAGGGTCATTTTATATGGTTCTCTTGGGTGCCCCGCGGTCAAACGTGGTGAAGCACGAGAAGTGTTTCTTTCTAGGGCCATGCTGCAAATGGCGTGTGAAGGGAGCGGTGTGACCAGCCAATCGGAAGGACAGCTTTTGGGAGTGGCCTTAGGTGTGACCAGCCCAAACCAAATGGCGCGTGTAAGGGAGTGTGACCAGCCCAACTCAAATGTCCTGCATAAGCTGCTGCGATAACAGAGCAGTCAGTACACAACCTGTTCATGATATCAACTCGCGTATCTTCTGATCGTAAACGGGATAACCATAAACTTCTCCACCAAAACAAGGCAGCGACGGAATCTTTCCGGGTGAGGCACATGATTGTTGAACGTGGTCAGTTGGCCACTTTGACATAGAACCTAGACTGCAGCGTTTTATTCTAGAAATTAGATCACTCAGAATAGAAGACATATACAGACTGGCAAGCCCATGCCAGACATGGATCCTAAGTGCGGGTACACTTGATACAAAGCTGAATGCAGCTCCCAGTCAGAACCACTGTACAGGTAGGAAAAATGTCGAGGCATCTCCGAAATGTCCCAGCATCACCTCGTGTCTCCAGGCGTTCGTCTCGCGATGCTTGGAAAAAATCGCGAACAGCCAACGTGTTCTCAACTACGTTTACCCACTAATACTCCACTCCTAAGCGTTTTAGTAATCTCGTTGCGCGTAGCCTTCAGCGTCAAAACCTGCGAATGATGGGAGGAAAAATAACCGAGTGACAGCTTACACAAATAACCGAGGCAACAAGGATCACTTCAACATAATTTGTTGTGCCAACCACCACAGCACTGTTCTAGTGTACTGGTGCCGATATCATAGCTGAGGGACTTACTGTGTATTTGTTGGAGGCCGGCAGCAACCACTACTACTACGGCACACCAGGACGAGAACGCGATGGCTCCCACGGCAGCTACGCACTTCACAAGCACCACCCCTGGAACCACGCCTCCTAAAACCATTGCTCCGACATCCCACATCTGACCAGATTCAAAAACTAAGCTTCTCTTGCTCGTGCTGATAGGCTGGAGTATCGAAACTGGCTCCATTCTAGGCAGGTGCGATAAAACAGAAGGAACCGAATGTGAACAGCCGCGCTTGGATCGAGCCGAGTATCAGCACTCCTCCAGATCTAACAAGTAGTTAGAAGATGCAAAGCTGACCATTCAGAACCTGCTGTAAGGGAGGATAAACTTGGACATCGAAGGGCATTTACTGGTATGTCTAACTCATGTGTCGAGGGCTGCGACAGAAACAAGGAAACTGTCCTAGCAGCTAGGGTTGAGTACGGAACGTTAGTGGTTTGAAGAGTTGACTGATCAGATCTGAAACAGCTGGGTTGGACACAACTGAGGAAAGAGGAGGCAGATTGATGGGAGAGATGGCTGCCCTTGAGAGTGAGGAGGTGATGAAACTTCCGATGAGGGGCTATGCCTTTTAGAAGGTTTTATCACATTTTAGCGTGGTACAGATTGGTGCAAGTAAGCCAAACATGAAAACCCATTCAACCTAGATTCCTGGCCACGCAGACAATTGTTGACGTCGCGGCGCGGGGCTTTGATGGTTGATTGACGGGCCTGGTGGAGAGGATAGTGGGCCGTTGACAATGTGTCTTACACGTGACGCGACACGGTTGTGTGATAAAAATGGCCAAGGTCGCCAATGTCGCGGCTCGGTTTTCCCTGAATTACTGGCGCAAATTCAGTAACCCAATCCAAATTTGCTAATCGCGACCGCCAGCGCATCCCCAATCAGGACGTGATTCGCAAGCAGCACACGAGATCTGCCAACTGGAGCATTCAAACTCACACCACAGAGGACTAGGCGCCACGTCAACCATGACCATTCTGACGTGCTGTTCCAAGTCATGGCGGGCCAAGCTGGATGGCCTGGAGTAGATGTTGGTGTGGTTGGAATCCCCCCTCCCCCCCCCAGCCCCCACCCTATCCCACAATAGTTCGCTATAACGAGAACAAAAGCATCAAAGCACTCCTACGAAATAGCCTAAAGAATTTCCTAACACAAGCCAAAAAAATCATTCAATCTGACAGACTCCATTCATGGTCTATATGTAAACGGGATGTCCTTAGGACCCAGACCCTTGATTCGGTGCCTCAGCCGACCAACAATAAATCGCCAGGTATCAAACTCATCAGCACGCTCGAAGTCTGTTGGTTGGGGAACTCTCCATCCGATGGGATACTTGTGTTGTCGATTCGCCTCCACATGGAGGTGCCACACCAGCACTTGCGTGCATCCGTTTGCTAACGGCTCCAAATGGCTTGCATCTGGAACCAACCGGCTTAGAAATGTGGCTTCAAGTTGCCTGCTCAAGCATATTTATCACATTTAAGAAAAACAAGACAATCGTTCCAATCGAGCATGCGAGAGGGTGCAAACAGAACAGTACATTGTAGGAATGGCAAGGGACAGAGCAACACCATGAGATACCGCGCGACAATGCGAGGGGATGACAAGGGTAAAGCAGGAAAAAGGCCAGCGCAATGTAGGGTTGGAACGAGCGGATGGAGGGTATATTTTTTGTCAGGCCGGGAGGGACGGGAGGGTTGGGGTTGGAAAGAAGAAGTGGCTTCGTTTCCGTAACATTTTCCCATCCATTTTGTTTCCTCCCTAGGAATAATGTCTGACCCTTGCCAGCTGGCTTCAAAGCGGAGAGGGTGGCGCGGGTAGCCCAGCAGATCAGTGCGGTTCTCCCAGAGGAGCTCAGAGCTGCGGAGATGGGGGGGTGGGGAGGAGGGGGGGGAGGAGGGCAATGTGAGGGGAGAGAGGAGGTGAGCAAGGTCCGGGACACTAACAAAGAGACCTACTTACCTGCGAACCCCTCAATGTCCACACAAACCTTCCAAATGTCCTGTAAGACGAACCACTCAAGCACCCTTCCTCTCTACAAGCAGCTTCTACACCATTTCTTGAGACACACCGGAATGCAAATCTTCACTTGACCCCTGGGACAAACCACTCGAACGACTCCATCCTCCTTACATACAAAGTCTCTCTGCCATTGATAAGACTCACCAAAAAGCAAATCCCCCACTGTCAACATTAAAGTTCCGCAGACCTTTGATATGAACCACTCAGCGACCTCCCACCTTCTCAAAAACCTAACCCACCCCGTACACCTCCAGGCTCCAATTCCCCATCCTCCATACAAGCAGCCTCTACAGCATTCATATACGCACCAGGATGCAAATCTCCCCATGTGCACTATTTCCACCTGGTCATATAAAAAGCACCAAATCATCTTCATCCTCCGTATTAGCAGCCCCTATAGCATTCATCAACTCACCGGAATGCGAATCCTCCCATGTCAACATTGACCAAGTCAACATTGACCAAGTCAGCATTGACCAAGTCAACATTGACCATGTCAACATGGAATCTCCGCTTGGCCTCAAACGAGCCACTAAAACTTCTCCCACCCGTACACCTGCAGAGCAGGCTCCCGTTTTTTCATGCGTGAGGAGTCGTCTATTTTTGAGGCGCCTAAAAAATAGACTCCACCTGCCGAGCAGGCTCCCGTTTTTGCCAGCCAATCTCCTGTTGACTTTTGAGTCGCCTCAAAAGTCACCTCGCTTTTGCCAGCCAATCTCCTTTCGTCCAACCAGTCAGAATCACTGCAACAACGCCTACCACTCACCGAAAAGCAAATCCGTTTTGAGACATCTCAAAACGAATCTACTATCACCTGTCCGGCCAATCAGACTCACTGCAGCAATGCATAGCCCTCACCAAAAAGCGAAACCCCCCATGTCGGCATTGAATCCCCGCTTGGCCTTTGAAACGAACCACTCAAACTTCTCCTGCCCATAAACCTGCAGGCCGCCTTCTCCCTACTCAGCCTGCAAACTGTTCATATAACTCACCGAAATGCGAATCCGCCCATGTCGACGTTGAACTTCCGCTTGGCCTTTGAGATGAACCACTCAAACGTCTCCCACCCGTAGACCTGCAAGCCGCCGCTCTCCGTCCTCTTTACAAGCGGCCTCTCTACCGTGGGCGTGTGGTGTATGTGCCTGTTGCGCCGAGAGTACTCGTCCGGGTAAAGAAACCCGACAGGGAAAACACCCGCGTTCTGAATGCTCTGGAACTCGAGGAAGAGCTGGGGGGATGGGAGGGAGACAGACAAGAGGATAAAATTCGACACGGGAAGACGAGAATCAAGCCGATGGACCATGTGCTGCGGAGTAGATCCCACGGGGGAAAACACCCGCGTTCTGAATGTTCTGGAACTCGAGGAAGAGTTGCTTCAGAGAAGGGGGGGGGTGTGGGAGGAAGACAGACATGAGGAAAGGGGACTCCAGGAAGATTCCCGCATTCTGAATGCTCTGAAACTCGAGGAAGAGCTGGGTCGGTGGGAGGGAGAGAGACAAGAGGATAACTTCTGATACGGGAAGGAAAGAATCAAGCCGCTACAGGCATCTGGAATAGATCCAATGGGGAGAACACCCGCGCTCTGACCGCTCTGAAACGCTCTGGAACTCGCGGAAGAGCTGCAAGAGGGAGCGGGTAGGTGGGACGAAGACAGACCTGAGGAAAGAGGATCCCAGGAAATATCCTGAAGCGCGGAGAGCGAATTCCAATAAGAGGTAAAAAAAAGAGAGGGGATTTTGGCACATTGTATGCGGAAGAAAAGAGCACCACAAACATGTCTCACAAGGGTGAACTAAAAGGGAGGAAAAAAGGGATTAGGTGATTGAACCGAAGGTGGGGGAAAGGGGGGTTTCGTCAACCCTTTCCAGCTGAGAAAAAAGCATCGCAACATCAAGGCAAGGAAGTCTATGCACTACAAACACACCTGGGGGAGGTACGCTAGAGGCACACCTGGGGGAGGTACACTAGAGGCACACCTGGGGGAGGTACACTAGAGGCACACCTGGGGGAGGTACACTAGAGGCACACCTGGGGGAGGTACGCTAGAGGCACACCTGGGGGAGGTACGCTAGAGGCACACCTGGGGGAGGTACGCATTGTCGTCATCCATGAAATAGACGACGCCTTGAATCCGCCTCTCCTCTATGAAGTCCAGAGCGGTGTTTCGCTGCAGCACTGCCTTGTTCCACTTGGCCGTCTCCACCTGGTGATGCGTGCAGCAGGGCACATGGCAATGGCAGCAGGGCACATGGCAATGGCAACAGAGCGAACGGCAGCAGGGAAGGCAAGTCAGTGCGTGCCATGGTGAGTGTGTTTCGCTGCTGCACTGAAATGCTCCACCTGGTAGCACCTGACGTTACAATACATACAAAAAATAGATAGATATACAGTATACTACCTTCTTCACTCTGAAGTATCCACCTTATAGCGCACATTGCACAAGCACAACATTCGGGCGGGGAGGAAAGAAAAAAGGCTCCTTGAAGGAACATATTGGGTGAACAAAGGCACCTCTACGAAATCTGACGACCAAAACCAGCTGGAAATAATTGAAAAATAGATCCTTTTGCATCTTATCCTTTTAGTCATGTATTTAAAAGCCCTCTCTCACCCGCCGCGTTTCCAGGTGGACGTAGTTGATTCGCCGGCAGTTGGGGTCGCCAGCTGGCAGGCACGCGCCCGCATGCACCCTCAGCAGCTCTGCTGTCTCCTCTGTCTTCCCGGGGAGGCATGGGGGGGAGCGGGGTTGAGAGCGGTTGGAAAAGGTTAGAGGGGATGATTTGGGAGTCGGCACAGGGCAGCCCCACATGCACCCTCAGCTCATTTCTCATCTACTTGCTGCTGGCGGCAGAGAGGAAAGAGCCCTTCAGCCTGGCTCCTGAGCCTATATAAGCTCCTCCAGTCTCCTGAGTCCTTGTTTAGTTCTCAGTTCATTTCTCATCTACTTGCTGGTGGCGGCAGAGAGGAAAGAGCCCTTCAGCCTGGCTCCTGAGCCTATATAAGCTCCTCCAGTCTCCTGAGTCCTTGTTTAGTTCTCAGTTCATTTCTCATCTACTTGCTGGTGGCGGCAGAGAGGAAAGAGCCCTTCAGCCTGGCTCCTGAGCCTATATAAGCTCCTCCAGTCTCCTGAGTCCTTGTTTAGTTCTCAGTTCATTTCTCATCTACTTGCTGGTGGCGGCAGAGAGGAAAGAGCCCTTCAGCCTGGCTCCTGAGCCTATATAAGCTCCTCCAGTCTCCTGAGTCCTTGTTTAGTTCTCAGTTCATTTCTCATCTACTTGCTGCTGGCGGCAGAGAGGAAAGAGCCCTTCAGCCTGGCTCCTGAGCCTATATAAGCTCCTCCAGTCTCCTGAGTCCTTGTTTAGTTCTCAGTTCATTTCTCATCTACTTGCTGGTGGCGGCTCGCGCCGGCGGCCTTCGGCCGCCGTCTCTTGCGCCGCGGCCTGTTCAGGCCTGTCATCCTTACAACAACAACATGCAAGCGGGCCTTCAAGGCGGTTTTCAGGCATGGGGGTCCCCGCGGGGCCCCCCGGCGTCTGTTAAGCATGCAGGTACCCACGCTAGAAGCGCTGGCGTGGCGACTAACGCCCGCGGACCAGCATTACGCCAGTCGGCGATCTCCCGCTACCTTGATGTGTGGAGATCCTCCAGCAGACAATACACGGTGCGCTCCAACTCCCGGAATACTGACACGGCGCCGTCGATTTCTTCTACAGCTTGCGCCCCTTCCAGCTTGCCCTCCAGACCCGCCAGGACGACGGCGGGCCCCACCGGCAGCGGTATTCCCTGAGCGAGCCCGGGCCACGCGGCGGTCAACGCCGCCCTCGCTGCTGCCGCCTGCGTCGCGCACGCAACCGCCTGCCTCTCCGACAGCACCCCTTCCTGGTCAGAGCAGCCGAGGGCGTACCCCGACACCTCCACCACCGTCGTCAAGCGCGCGAGGCAGTCCCTGGCTGAGTCTGGACGCCGCAACGTGTCCTCCGCCGCTGCCCGGATCGCTGCCTCCGACACTGGTTGCCTGCTCCTCGCGTGGCCTGGGGGAAACTCCCCCGTCCGCTGACGCTTGCGCCCGCGACCGCCTGCCGTCAGTCCAGACTGGTCCTCCCACCCGCCGTTCTCCTCCTGCCCGCCGGTCCCCTCCCCTCCCTGGCGCACTTCCTGAGGAGGCGGAGCCTGCCATGCTGGGAGCGCTGCTGGCGCCGCAAAGGCTGGGCGCTGGGAGGAGGCGGCAGCGGCGGGGACGGAGGAATTGCCGCTGGCAGAACTGGAGTCTGCGTCACCGGCGGAGCCCCCCCCGGCCTTGGAGCCCAGGGGGGTTCCACTCGATACAGGATCCCAGGGACTGGGGGCCCTTGCGGCGGCCAGGAAGGGGGAAGCTGCGCCGGCACTGCCACCGCTCCTGGCGGGAGAGTCGCGGGAGCCGCTGGAGGGGGAGCTGCGGGAGCCGCCGGCACTAGTGCTGGGGCAGCCGGCGCTGCCAATGCCTGGATTACCGCAGGCTCGCGTGCAAGCACCCGAGCGACAACTTCGTCGACGCTCGGGGAGCGGGCGGCTGAGCCCCCTCGCTGCACCTGCGGGCCACGCTGCGGGGGACGCGACGGCCTCCAAGCCCTGCGCCGACTCATATCACGCACCGGCAGACGGCGGGGCGGGCTCCGCCACTCGGGCGTCCGCGAGCGGTAGCGCGGCTCAGGGGACCGCGCGGGACAACGATCACCCGCCCGCCGATCGTACAACCGTTCCGGGAATCGCCCCCGCCCATACGACCGAGACGACGCCATCACGGGGAGGCGTTCGCTGGTGGACCCCGCATGGGCGTTCTCGACGAGCGCCGATGGCTAGCGCCGCGTCAACGCCGGGGGATCGTGAACGTGGACGGCGGGGAGCGGGGAGGAGTATAGCTCGGGGAGGTGCGGGCGGCACGTTCGTCTAGGCTGTTCGCCGCAGATTGGCTGACGCGACTGTTATCTCGGGGGCGGAGGCCAGGCCGGAGAGCCCTGGCAAGACAGGGATTAGACTAAGGGAGTCGGCAGCTGGAGGAGAAGGAGCTGCTGCTGGGAATGGCGAGGAAGGATCGGGTGACTCCAGATATACCCCTTCTTCCGAGGGGGACTCCGAGTCTGTGACTGGGGAGGACAATGCTGCGGAAGGAGGGGGCCCGAGGCGGAGTGGCACCCGAGCTGCCCCAAACCAGAGAAATGCGGAATTCGAGGATTTTCCAAACCCGAATCCCCAATTTCTCTCGCCCGAGGCGTTGGCGGTTCGGGATGACCTTTTCGCCCAAGTCGCCGACTGGGATGTCGCTCCCCTTCACGACAGTCGCCAACCCCCGCTTGCCCGCCGCCCACCCCGCCACATTCAGGACCAATTCGCCAGCTGCCTGCTGACCCCGCTCCTCCGATTGGCCAAGGACCCTGACTCAGTGCCAGCTTTGCACCTTCTGATATTCCTTGCTCGCCTTACCCTCCGCGTTGGCACAGCCCGCAAACCTGATTGGCCCTCCGTCGAGCGCCGTTTGGACTCATTTCGCCGGGGTTCCTGGGCATATCTTCATTCGAAGCTGTTGCCACCATCACTCTCCCTCCTCCCCAGCGCCACATACCTGACAGAACTGGGATTTTATCCCGTGCCTTGAGCTTAGCTAAGCGCGGGAACCTTGGCAAAGCCCTTCAGGCGCTGGAAGCCACCCTGGTCAGCCCCTCCACCGCCGACACGCTCTCAGCTCGCCATTCACGACATCCCAGAGTGGGTCCTCTCACACGCCCTCGAGCGTAAGCCCACCATCTCAGCGAAATCCTTCCGCCGCATCATCAGTCAGCTACCCAACGGCGTAGGAACCGGCCCCTCGGGGACATCCTTCAAAGTCCTGCACGACGCGGGTGCTTCACAACTCCGACATATGTGGCCACCTCCTGGCCCTCACGAACGCGGCCCTCGCTGGTGCCCTTTGCCCCGAGGCCTCCACACTGCTCACCTCCTCGCGCCTCCTTGCCTTCACAAAGCCAGGTGGCGGCACTCGGCCCATTGCCGTCGGCGAGTGCCTCCACCGTCTAATTGCTGAAGCCGCGCTCCACCTCGCCACGCGGCCTGCCCAACTCCACTTCGCTCCCATTCAGTTCGGGGACGCCATCCCCGACGGCGCGGAGGTGATAATCCACATCACCCGCGCCTATCTCGAAGTCAACTCGGGACACATCGCTCTCCAAATCGACGTATCAAACGCGTTCAATGCGATCGAAAGCACCGAATTCTTCGCGGGGCTCGGAGGAACGCCCTTGCAGTTCCTCGTCCCCTTCGTGCGGCTCTCGTACGGTGGCCCTTCCGCCCTCCATGTCGACCACAGCTTCGGTCCCCCCCCCCTCGCCAGCGCCGGCGGGGTCCGCCAAGGAGACCCTATGGGTCCCCTGCTGTTTGCGGCGGGGCTGCACCACGCGCTCAAGAATACTGCTGCCGTCTTCCCCAAGGTACTCGTCCTCGCCTATGCGGACGATATCACACTCCTGGATCCGCCAGCAGCGTGCTCCGCTGCCTTCGCCCACCTCACCACCGCCATTGGCGGCTGCGGCCTCCGTCACAACCCAGCGAAGTGTGAAGCCTGGGGCCCACAGGGTGTGCCGCCCGAGTCGCTGCCGCCCGGCGTTTCCGCCAGCGCCACGTGTCTGCGCATCCTCGGCAGTCCCGTGGGGCCGGCGGACGCCTGCGCCGCTGCCATCCGTGATCGCCTCGGCACCGCCGCCGCCCCGTTGCCACTGATCGCAGATCGCCGTGGTCGAGAGAGCTAGGCGTTTGATGCTGCCTGTTGTGTTTGCTGTATTCCTCTCTCACCTGCCATGCCTGTACCACCATACCACCTACTTAATACAAGGACATATTGAGCGGTTGGAAAAGGTTAGAGGGGATGATTGGGAGTCGGCTCAGGGCAACCCCACATGCACCGTCAGCAGCTCTGCTGTCTCCTCTGTCTTCCCGGGGAGGCATGGGGGGGAGAAGGGCCGGGAGGGAGGGAGGGAGGGGGGAGAGAGAGATGGGGGGATGGGGCTGCATTTTGTGGGACTCAGAGCAACCCCCCCCCGCGCGCACCCTAGCAGCTCTGCTGTCTCCTCTGTTTTCCCGGGGAGGCATGGGGGGGAGTTGGAGAAGATGGAGACAGTTGAACGGGGGTTGAAGATTCAGGGAGAATGTTTTAGTCGACTGAAGACAACACTCGGATGCACCCTCTGCAGTTCTGGGGAGGCAAAAAAGGGAGGCACAAGGACGAGACGGGGGGTTTTACAGAGAGTAAAGGACGGCTGTGACCCCCGCATGCATCCAGGAGACTTTTGAGTCAGACTCAAATGTCACCACGAAAGGGAGACACAGACGGACGAGACGGGGGGTTCTACAGAGAGTAGGGGACGGCTGTGACCCCTGCATGCATCATCCTCGGAAGCTCCACTGTCGCCCCCGTCTTCCTCGGAAGGGGAGGGAAGCAGGGGGGAGTAAGGGACGGCAGGGATCTGGGTGTGGGGTTAGAGGAGGGTATGCCTTTGGATGGAGCCGATTCAAGGTAAACCGCGCAATGCATGCACCCTCAGCAGCAGCGGAGATGTCCCCTCTGCCCTCTAAGGAAGGGAAAGCAGACGACTTTTTGGGTTCCTTTGGGACTTCTAAAATATGGCTCTATGGTTGCAGGGGTTCTTTCACGAAGTTTCTGGGACAAACTGTAAGTTGACTCCAATTGCCTAAAAATGCACCAGAATCTCTGCTGTCGCCTCTGACTTTCCATGTTGTAATGAGTATATTTTTTACTCGACTCAAAGCAGACAAAAAAAAAGACTCAAAAGCAGCCTAAAAAACAGCAAAAAAAAAGGCTAAAAAACAGACTAAAAACAGGTTAAAAAAGACTCAAAATTAGACTCAAAAACAGACTCAAAACAGACTAAAAAACAGACTAAAAAACATACTCAAAACCAGACTAAAAAACATACTAAAAAAGAGACTAAAAAACAGACTCAACAACTGACTAAAAACTGACTCAAGAACGCACTAAAGAACAGACTAAAATCATACTAAAAAACAGACTAAAAAACTACTAAAAAAAAGAATAAAAAAAGACATTAAAAAATATAAAAAATACTAAAAAAAACTGACTCATTACACACGAATCTCTGCTGTCGCCGCTGACTTTCCACATCGTAAAGAGGTCCAAAGTCAGGAGTGTACCTTAAGAGGCGCCTCGACGACGAGCCAGAGCACCAAGGGGCCCAGAGAGCGAAGATAGTTGGCGAGGCGGATGAAATAGATGACCTGCTTGGGGGAGGCGGGTGAGGGGAGGGGAGGGGAGGGAGGGGAGAGGGGAGGGGAGGGAGGGGAGGGAGGGGAGGGGGGAGGGAGGGAGGGGAGGGGAGGGGTGGCGAGGGGAGGGGATGGCGAGGGGAGGGGGGCGAGGGGGGGGAGGGGAGGGGGGGCGAGGGGAGGGGGCGAGGGGAGGGGGGGGGGGAGGGGGGGGGGGGGGGGGGGGGGGGGGGGGGGGGGGGGGGGGGGGGGGGGGGGGGGGGGGGGGGGGGGGGGGGGGGGGAGGGGGGCGAGGGGAGGGGAGGCGAGGGGAGGGGGGGGGAGGGGGAGGGGTGGCGAGGGGAGGGGTGGAGGGAGGGTGGCGAGGGGAGGGGAGGCGAGGGGAGGGTGGCGAGGGGGGGGGGGGGGGGGGGGGGGGGGGGGGGGGGGGGGAGGGGAGGGAGGGGTGGCGAGGGAGGGTGGCGAGGGGAGGGTGGCGAGGGAGGGTGGCGAGGGGAGGGTGCGAGGGGAGGAGAGGCGAGGGGGAGGGTGGCGAGGGGAGGGGTGGCGAGGGGAGGGGAGGCGAGGGAGGGGTGGCGAGGGGAGGGGTGGCGAGGGAGGGGTGGCGAGGGGAGGGGTGGCGAGGGAGGGGTGGCGAGGGGAGGGTGGCGAGGGGAGGGGTGGCGAGGGGAGGGGTGGCGAGGGAGGGGTGGCGAGGGAGGGTGGCGAGGGGAGGGGTGGCGAGGGAGGGGTGGCGAGGGGGGGTGGCGAGGGGAGGGTGGCGGGGAGGGGGGCGAGAGGAGGGGTGGCGAGGGGAGGGGTGGCGAGGGGAGGGTGGCGAGGGGAGGGGAGGCGAGGGGGGGGTGGCGAGGGGAGGGGTGGCGAGGGAGGGGTGGCGAGGGAGGGGTGGCGAGGGGAGGGGTGGCGAGGGAGGGGTGGCGAGGAGAGGGGTGGCGAGGGGAGGGGAGGCGAGGGGAGGGGTGGCGAGGGGGAGGAGAGGGCGAGGGGGGAGGGGAGGCGAGGGGGAGGGGGAGGCGAGGGGGAGGGGGAGGCGAGGGGAGGAGAGGCGAGGGGAGGGGTGGAGGGTGAGTGAGGATAGTTGGGCAGGCGAATGAAACAGATGACAATGACCTCCCAGAATGCAATCTGGCAGGCGAATGAAGTAGATGACCTGCCAGATTGCATGAGACGCGGTGACATCGCACATGGGGGTGGTTGTTTATTTGGCGCTTGTTAAGTTCAAATTCGCACTGTGCAAAGAGAAGCAGGTGAGCGATTACACACTGGCAATGATGGCGACAATAAAGAGGATGAGTATAGGTAGGCAATCGTCCATCTGCATGGGTCGAGCGTGTGTGGGTGATTGACGCCCAGCAAAGGCCACTTAAAGCCTTGCTTCTAGGATGCAACACCGCCGCACCCCACCTGACGCTTCCCCCGCAACAACCGCCGCAGCTCACCTGCATGGATCGAGCATGTGTCGCTGTGACGGCTCTACTCTGCTGCCACAAACACTGACCCACCCGCACCCACCCGCACCCACCTGCACCCACCTGCACCCACCCGCACCCACCCACCCACCCACCCACCCACCCACACCCACCCGCACCCACCCACCCACCCACACCCACCTGCATGGCTCGAGCGTGTGTGGGTGTGACGGCCAACAAAGGCCACTTGAATCCCTCGGGCTTCACAGCCCGCTGCAGAGCCGATACCGGGTCTTCTACTGCAACACTCTGGTTACCACTCTGGTTACCATTCTGGTTACCACTCTCAGCTTTCCCTGGGATATCCTCTGAAGGAGCAGGTCGAACCGCGACCCCGGAAAGCTCGGAGCTACTGTCAGGCATTTGCGCAGGCGCGCTTCGAGCAGGAGTGGACGAGGAGGAGGAAGATGTGCTTGTATCGGGAGTGATGTTAGTGGAGGAGGCGGGGGACGAGGGGGAAGAGGAGGAGCGGGAGGAGGAGGAGGAGGAGGAGGAGGAGGAGGAGGAGGAGGAGGAGGAGGAGGAGGAGGAGGAGGAGGAGGAGGAGGAGGAGGAGGAGGAGGAGGAGGAGGAGGAGGAGGAGGAGGAGGATGCGAGTGGCGAGGACGACGAAACAGTTGGCGTTCGCGAAGAGGAATCTCGCATTCGCTTGTCGAAACTTGTAAAATTCGCGAAGTCGTCGCCAGAGGGCCGTGCGACGAGGTTCGTCGCGCGATTCACGAAACGCAGCCCCGAGAGGAGCATGGCGACGCCCAGCGCGAGCAGTAGCAGCCGAATCCGCCCCACGCGGCCCAGCCCTGCCGACCGGCCCGTTGGCCGGCTCGACGGTGCTGGATTCATCGCTGAAACCGGCTGAAACCGGCTAAAACCGGCTGAAATCGGCTGAAAGCGGCTGAAAGCGGCTGGGATTGGCGGTACCTGGCTTGCACAGACCTACAGCACTAACTGGAGACTAAGGAGTACTAAGGATCTCGCGAGGACCGACATGGATCTTGGCTGGGTGAGTTATTTTCATTGGAGATTAAGGATCTCGCGAGGACTGAACCACGTAGAGACAGTCGAGGACTGAACGCCTGAAGCGCGATTCAAGGAGGGGGACAGAAAAATTCTATTCTCGTAGCACGAAACTGGCACGGGCGTGACGATCCATGGACACGCTAGTTCTGTTCGGTTCCGTTCGGTTCTGTTCTGTTCTGTTCTGCCCCTTGGCTGACAGGCAGCAAGTATTGGATAAACAGCCTTCTCGCACGGGATCAATGGATGCTCGCCTCAAAACCGGATTCCCGAAACTCGAGCCATTCCGGACGACGAGACGAAAACCCAAACTAGAAATCTGGAACCTGGAAACAATTTTAGTCAATCAGCAATAGAAGAAGACCGCAGCAGGAATCCATCGGACCCATATCAGTCAATCGACAATAGAGCCCATCATAACCTTATCACTGGAAACTGCTGGTCGGAGACCGGCTGCTGTTGTCAGTCAAATCAGCTGTAGCGAATGTGATATCAACTGCCGAGGGATTGACGGACATGCCAGCCATGGCTGTTAGATGAAGTGAAGCCATGGGCGAGGCGGGGTGCATATCGTTCAGGAAAAAGTTTGCAATTACTGTATGGTTACCTCAGTCGTTTCCTTCGCCAAAACCCTCGCAAAATATTTTACTCCCTGCATCAGGCATGTACGAACAGTTGCCCGACACGTCGCCAATACGTAGCACAGCGTTCGCTACTCTCGTCACTATCCAGCGAATACTGGTTTCCCGTTTCCTAGTTACCACCAGAGAGCCTTCGTTTGCCTACAATACACATCTCTTCATCCCTCCCTTCCACGTGGTATTTCGGGGCCCCTGCAAGCCAGAACTAACCGTAGGGACACGAAGGACTACTCACTTGTTCTTGAATCTGCTTTTGGCGCGCTTCAAAAGAAAGCAGGACGGACTAATCGTACCCAAACCCGACTCGGCGTCGCGGAGGAAGGCGGGATGGCGGCGACGGTGCGAGAGTTGCAGCAGCAGCTAGAGGCGGAAGTAAACGCGCTGCGATCCATGGAAAAGGGTACGGGGATCTGCGTCGTGTGGCATTCTAACGAGGTGACTTTTGAGTCGACTCAGAAGCAGTTTCCATGGATTTGTGTCGACTCAAAAGCAGCAAATTGAGGCGGAAGCAGACGCGCTGCGATCCATGGGAAAGGGTACGCGTCCCCGCGGGATCGATCCGCTGGCAATCGAAAGAGTCGGCTCAAGTTTCTAGTAGGAGACTGGAACATTGTTTGGGTGTGCCGAAGCAGATCCTCCTACTTGTAAATAATCACAGGATCCGATTGCGTCCCTCCTCCGCCTGATCGCCGTCTGCTACCGATCGCCGTTGACGGTTGGGACTTATTTCTCTCCGCAACCTACTCTCTGACTCTTTAGGGCAGAATTACTGCTGAGTCTATCCCCGCTACTAGTACGCTCGTTCCCAGCAGCATTTCGTGCAGTCACGAGAGCGCGTTGCCACCAAGCTCCCCACACTTGCGCTGCTGCTTCCCCTCTTCCTCTCCCTCCCAATGTTTTTCCCCCCATTCCTTGCCAATGTTTTTCCCCCCATTCCCTCCCAATGTTTTTTCCATCCCCTCCTCCCGTCTTTCCCCTCCGTGTCCGCCATGTCTCCTCCCCCGTCTATCCCCTCCGTGTCCGCCGTGTCTCATGCCTCGTCTATCCCCTCCGTGTTCAGACATCACTCGCAACCATAAAGTGCGGCGGCAATACACCCTGCAGCTGAACGAGAACGAGATGGTGCAGAAGGTGTGGCACTAGAGGGATCGGACTAAAGTGGGATCGGACTATAGTGGGATCGGACTATAGTGGGATCTGCAGTATACAGCATGCAGCTGAACGAGAATGAGATGGTGCAGAAGGTGTGCCTGTAGTGGGGATGGGATGGGACTATTGTGGGATGGGACTATAGTGGGATGGGACTTTAGTGGGTTGGGAATATAGTGGGATGGGTTGGTATTATGGCGAAATATGGTTGTAACGGTTTTTTTGGGCTCAGATGTTCAAGCTCATAGGGCCGGGTGTTTTTGAGAATTCTCAAAAGCACCCTGCAAAATCTTGGGCCCAGGTGTTGTAGCTGTTAGGGCCCGTGCACGTGCCTCAAGACCTGCCAACCAACCTCTCTCCCTTCCCTTCCACTCCCCCGTACTCTTTCCACCTCCTCACACCGCAGGAACTGGTCCTTCTAGAGGGAGACGTCAAGGTCTTGAAGCTGATATGGCCCAGTGCTCGTGCCACATGACATTGAACCGCCCTCCTGTTCCCTCCTAACCCCCTCGTACCCCCCTCGTACCCCCCTCCTAACCCCCTCTTACCCCCCTCCTAACCCCCTCGTACCCCCCTCTTACCCCTCTCTTACCCCCCTCTTACCACCCACTTACCCCCCTCTAAACCCCCTCGTACCACAGGAACTGGACCTATTGGAGGAGGACGCCAAGGTGTTCAAGCTGATCGGCCCTGTGCTCGTGCCGCAGGACCTGGCTGAGGCCAAGGCGAACGTGGCGAAGCGGCTGGAGTACATTTCTAGTGAAGTGTGAGTGGCATGGGGCATGCAGCTTGGGCGTGGGATGGGGCATGGGTCGTCATGTGGCATTTGAGGATCCGAGGTATGGGGGTGAACGAAGGTGTTCAAGCTGATCGGCCCTGTGCTCGTGCCGCAGGACGTGGCTGAGACCAAGGCCAATGTGGTGAGGCGTCTAGAGTACATCTCAAGCGAAGTGTGAGCGGCATGGGTGGGGGATGGGCGCACGGGGCCAGGTGAGGGGGTGCAGTGTAGGCCCCGTGCTCGTGCCTCAGGATCTGGCTGAGGCCAAGCCCAACGTGGCGAAGCGGCTGGATGGAGTACATCTCTAGTGAAGTGTGAGTGGCGTGAGGCATGCAGCTTGGGGCGTGGAATGGGGCATGGGTCATATGGCATATGGCATATGAGGATCCGAGGTATGGGGGTGAACGAAGGTGTTCAAGCTGATAGGGCCTGTGCTCGTGCCTCAGGATCTGGCTGAGGCCAAGGCGAACGTGGCGAAGCGTCTAGAGTACGGTGGTTTGAAAAAGCATGGTAGCATGGGGCATGGTGAATTAAGAAGCATGGGGGCATGGGGCATTGGGGGTGTAGAAAGGATGGGGGCAAAGGGAAGGGTGCATGGGAGGTGCGAGGCCAAGGCTGTCCTGGCCAGGGCTGTCCTGGCCAGCGCTGTCATGGCCAGGGCTATCATGGCCAGGGCGAAGCAGCTGGAATGCATTTCGAGTGAAGTGTGAGTGGCATGGGGCATGGGAATGGGGGGGGAAGGCATGGCCACCCACTATCCATGCCATCTGTCCCGCCACCCACTCTACATGCCATCTGTCCCGCCACCCACTCTACATGCCATCTGTCCCGCCACCCACTCTACATGCCATCTGTCCCTCCACCCACTCTACATGCCATCTGTCCCTCCACCCACTCTACATGCCATCTGTCCCTCCACCCACTCTACATGCCATCTGTCCCTCCACCCACTCTACATGCCATCTGTCCCGCCACCCACTCTACATGCCATCTGTCCCGCCACCCACTCTACATGCCATCTGTCCCGCCACCCACTCTACATGCCATCTGTCCCGCCACCCACTCTACATGCCATCTGTCCCTCCACCCACTCTACATGCCATCTGTCCCGCCACCCACTCTACATGCCATCTGTCCCGCCACCCACTCTACATGCCATCTGTCCCGCCACCCACTCTACATGCCATCTGTCCCGCCACCCACTCTACATGCATCGATGTCCTTCCCAACGCAGCAAGCGACTGGAGGGGGCACTGAAGCAGCTGGAGCAGAAGCAGGCTCTGATGCAGTGAGACGTGAGAACCCTTTTGATCCTGTCCTGACCATCTGTACTTCCACCCACTATCCATGCATCCCTCTGCTTCAATGCAGCAAGCGACTGGAGGGGGCACTGAAGCAGCTGGAGCAGAAGCAGGGGTTAAAGCAGCAAGACGTGAGTACCTGAGCCGAGCATCCCTTGTACCCGAAACTTGAAACACAACACCTCTTGTCTGGTCAGCTAGGCGTGCAGCGCCTTATCATCATCATTGCCAGGTATCTTTCAGAATTCTAAAAAATACCCTGCAAACCCAAGGCGTGCAGTGCCTTATCATCATTATTGCCAAGCCTCAGTAGAAGCTGCTTTTTCCAACCTCTTCCCCCCCCCCTGATTCGCCAAACTGTCTCTCTGCCACTCCACTATGCCCGTATGTAAGTCTTTACGTTATAGCCCATCCTCCCACCTCCACTTCATTTCAGTCACATGGCGCGGTTTCGAGGTGACTTTGGAGTCGACTCGAAAGTCACCTCACTTCGTTTGAGCCGCATGGCGCGGTTTCACCATTTCCTGCGAAGCTCAGGAAGTTCCTTTCTTTCTGAACCACCATCTCTACTTTTAACCGTTCCGTCCCTTCTGTCTGTTGTCCCTAAAGCTCATCCTCATGTTTCCTGCCCCGCTTACAGCCCCCTACTCTGCCCCCTCTCCCCCCCTCTCCCCCCCTCTCCCCCCCTCTCCTCCCCCCTGACCTCCTTTCCACCCATTCTTCCAACTAAGCAGATTATGCAAGCACAGCGAAAGCTTCAAGCATTTCATGCACAGCGGAGGCAATAAATTCTAATTTAGCAGGTCCCGAGAAGAGTTTCTTTGATACGATTTAAGAAATGCATGATTAGGACAATTTAGGCTGCTGTGTACACTGTAGTACAGTGTACACAACCTGACCGAATGATTGGCGTTGTTAAACCTCCCGAAGTCTTGGTGTAAGGAACTGGTATTTCCTTATCACGTGTAATAGTTACTAAAGCGTACACTGGTATAACAGGGTTGCCGCTAGGGCTTTAGGTTGGATTTTGAGGGGTTGTTGGCTCAGGGTGCCCCAAGCAGGAGCCCCCGTTTTTCAGGGTCAGGTTTCTTAGAACTGAAGGAGTGATGAATAGAGAGAGAGTACAAGGGTATATACCTAAGAGTGTTGTACCCTCTAAGAGGTGACCCTATACAGTCTATACAAACATGAGTTATGCTTATGTTTGACACACCCCCTAGATTGCATAGGGGAATGACCTGAACAAGCAGCTCAGGGCGGCACTACTAGTCCAACCTCTGAGACAAGGGTCTAAAAGACCAGTCAGACGGAGTTGAGACAAGGCAAGAACAAGACCAGGGCGGCACTACTAGTCCAACCACTGGGAGAGGACACAAGTCCAGTCTGAGTATGCATATAAAGGACAATACAAAGTCAAGGCCCTAGCAAGTGAGAGGCTACAGGAACTAGACCAAGCTGTACTTTAGGCGCAAGCGCCTTCGTAAAGATATCAGCTGTGTTGGCACCTGAGGCCAAGTGTACTACGCGAGCCTGGCGTCGCTGCTGTAGCTCGCGCAGGAGGAAGTATCGCAGCTGAATATGCTTCGCTCTGCCCTCGAGTCGAGGCTCCTGACACAGGAGGATCATGGCCCTGTTGTCAGCGAACAGGACCGGGGCAGAGCTAGGCCGCTCACCTAAGTCAGTGAGCAAGAAGGTCAGCCAGCAGAGCTCCTGTGCCGCCATGGCACCAGCGTAGATCTCAGCCTCACAGCTGGACTGGGCAACAGACGAGGAGCGGGTAGCTCTCCACGAGATGGCACCTGAGCCAAGGCTGAAGCAGTAGCCCTGGGTAGACCTGAGTGTCTCGGCATCGTCTGCCCACGAAGCGTCTGTGTATCCAGTAAGGACCGCTGGCCTGCGTCCTCCTAGCACTAACCCCATGCCCGATGTACTAGCAAGATAACGCAAAACCCTCTTAGCGGCAGACCAGTGATGCGGTCGGTGTCTGCCTGTGGCCACAAAGCGAGCCAGGATGCTGAGAGGGTACGCGAGATCTGGGCGAGTGCAAGTCATCAGGTACATGAGGCAACCCACCAGCTCTGTGTAGGGGCTGCTGGGCTCTACCGACTCCTCAGACACTAGAGAGGAGAGTCTGTGGTCTACTGGCAGAGGGGTGGGCTGTGCAGAGGAGAACTGAAGGCTGAACCTCTGAAGGACCTGGCGCACCAAGTGTGACTGAGTCAGGGTGATGGTGCGCGCTGCTCTGTCCCTGGAGATCTGCAAGCCAAGGTAACGGCGCAGTTCTCCAAGGTCAGTGCACGTGTGTCTCTTCAGCAGCTCTGCCTTCACGGAGGCCAGTGCGTCCCTGTCTGCTGTGGCAAAGACCAGGTCGTCGACGTAAACAAGGATGTAGAACGGAGTCTGGCCAGCACGAACGAAGAGTGAGGGGTCTGCGGAAGACGGAAAGAACTGTAGGTCAGCAAGCGTAGCACGGAGAGTGTCGTGCCACTCACGGAGAGCCTGACGCAGGCCGTAGACGGGGCGCCGCAGGAGCCACTGGGTCCCAGGAGCGAAGGTGCCAGTAAAGCCCTGAGGGCGACGCAAGTAGACCTGCTCGTGTAGGCTGCCCTGAAGGAAGGCAGTGGAGAAGTCGAGGGAGTGAAGCTCGTAGTCACGCTGAGCAGCTACGTGTAACAGAACCCGAAGAGTAGTCATCTTCGGGGTCGGAGCGAAGGTATGGAAGAAGTCCACCCCCTCACGCTGACTGAAGCCTCTAGCCACGTAGCGCGCCTTGAATACAGGTGGCTCTCCAGGAGGGCGCTTCACCTTGAAGAGCCAGCGGCCATCGACTACGTTCACCCCAGGTGGGGGAACTGCGTCGACGAAGGTGCCGGTGGATCTCCAAGATGCCATCTCCTGCTCCATGGCAGCTATCCACTGAGAGGCCCAAGGTCCCGAGGTCGCCTCAGCGTAAGTGCGAGGGGTCGGGATGTCGAAAGCGTCTGGGTCACCCTCAGGGACTAGCAGCATGGAACAGAGATGGGGAGCAGCCTCGGAGAGGAAAGCAAGCTCGAACTGGCGGTCCTCCAGGACGTCACTGCCAAGGGCAGGAGCACCCCCGACAGACGGAGGACAGGCAGGGTCAGAGACCAGAGCGGAGGCGTAGTCAAGGCGGCGGGTAGAGGCGAAGTCAGCGACCGCAGCAACAAGAGCGTCAAGGCACGAGACCGGAACAGACGGGTCGGTAACGAGAGAGGCAAGGACCCGAGGAACAAGAGGACGAGCGGCACGAAGGTAGTCAGACAGCGGGGGGGGTGCAACAGCAAGGGAGGACGGAGGAGGCGACGGGAGAAGGGGAGGACGAGACGCGTGGGAACGAAGCAACATAGGGTGGGAGCGCAAGACAGGCGAGGCAGGACGAGCACGGGAGGGACGGTGAGACCAGACGTGCGACGGAGGAGTCGGGTCAGGAGACAGGGGAGGGGACACAGGAGGGGAACGAGGAGGAAGACGGGCCAGGGACGAGTCCGGCAGAGGGAACACAGGGCCGTAGACTGGAAGAGGAGGAGACGGTCGGAGAGGAACAGCCGCAGGGTCAGGGGACGGAAGGCCGAGCAGGCGAAGGGCTGACACCGGCGGGGACTGCTGCTGCGGCGGCACAACGGCGACACCAGGACTGCAAGCGGCTCCGCGGCTACCACCGGCACACTCCACACCAGCACCCGCAGAGGATCCACCCCCAGGGCGACCGGGACTAGCACCCCCAGAGTCAACGAACGGGTGCTGCGACGGCAGCGGCGGCGGCGGCAGCGACACCGACGGCTGCAGCGGCGGCAGAGGCGGTGGAGGAGGGGACTGGGGAGGGGACGCCGGGGGAGGGGCGGCCGGCGAGGACTGCGCAGCAGGGCCACCAGAGTCAGAAGACTCCTCAACCGGGTCCACCGACGGAAGGGGGGTGACGTGGGACACACCAGAGGGGGCAGGACGCGGAGGAGGAGGGGGAGGGGCAGGGACTACCGGGGAAGGAGTGACCAGGAACCGGGAAGGGGTAACCGGGGGACCGCGGTGGCAGAAGCTACGGTAGTAGGAGACGGACTCGTCAAAGGTGACGTCGCAAGAGTGAAAGAAGCGGTGAGACGGCGGGTGGTAAAAGTGCCAGTCGGACGCGTCAAGGGGAAAGCCGAGGAAGATGCAGGGAAGGGTGCGGGCAGTGAGCTTGTCCGTGCCGGAGGCACGGACGTGAGCAAGGCAGCCCCAGACGTGGAACGCAGACGCGTCACCAGGAGACCCAGTCCAAAGACGGGTCGGCGAAACCTGCGGCTGCTGAGGGTGCGGCCACAGGTTAAGCTGGTGAGAAGCGTAGCGCACAGCGAACGGCCACAGAAAATGGGGTGCACCGGCATGGATCATGGAGGTGCGAGCCACCTCCATGACCAAACCGATGCGTCGCTCAGCGACCCCATTCTGCTGTGGGGAGTCCGGTAGGGTGAGCGTCTGGGTGATGCCCTCCGCACGACAAAAGCGACCAAGGACACCTGAGGCAAACTCGCCACCACGGTCGGAGTGAAGACGCAAGACAGGGAGACCGCGGTGGACACGCGCAAAGACAAGCCAGGGGATGAGAGCGCCAGGCACGTCGGCCTTGCGCTCCAGAGGAAAGACTGTGGTGTTGCGAAGAAAGTCGTCGACAAGAATGAGGAAGTAGCGCTCGCGACGCGGCCCAGGGACGGGGGTGGGGCCCCAGACGTCCAGGTGCAGGGTCTGCAGCGGCGCGGTGGTAGGGGGAAACGAGGAGGAGTGCGGGGCACGGCGAAGCCGACCCTCGACACAAGGCGTGCAAGGTGGGGCTGGGGAGGAGGGAAACGCGGGGAGAGAACCTGGGAGACCAAGGACAAGACCGTGCTGGGACATGTGACGCAGACGCGGGAGCGCAGGGTGACCTAGGCGGTGGTGCCAAAGGAGAGTCGGGTGAGTAAGGGACCGACAGGAGCAGGCAGCAGCAACCTGGGTAGACGCAGCCACCTGAGGGAGCGCTCCAGCCGGGGGGGTCACGGTGTCCAGAGTGAACAGGCCGGACACCGGGTCCCGGGGGAACGTGGACAGGGGGGCACCCGTGGCGGCCTCGGTACAGACAGCATACTGCTCGTGACCAGGGAACATAGTGGTGACGCCAAGGTCCTGGAGGCAGCCGACACCAACTAGGTTCCTGGAGAACGAGGGGATATGCAGACCTGTGAGAGTGCCCGAAGGAACCACCGGACAGGGAAGGGTGGTGGAACTACGGGCGACTACCGGACCGCCGGAGGGGTCAGCAAGAGAAACGGCAGCTGGAACAGGAAGCGGCATCAGTGTGGTGAAGTCGCGGAAGAAACACCGGGAAGCGCCAGAGTCCAAGGTGAAGGAAAGCGAAGCAGAGGCGTCTGGCGACGGAACGACGGCGGAAGCACCAAGACTACACAAAGCAGGGGATCCTACGCCTGACGCAGCAGGGGAGGCTAAGCTAGGCACACCTACACAAGCCGACAATGAGTAATAAGCGGGAAGCACACTAGAGTCATCAGCATACATCACATGCAGAGCAGAAACAATGGCATCCATGTCCATGTCGAAAATCTGAATCTTACGACTAAGCAAACTGTGCCAGTCCGGGAGGTCTGGCGACGGGCCAAAGCGCTGACGAAACAGGTCGTCCAAGCGACGAAACAGCGGGGAGTGGAGTGACCGATCTTACCGCAAACGAAGCCGCAGCGAGGACCGGTCTGGATCTGGTACTGACAACGCACGCCTCCAGAACCACCACTCGGCACACCACCACGCGCCCGACCACCGCCAGCGCCGGGCCACCCAGTCGGGAGGACACTCGTCTGCCGCGTCTGCGGCGGCTGCTGCGAAGGCTGCGGCTGCTGCGACTGCGGCGGCTGCTACGGCTGCTGCTGCTGCTGCTGCGACTGCAAGGGCGGCGGCTCAGCTGGACAGGGCAGGGTCCCCTCGTCCGCTCCAGCACCAGACGACCCGACTCCACCACCACCCCCTTCCGCACCCCCGCCTCCTCCGCCGCGCCCAACCTTGGGGCGGCGTCCCTTCCCCGAACGAAACTGCGCTGCAGCAGCAGTCTCAGC